TGTAATCGTCCAAAAATTGTTATAATTGGTAGATATTTGCTATAATTTAAGTAATTGAAATGATTGAGTACAATAATAAAAAAAAAGTAGTTGATGAAGCACTTTCACAACAAACAAAATACATTTGAATTGCCGGATAATCGCTGAAATTGATGAATACTTACTAATCACAATTGCTGGATTATTATCGCTGCATGAGTTGAACAATCACTACCCCATTGCTGAAATTATAGTCAGTTATGAGGCCCCGCATTGCACAAAATTTCCGAAAAACAATGTGATTTGAGGTAGGAAATACAAGAAAACAATTTCCTCGCCAATTTCGAAGAGATAAAAAGGATTGGAATCAAAGAACGGGAATAATAATTCGTTCCGAAGGAGGCCAAGAGAATAGTGAATGGGAAGTCTACGAATTGTCCACAATTAAACATGATTCAAAGTTCATCGAACTGCGGTAAGTAACAAAAAACATCAAAGAGAAAAAATAATAAAATATTCATAGACAAAACGATCGAAGCTTCCCAACGCTCGAGCAACAATAACAAGAAAAGTGAAAGGTGGCGAATAAATTACGGCTATTTATTACAAAACTATTTTCGTTGAGTGTTTTGACTGGGCGAATTTTTTTCCCATTCGAAACTTTGACCATTCAGACTAATAATTTCGCACACTTGGGAAATATTTCTTTTGAGAAGGAATGTCAATACTTAGTATCAACCGGATGGGAATGAAGAATGATTACGCGTCTATTTTCCCGCATTACTTTCTTTTCAGCTTTTGTGCTGAAATCGTCGTCTGGCCGAGATAAGTGCAGTCGAAGAACTTAAATTTGCTTACGAGATTTGATTTAATTACAGTCTAGACTAAACAAAACAAAGCGCCCGTTTAGTTTCGGCTTTTATAATGAACGCCGTCGCGTTCTTATCGTCGATTGATGATGGTACTGATTGATTTCTGCCAATGACTGTGCAAATATTCGAAATAAAAGAGAGGAGCGCGTCTCTTCAAATTGCCACTGAAAATAGACCGAATAAAAGTTTATGGCGAGTGTAAGGAATCTGAAGAATTTCCTTAATGCTGCTGCTGCAGTCGACGCCGTTGCATATTGCACCCAAAATTACATACTTATTAAAATAAGGTACTAGAAGCTTAAATTACTTACATCCTGTTTGCCAGATAAAGAAAGGCAAACGTTCGTAATCTGCAAATATTAATTGGCGCCTCATGCTCTTATTTACATTTCTATGTAAATCTTCAGACGTTTGCGTAATTAACAACTGAAATTGTCCGTTTTCAAGTATCACAAAAATTCGTGCAAAATCTCTATGAAAAACGTCAATCAATTTGGGGTAGAGAATTGTCGCAATATTTCATAGAATTTCTGTCAAAACACTCCCCAAGTTAAAATGACGAGTGGATCAAACACGAGATCTACCCGAGGACCTACCGTATCATAAACTATCCGGGAATATCGAAACCAACAAATTCATTTTGATTATGTAAAGTGAGAATATTTTAATAATAGTTATTTACATAAAAGTCGGGAAAATGACACACTACTGGAAACATGGAAGTACTCGGTCCCAGACTTTAATATCCGAGTCAAGTAATCTCATTTTACTGGCGAGTTTTCTATTAAATTTCACCGGCAATCGTAAAATTCCAATTTTCATATAAAACTTTTGGTTAATGTCAATCTGTCAGCAACGACAGTTGCGGCCCCAAAAACGAAAAGTGACAGGTGCGGCCGGAAAAATGACAGGCGGCAGGAAAGGTTCTGATCTGCCTCTGTCATGGAAACTAAAATTCCCTAACATAAAATAGGAGTGAAAATGAAGGTTTCTTGGCGATTTTGAGTAAAAATATTTACCCAAAATCGTCATGAAACCTTCATTTTCATGCCTACTTTATGTCAGGAAAGTGTTAGTTTCTATGACGGAGGCAGACCAGTCTACTTTTCCTGCCGCCGTTCACTTTACCGGTCGCATCTGTCACTTTACCGTCCGCACTTGTCACTTTACCTGCCGCACCTGTCACTTTGCTAAATGACTATAATGACTGTCATCATTGACAGATTGGCATTAATCAAAAGTTCTATATGAAAATTGAAATTTTATGTTAAAATACGATTTCGGGTAAAATTTAATACTTGTACTTCGATATTTCCTCGCCAGTAATGTGCCATTTTCCTGACTTTTATGTAAATAACTATTTCCAGAATAAATTTTCACCCACGAATTAATTTTATTATTATTATTACGTTAGCATATCCAGGGCCGTGGAGTAACTGAAAAGTCGTGGCGCCAATGGCTGAAGTGTATTTTTACTAGACTCGCCAGTTAAGATTTAATTTGGCCTTTTAGTTTTATTCAAATTGATTCTCGCATTGTCGCATGTGCAAACCAGATCCTTAACAAATAAGAAAGTTGGCACACACTTTTCTACGTGGTTCGACTGTTCGAGTGCTGAGATATAAACTGTATTTTCCATTTAAAAAAAGTTCTGGTGTAACAAGCTCTTGGAATTCATGGAACCCTTTAGGAATTCATGGAATTCTTACAGAATTCATGAAGTTATTTTGGAATTCACTTAGAAGTGACGTTGTGTCTTACTTTATATTGATTTTTATATAATTACCTGGAATTCATCCAACATTTTTGGAATGAGCATTTCTTATCGCTCGGCATGACTGTTTGTTTTGCACGGGACTAAATTCATCTCATCCATCACGAGACGCTATGCGGAATGGCGATCTTTTTAAAGCACATTTGAAGGGAAATATCGTATTCAAATCGTAGATTTTTAAATTGGTCAATGTACACATTTAAAGCGGAATTTCGTGCATTGTAAAGAGAGCCAAAAAATCTTCAGCAGTTTTTAAGGTAGCGATGCGAAGCCAGGGCCGCCGTTAGCCTCGACGGGCCCCGGGAATATTTTTTAACCGGGCCCCTATAATTGAAATTTTTGTTGTCCATCACCCTCATCTTAAACTAGACATTTTCAATCTTGACTACTTAGATTTGAAAGGAGAACATTTGAATAATTTTCATACAGACACAGTAATTTTCATAATTTATTTTGAAAAGTATTCAAATAGGTAACCAAATTACAATGTATAACTCTGCGGATTTTCTTATTAGCAAAAGTGAATATCACTCGCTCAAAATTAATTTCTCTAGCAAGTTGAGCTTCAAGAGCTAATGTACCGAGATTGATCTAACGATCTTGACCCATGGTCGATCTCAATCTGTTTTTTACCTAGCGAGCCTTCTGCCACTGTGCTGTAATTAGGAAATGTTGCTCAATGGTATGGTTTTTTAAATCTTCTGCTGTGCATTTTTTTTATATTCTACTCTATCATATAGATATGCACATGCAGATTTCTGTAAAAAACAGGTTTCAAAATCTCTTTTGGTCGGGCCCCCAGAATATGACCGGGCCCCGGGGCAAATGCCCCGGCTGACCCCCCTTATCGGCGGCCCTGTGCGAAGCGACCCATCCGCCGCTATGTCTTCTATGTTGAGTCCAATGAAGTCAAAAATAATTAAATATTTTATTTATTTTTATTTTATTTATTTATTTTATTTATTATTTATTTATTATTTATGAAAATAATTCCTTGAATTTTTATCATTGCAAAGAAAGCCAAAGAAACCCTCAACAGTTTGTAAGGTAGCGAGACGAGGCGGCGCAGCAATCGAAACCGAAGCTCTGTTCTCGTGTTGAGTCAAACGACACCATCAATCTTTAAATATTTAACGAATGTAATTCCATGAATTTTTTATCAGTGCCAAAGAAACCGTCAAAAGTTTGTAAGGTAGCGAGGAGAGGAGGCGCAGCAGCTTAAACCGAAACTATTAAATAATGACATCAATAAAATGCTTCACGAAAGTAATTCCCTGCATTTTTAACATTGCAAAGAAAGCCAAAGAAACCTTCAACAGTCATCATGCCCTGGTATTAAGTCAAATGATCCAATAAATATTTAAATACTTTACAAAAATAATTTCGTGCATTTTTATCATGGCCCAGTTTCACCGTCCCTCCGAGGCCCAAGATATATATAGTTCGTACTTTGTTCGGTAACTCTACTCTGGCCCCTGAGGCAAGAAAGGCTCGGAAAAAGCTTGACGATTATTATTTGCGCAATTATTTTTTATTCTTATTTATAGGGATACTTTTTTTAAATTTTAACCTCGATTTTAACCATATTCATATTCAATAGCACTAATCCTTGAATTGGTAAAAATCGATTGACGTAGGTTTGCGCCGTCTCTTTTCGTTCTTGAGTTAGACGAGGAACAGACGGACGGACAAAACCATAACTAAAGGGGAATTTCTTTCGAAAAATTCCCCTAAAAACGAAACAAAAATGCATCATCGTTACATATTAACCTAAGTATTCGGTAAATGTATTGTAAGCACGGTAAGTAAGGGTTTACAGAATTGGAATTTGTGTCAATTTCCAGTATGCTTTTCAGAACAAAATTGTAGGCCTTGATGTATAGCAGTCTTTTAGGTATGAAGAGTGAATACTCCGAAATAATATTTTCCAATCACTTGTGACTACAAATTTCAAAATTTAAATGGCACACCCTGTATAACAGTTTTGGATTAACGTGTGCTTTATGTTTGAAATGAAACTCGCTTTTGTCGGTGCATCTCCTTGGGCAGTTTGTTATAGATTGTCATACACTTAAAACTGGCATCAGTCAGCCTTGTTTTAAAAACATCTGTTTGGGAGGAAGAATGCTCAAGTGTAAACAAAAATTCCAGCACGATCAAAATAAAAGGTTTTTCCCATTTTATTTGTACGGTATATGAGATAAACACTGACTATCTTATTTTGCAAAGAAGTACATACATCGAAAATGTTCAGATACACAATATATTTCAAGGATCTTGGAGACCATGTGCCATTGCAGTGCTTGCGTTTAACAAAAAAACTACAAAAAATAACAACTAAGTAAATATATATTTTTTTAAATCGTGTAATAAACAGAAACGATACCGGCAAGGCACTACGACGGAAACAAGAAAAAAATAAAGAAGAGCCTCCTTTTTAATTACAATCAATATGAACATGCAATTAGAGAAGAAGAAGAAATCAAAACGTGAAATAAAACAATGTGATAATGAGATCCAGTTAATTAGTGTAACCATCCCCACGTTTCAAGGGGCGGCATACAATCAAATGGGTTGGTTTCCACTACCCCCGCATTTATTCAATTCGGTAAACAAATTGATTGTGCGGTCCGCAATTATAATTGCCAAAGAAGCGGCGGTTCTCTCACGAGACGCCCATGTCTATTTTGAAACCAATCTTATCAGAGAGCCATTGTTAATTTTAGTGCAATTTAACACGTAATGTAGTGGCAAATAAAACGATTAACGATTAAAAATGAAATAAAAGCTACGACGCAATTTATGAAAGAAACGTAGTAAAACGGCCTAATTATATTGTAAGGCATTATTAAATCAAAAGCGTAGTAGTAGACTATGATGGCACCGTCATTTGTTTACAAACGAAATGTCATTACCGCTGTTTGTTGTTTATGGCCTCTACGCAATTGATTGTTAGGTACATATTTGCGATTAATTAAGATTTTGACCTGTATTTTTTCATGCGCTGGCCGTGAGACGTTTCGTAATCGTGTCGTATTGCGCCACCTTTAACTACCTTTTGTTTTTTTTACTTCTAATTGGATTGCCCAAACGAGGTGCGTGGGTGGGCACGCAAAAATTGCGCGCAATCAAGGACGGCGGAAAGAAAACAGAGTTTCCCAAATATTGTTTTGTGAAAACATGTAGTTGACGCTTTAAAAGTACGCATGGCTTGCGCCATAGAGTGAGTATTTCTGTCCGACCTTGACGATGATATACGACGGAGACGCTTACCAAACGTGGGTCGAGGCGTCTCGCCGTCCGCTGCCTCCTCCCCATGCTGCAAAGACAACAGGGCCTTCAGCCATGCCTCGAGCTCATCTTCGGATTCCAGGACCAAGCAGAAACAATCATCCTTGGTGTAAAGGGCGATCACGTGTTTGTGTTTGGTGTCGACTCGCTTGTTGATATTGAAGCAAGTCTTAAGTGGAATGGAGCGTTTCGGCGGGAGGCCGTTATTGAATTTTTTTTCCGAATCGTAGTACTCCAAGCGGGCGGACGATTCAGGTCCTTCGGCGCGCAGTACAAAATATTTCTTTTTGAAGGTTTTAAGCTTTTTTAGATAACCCGCGCGTACAACGGTCGCACTACCGGGGTTGGAGTTTGAGCTTTTCACGGACATGGTTTTGCGCCCTCCTCCCTTACATCGATCACTGAAATTACGTCGCAACAACAGAACAATTGATACGAAATTGTCACTATCACGTCACCATGCGCGCACTTGATATCCTGCTGTTACTGCTGCTGGAAGAACACAGAAATTCTTCGTGCGCAATACTCAAACACGAAAACACGTCAACATTCCAGGTCAATGAAAGGTAACGTTTCCTGCCGCGATGCGAACAGACTGGACATGGAAGAGCCGATATTCGAAACCAGAACGTCTGTAAATAGCTCCAGACACGCACTACCTCAGACAGACAAACATTCCGTGGCCGCTACCTAAACAACGAGTTCACTTCGCGGTATGCGCCAGAGATTGCGACATAAATATGCACTACGACGGAACTCTCGCAACGAGTTGTATACTGTTTACACCACCTCGTCCGAAGCACACGCTATACTACTCTTTTCATCCATCTTGCCGAGGTCGGTCATGTGTTAGTAGACGTCTGCGACTGTTTGTGTCTGGCGAAAGACATCAATACATCAATGCGTCTTCGTCTGTTCCATTAAAATTTCAACGGAATTCGATAACACGCGTTACTCAATTAGATCGTACAACTGCGGCTACGAGCGGTTGTAAACAAGAACTGCGCAAGCGTTAGCGTATAGTATTCGATAACAAGGCTGTGGCTACGAAGCGTCACGCATGTACACAAAACAGTACAGATTGATAAATACGCAATAATGTTCTGGCACTACTATGTAATTGTTACTACGCACTTTCATTTTCAATTAGCACAATTTGTAGAAAAACAATTAAGCGGCCCTTTAAACTCGGTACCTTGCGGAAACTAGCGCGTCCTTGCCGATTTTTCTCCCCCTCGCCCACATGTTTCGGTGCAGACACTTGGCATTGCCAAAAACAACAAATATTACACAACGTGTGTGCGGATTGTTAGTTCCCGCGCTTAAGGAGGGGGTTGTGCCACCGCCTAAGAGCAACGCCCTTTGCAGGTCATTCATACATCAGCCAGGCAGGGCGAGTAACTACGCTACACAGTCAGCCATGACGTCCCGCGGACTCGTATTTAATTAAATTGCGCCATTTCTAATCTAACGTTAATATTTCCACAACGCACGAGACTGCGACCGATTGCGCCCTCCTTCGCTTGCGATCCTCGTTTGTCAAAAGCGTACCTAATTTATTAGCTGCTTACTATGTTTTGAACAATTCAAATTTACTACTTTGTGATTAATTTGTACTGCTCGTTAGTCTAATTAATCTAACGGTTATTTTCCCGCTGCGGACATCTATTGGTATTTACCGTGAACTATCGGCAGCAGCATAAAAGAATGCCAGTATGTAAATTTTGCCTCGTTCAGTTTTTGGTGCCTAGATGACGCCACTATTGAATAGTACCCTTTGATATTACTCATTTTCATTGAATAAACTTAATTTTTTATTCAATGTCATTTTATAGTATCACATCAGCAAAAACGATGGACTGTCTTAGTCTTTGGTATCACAAATTACCTTATTTCACCACTTACTACCCTCGGTACCCCCGCGGATATCACATTTTTGTTACTTACTCTTCGTTGCCTTACGTTACGGCTTACCACGGAGCACGGAGGTCTCCCAGGCTCCGCACAAACCACGGAGCGTTTACTGGCCATCCTCAATATGTCATATTGACTATCTGCATTCTATATTCTTGCGATGTTTGATGCTACAGCGTAACCCGGCGGCCGGCCCATACCATAGATATACGCAAAGAAGCGTATATCTGCGCTCATACTGAACTACAGGTCATCGGCATCGATATTTCCAGCACTGCGCCAAGATACAACTCGCTTTGGCCCTCCACGAATTGCCATTTCCGAAGATGGTGAGGTGTCCTCTCTTCGTGAACAGGAAGGTTGGACTTTTTCGGCGTTGACACCGATCTTCCATTTGGGTTTAAGTCGTCCAGTCTGGAATCTGGACCCTTCTAGAATTTGAATTGTTCCTTTCTCTCCGATTGGTTCTGCAATCTTTTTAGGGGCACCGCTTCTGATACTTTGGCGATCGTCGACAGCAGGCTGATCGAGTGGTGGTTATGCAGAAATGGCGTGGACTGCCTCGGTTTCTGTAATACATATTACGTCGATACGGTGCCACCGAGATGGAAAGTGCGGCAGTCTAAGCACTGCATTCAGAATAAGGAGGTTGCAGGAGCTGCTTAGTCTTTGAGCACCCTGTTCCCGATGCCGTCAGGTCCAGTCGCCTTCCTCGGGATTTTTCTTTTGATGGCGTCGGAAACTTCTCTTCTTCGGCCATGGGCTGCATCACTTTTTCGTCCTCCGACCTCGTTTCTGAAGTTGCGGATGGCGGTCTCGACCTCCCCCTAAAGCCTTCTTTAGAACACGACTTGATCTAACGAATTTCACGAACGCTGGCAGCGCGTTCTGCATGAGGTCTTCTCTCGGATCCAACTCGGAAGGCGGTAATCGTCTCTGCGATCGATATCGCGTAGTTTTGTAAGACAACCTGCACGAGTATTGCAAAATCGCTAGCCTCCGATTTGAAAGAATCGACGTGTTCGGTTACCGGTGCATCGCTCATCCGCGTTTCTTCAGGGGGATCTCGGAAGGCGGACCAAAACATACGCAGCGTCTCAATCTCGTCTAGCGTGTTCGGCCCAGTTCTAGGGATAATCGTCTGAATCAAGTTGTAGCATCATCGAGAAACGATACTGCAGCAGTACATGTTTCTGGACGGCGACGTCTAACTTCCAACACGTCGTCTTCTTCCGGATTGTAGTGAGTGGGCCGGTCTGCGACCCTGAATTTGCCATTTTATGAGTGTATGCTTCCCGGTGCGTAGGTGGATCTCTTGAACCAGCAAGACGTCGACGTGTTAGTGGTTTACAAACCGTTCCATAATGGAAAGGGGGGCGGTGGCATGGATATATAGGTATGTGGTTATCGATGGAGAGCTGACATCAGCTTCTCCCTTGGTCACCATAGCAACGTGTTTCAGGCAGCGATGCTGGCCATCATGATCTGTCCCGAGAGAACTTCTGTATCTACATTCAACGCTCAGTAGAGATTACACTAATAAGCACATATACATATGCATCAGTGACAGTCAGGGGGCGCCGGTTTGATTGCAGGCAGATAGATTATGTGAGTCTAAGAGTAAGTTTGACCTGGGTGCCAGCGCACAGCGGAATGGGGGGCAAGGAAAGTGCGGGCGAGCCGACCCGCAAAGGCAGTGGTGGGGTCTTCGTTGGATCCGAGCCTACCCTAGGAATTGCTCTCTCCGTTTTCAGAGCCGGGATTAAAGGCTGGGTGACCAGTCAATTCCAGGCTCAGTGGCAACAATCAACTAGACTCAAGACAGTCCAGGGCCTTTATAACAGTCTGGGTGTCCTAAGCTTCCAAAACTGAATAGAAGTCCGGTTAAGAAAATCACAGGTGTCCTTACAGAATACTCGACGGTTAACTACCACCTGTACAACATAATTATGGGCTTGCATGAGAGCCCACGTGCAGGTTATCTGGTAAGGCAGATGAAACTACCGAGTATGTGGTTTGTCACTATAAACGCCTTGATCAGAGACAGACATCAGCTCCTTGGTTACAGTTATCTGGAATCGGAGATTTATTTCTCCCTCTAAAGCAAATGTCAAATTAGAGACACACCTAAATGCTTGGGGCGAGTAGAGTATTTGTCCTCTGTAATTGGGCACAAGCCTGTTGAGGGCCCAGAACAAGTGAGGAAAGATTCTGTACACATACTACAGGAACGATCGACAAATAATTTAAGGCAACCATATATGGGGGTACCAGGTAAAATTTGCAACTGGTAATAAATAAAACAGAAAACGTCTGAACACTAGGACAAATTTAACCGTCTGCCACTCAACTAGATTGCCATCGCCCTTACAAAAATGTCAATGACCAAGGCATCGCATTATACATTACTTGAATTCTCTAATGTTGGAATAAATCCACCATAAGATTAAGTTTTGATTTTATTTTTGTCGCTTTCGAGTTTAGACAATCTGTGGTAATATTACCTCGACCTACAGAAAATAAAACAATAAATTTGATATTTATTTTTTTATTGATTGAATCTTAGCAATTAAACCTTTCAATTAGAAAAGAGTTGGAAAGTGTACAGATAACTGTACTATCACACAATCACAATACATACTCATAATAGATCTACAACAAATTTGTGTATAGTAAGGAAACAATTGTGAATTTAAGATTAACATCAGGTGTTTTGCATATTATTGGTTTTACAAAGAAATAACCCCCAGTTATAAAAATATGTAACAAAATTCCCCCTATATTTAAAGCTTTTTTTTTTATCATTTTTTAGTATTGTTTATTGCAAACAAAATAGTTCATCCTCAAAATCTCGCCCAATTTGTATTTTTTGATTTTTTTGGTAATTTATTTATAAGCGTGCAAAAAATAAACAAAATCCTGTGTAATCCCCTATAAAAGTAATAAATTATAAGCATGTATATGCTACTCTTAAATAACGCAGATCACAATAATAACGCCCTAAAGGCATTTCAAAGATATAAAGTTGTGCACCACACAACAAATAACTTTGTAAATTCAGTCGATAGTTAATTATGATATTAAATCTTATCTTTTATAAATATCACGTTTTCTTTCTAAAAATATGAAACACTAACAATTTTATAATCACATAATTTATAATTCTAATTATGTGTAAATCTAATAAGGAAGGTGACGGTGATGTATGGTGATTTCAGTCTTTAAATTACTTCTTACTTTAACGTCTTACTCTATATATGAACGGTAAAGCTTATTCTTACTTAAAATATACGCAGGGCTTATGACTATAGTACCACCTCGTGTTAAATTCCTGCAAAAGTTCTCATTAAAATGCCTTAGAGTCAAAGTAGTACCTACGTACCGGAGAAATTGTGGTAAAAACGAATTCCATCCGCTAGGTGCCTGTTTTAAAGTAAGATATAATTCAAAAGTGGAAGCGGTCGTCGGATCACATTTAATAATACTCAGTCTCCTACATTCTTCCAGTCCTTCGAAGTTAAGGTACAAGGTGCAACCTCGCAGTCCGCAAGGTTCCGATTCTGCCATAGCGATAATATCTTTCGATATTCGTTGTAATAACCCACATGGTAGTAATACTTCGCAGCATCCCAAACTCGTGGATTTTGCTTGTCGGAGTTCAGTCTCGAGTCGTTTCGATAAAGCGTTTATCGCCACCTCGCAATTGTCATCGGACGTGCATTGAGAATCGCAATCCAAGTCTGCAAAGAAAACAAACATTAACAAAATCCCAAACAAAACACTTCCTGTTACTATAACAGTTGTCAGTAACACTAGAGAAAGAGAGTATTATAACATATGACAGACTAAAGCGAGATGAAGTAATGCTAGAAACATTCAATTGTTTTTGTTTTAAAATGATTCTATCTACCACCCAATATCTTGACATGCTTATGTCACCCTGTATAATTTGGCAGCAGACTGAGGAATCAATTTTGGAGCGAATTCTGTAGGCCCACACCCTTAAAATATCTATTGAGGAAGTGTGATATGTACACATCAAGCCTGTTTCAAGTATTGCCATATATCTGGTTTTATGTTTTTTTTTTGGAACAGAATATTGTTGTATCTTCCTTCATTTTTCCCAGATAAAAGAATTTACAAACCTAAGCTTTCAGGTATGCCCTTTTATCCCCCTATGGAATTCTATTTTTGTACACCCTAGGGTTCAAAATGTTTTGTTTGAGAATTATGATCACAAAATTGGCAACAAAAATGTTACTTCAAAGAATTTCCTTAATTTCATTAGGAATTTTGTAGATGTAAATAAGAAATTCCAAGTCTGTTCACGGACAATATGATTGGGTACGAATGACAGGGATGGGTTTAAGGTCTGGATTCCATCCCAGAGAAAGGTTGTTTTAAGTTAAACGGAAGATAAAGTTAGAAGTAGGTGATGATGAGTCGAGCGCGAAGAAAAGATCGAAAATATGCAAAAAAAGATGAAGAAATATTTGACACACCGTTTAGTTCCGGAAGTCAAGTGCCAGACTAAGAAGCATTAGAAAAGGACGATATAATGGTTCTACTATCATTAAAGACAGAGATCCAACAACGTATCATAAAGCATATTACAGTCAAGCGACAGAAAATCGACTATCAGTAAACATTCAGTTCTGTTGCAAGATATGACATTATTCGAACATTATTAACGGTTGCTGGTGCAGATAAAATGAAACTGAATTGATTTGACATAAAAAGGTTTTGAATATTTAAATGGAACACCCTGTATATTTTTACATCTTTGGAATGTGACCTTTTCAAAAGTTTTTACGCCTACTTGATTTTTTTAGAGCCACTTTTAATATTGCATCTAGGTGGCCATGATCGGACCCAAACTAATCGAGGGACCTTAGGTGATCTCAGAAAATTAACAACCGCAAAGTTTTAGCACAGATTTAAATATACTATTAAATCTGTGGTTTTAGTGGCTCATATGAGAGACAGAAATAAAACAATTTGGCAAAATTATATTTTCGTGTCAAATGGCAACCCTTTTTTGGCAAGGACTTTTTTGACGAATCTAACGATATTAATTTAAACTCCGAAATCCAAAAATGTAAAAATATACAGGGTGTTCCATAAAAAATTCAAAATCTGGACCATTTCCGGCGAAACCGGAAGTGAGCGAAAAGAGAAAAATATGCGAAACCTCACCTTTTCATGTACCACTTACCTGTACCAAATCTAATTCTAAATATTTTTTCTGAAACTACTTTAGAATCAACTATTTTCCTCTCTACAAAGGGTGAAGAAAATGTGATTTTCCTCTCTAGTGAGTGTAAATTTAAAACATGCTCGTATCTAGATTGCTATATGTCAGACTTCATTATTCCATACGATAATTTTTCAATTTTGATTGTAGTTTCAGAAAAAATCAGTGGCGTATTTACAGGGGGGGCATAGGGGGCGTGTGCCCCCCCTGTGCCCATCGCGCGCGATGTCGGCATTCTAATGACAATGACTATGGCAAGAAAACAAATATGAACGTAGAAAGGCCACCGCCGTTTGAGACAAATGTACAAATGTGTAATAGTGTAATTAATACTCGAACCGTAGCGAATGAACAGGCCAACTACACACCAGCGCGCGATGCGACTAAACTCGGATCGGATTGAGTAATATAGTTAAGTATCTATGCTGCATTCGGCTCGATATAAATTTAGGAATTTACCTATTCCTTTGACATAAATTTAACCAATATGAGCTATCTATACCTATAGGTATACGAGTATGTACTTAACGATAAAACAATAAAATTGGAAACTATTTTGAAAATGGACCTTCTGTGTTTATTATACCCACTATATTTATACATGCACAATGCATATGCACATACACTCCAAATTTTTTGTAAAAAATTGGTTTTCTTTCTTTACGACGAGCTATTTCGTAAATACGCCACTGGAAAAAATTATAATAATAATAATAATAATATTTATTTACAGGGAACCCCCAAAAAAGAACAACAATAATAAATTACCTATAACAATAACAAGTTTAAAGTGTACATTACACATAAAAAAACATGATATACAAAATTAATTAAATTAAATTAATATAATACCTCACAATAATAATATACATTACCGTTTATACCTATAACATACTCTTAATAAACAAACATGCTACATTATCATTCCAAAAGTGCTATGGTTAACGTTTCTTATAAAAATCCATATCAACATATGTGAGATGTAATTTTAACTTTTGTTTGAGTAAATTTAGAGAAACATTGAATAGATCAATATATGGATAACTATTAGCTATGTGTAAAACTTGAGAAGAAAGTGTTTTTCAACTCTCATTGGCAAACTTTGAACTCGAGTTGAAAAACTCCACTTTCTTCTCTAGTTGCACACATAATTTTTAAATTAATCTTGTATCTGAAATAAATACTGAAAAAGAAACCCAAAAACGCTTTTAGATTAGTTGCCCTGTGGCAGATTAGAGGAAACGAGAAAATTTGGCGCGTCTAAAAGTATAGAGATTATTTTTAAGTGCCGGTATCAAATACTCGATTCTCACATACAGCCACGTACGAACGCAACTGGTTATGCTATTTACCTTTTAAATCCTCAGGTGTGAGTGCGACTTGTTTATCTGAATTAATAAAAAATGTTACTCACGTTGTGGTTGAGGGATTGGTACATCCGTTAAAACGGATTCGATGATGTCCGATGACATTTTATGAGTGGTCGCATTGTTTAAATCGGCCGCTCTTGGAAAAACGCCGGTTAATTTGCTAAATACCGCGTGTAATTTGGAATCGCTTTGTACACGTTCGTCTTTTTTTCGAAACATTTTTTTTTGTAATTATAGGCACGCAATGTACGAGAAAACAAATCGGTTAATAATGTAGATATTACATGTTTATTTACAAAGCGATTCCAAGTTGATGCTGGTACGTCGACGACTAGAACTGCACTAAAATAACAAAGGAAAATCAAATTGCATCAGCTGATCTCTTGATACTGCAATGCTAGTGGTGGTCGTTTGGCCAATAGAAATGCATTGAATTCTTGGCCTGGCAACAGCCGTCAAAATCAGCTGTAACGATCCGGGGCGGATCGAGTTACGAGTGGAATATGTAAGTCCATCTCTTACACTTACCGGCTTCCTTGACCTTCTTTGTACTTGCTCCTTGTACAGTAAACCAAAAATCCTATACGTCCTGACTAGTTTCAAAATGTCTCTTTAGTTGAGATGTTATAAGTAAACAAGCCATCCACACACTTGTTTGTGTTTAAAGTTAAACAAATCCGGAAAGCGCTTAAAGGAAACAAAGAGCAATTGACTTTCACCGATCGTGTAACGTACGTCGCCACCAAATGACACGTCTTTGTTGGGGTTTCGTTTTCTTTCAGCCACCTTCATTTTTCACCGGCCATCATTAATTTTAAATCAAAATACATATAAGTAAGTTAAGGAGCTCGAAATACAGACGTAAAAGTACAAAGTATTACCAAAAGGAAAGGAGAAATCAAGCATACGGGAAAGAATCGTAAAAAATCTTGATGGCTATGTGAAGCAAGGACAAAAGAAGGCGGGAGGAGGGGGGTTAATGATATGAAATGCAAAAGAGACACGAGGAACCTTAAATTCGGCATGGCGAAGAAATGAAAGAATGAAAGGTGAAGGAACCGCGATGGAGATGTAAATTAAAGGATCGGAGGGGGGGGGGGTTAAACTAATTGCAAGGAATCGTGATGAAAGAATGTGAACGTGAAGAGTGAATCAGCCGCAAAGGAAATAGGAAAATGACGCGGAGAAAGAGATATGAGGAAGATGAACGAGAGATAATAAAGGATTCTGATAGAGAGGCAAAAGATATGTAAAGGATGCGTGCAGAAAAATGTAAAGGAGTGGTAAATGCAAGCGGAGGATAAAATAAATCAAAAGAAAACGTGCGCTGAGGGGGGGGGGTACCAAAAAAAAAGCAAGAAAACGCTTCATAGAGATGGGCATAATAATTGACTGAAGCAAACAAGAAACTAAGGGAGGCACCAGTAAGATGTGAAGTAAAGAGGACTAAGTGGGCCTCGAAGCAAGTATGATGCAGTAGTGAAGATGGCGAGTAGATGGAATGAAGTAGGTGAAAGGGTGGTCAAGAATGACGTTAAAAGTGCGAAGAAGCTTGTAAGAAAGGAAGATGTGACGTGTGAAGAAAACGTGAAGGGGATACAATGCGGAAGACATGAAGAAGGCCATGGGCATGTGGAAAGGACGTGAAAACATGAAGACCTATGGGACCCAAAGAAAGTACCATGCGCATTCAGCTGAAAATTTTGGACAAACCCTACAATTAAAAAAAAACACCATAAGCAACGTAAGCTAGGTATGAATTTATTTAAATAATTTGTACATAAATAAATAAATAGGTAGTGAATAAAATACATCTTATAGGTAACAAATTCAGTCCGTAATTTACCATCCGTAGTTCAATCCGTAACTTCCGGCGTATGTGAAGTGAGAAACGGCCGGGGCTGCAGAGTAGGTGACGGCCGCTGGGGCGGCGGCGTACGCCAAGGCAGGGGCGGCGGCGATTTTCAATCCGGGATTCGATACGCGAACGTCGGATTTTTGGACGCTAGAGAACGGCGTGTCGATGGTCTTGCTGTACGTGGAGATCTGACCTAAATTTCCGTAACTGCGAAGGATGTTGGAGGATTGGGAGGTGATAGCGGGCGCGTGTGCTGCGGTGTAGGGTGTGCCGTATGAGACGATTGGGGATGAGTAGGAGAAGTGGGATACGGCGGGAGCGGCGGAGTAGGAGATAGCGGCAGGGGCGGCAGCGTAGGCGACCGGTGCGGCGGCGTAGGCGAGGGCCGGGGCCGCTGCGATCTTTAGGCCCGGGTTAGAGACGCGGACGTCCGATTTTTGGACGCTCGAGAATGGGGTGTCGATGGTCTTGCTGTACGTGGATATTTGGCCCAAATTTCCATAGGTTCGTAGGATGTTGGAGGATTGGGAGGTAATGGCTGGTGCTGCTGCGGCGTAGGGGGTACCGTAGCTGACTAGTGGAGAAGAATAGGTAAAGTGCGACACTGCAGGGGCGGCCGAGTATGCAACGCCAATGGCTGGACCTGGTGCGTAAGTTGCTGGGGAGAGCAGGCCACCAGCTTGGGTTCCGACTATCAATGCGGCGCAAAGGACGATGAACTGCAAAAAAATTAACAATTATAAACTGCGATCTGGTACACAAATGTGGGTAACTTACTTTGAATGCCATTGTAAAGTTGATTCTGTATTAAAATGTTCAATGCGATCGTTTTTATATATGAAATGTATAGCCGTGGGCCACCGTTACACTTTCGCTGACATTGGGATTGGGACAGAACAGGGGCAACACCCATTCATCCCCGTTCCAAAATAAATTACAGTAAGATACGGCGTTGATTGCTTTTAACAACCTCATATCTCTATATCTGTTATGCTATATTGCATTCTAATACATATCTACTTATACAAATATTTCACACCTCCTATTTGCATACCTACTTAATTAGAAGTCGGAACCAAATATTACGTTGCATATAACTCAAGAAATTGCCCATAAGGGAGTATTTAATTAATAGCAAATAAAGAATACATGCGAAGTAACTATAATTGCGTTATGTGCAAATATGGTTCATTTAGTCGCGAATGACGACAAATAATGATAAAATTATACTGAAAGTATGTAAGAAATGCCTCATAAAGGGAACCGACGAAATTTGGAATGGATATTTAAACACAAAATTCCTTAAAATTAAAAAAAAAAATTTTTCTATTGTTCGGTCAAGAATTTCAGCTGCATTTTTTTCGAATTTTCAGAATTTGAGACATCTAAGACTGGGAAATATAGAAAAAAAATGTACCTACTCAATCGTATGCGACATAGGTACTCAACATTCTAGATGAGAAAGCCGAGAATTTCATTATGGTTGCTTACAAAAAATTAAGGAAGAAAATATACCTACACGTTATGGGACGTTTGGGGAAGTACTCGTAGTTCCGAAACGATACAAGTCGATTGTTTTAAAGGTTTCTTTTGTTACACGATAAAAAATATTTTACAGAAAAGTATTCCAAGAGAATTTGGTGCTGAAAAAGGTACAAGAAAAGCAGTTTGAGATTATTATTGTTATTTGAGAATTCAAGAGAATACAGAAGAAATTCCTAATATGAGAGAAAAATTAATTCAAGACCTGCGACAAGTAAAGAAAGAATATGAAGAAGCTATGGAAAGCCAACCGACACCTAAAAGAAGTGTGGAGTGTGTGGTGCCAGAGCTACCGAAATGCAAAAAGAACGAACCAAATATCTTCAAAACTGTAAAAGTAGTTAATGCGGACAAACGGACGGAGAAAGTGACCATAATAGCGCTTTCCAACATGAGTTGGAAAATGCGCTATGCTTCTGCGAGACTGGTCGTGTGTAATTATAGGGAATAAAATATACAGGATTAAAATTGTATAATTATTAAGGTACAGATTAAGTTGTCGGAGGAAAATCTTCATTTATTTACAAAATTCGTCGGAAAAACGACAAAAGAATTTAATTTCATGGGGGGGGGGGGGTTAAATTTTACGTCATTTCTTTTTGGTTAGGGTCCAGATTAAATTAGCAGAGCAAAATCTTCAATTATTTGCAAATTTCGACTGGAAAACGACAAAACAATTTAATTTCCATCAGGGCAGATTTTAAGTTTTACCTCATTTTTCTTTCATGAGGTGGATCTAAATTTTGTGACGGCTTCTTTTTTTTGTTAACGTTAGATTAAGTTGATACAGCAAAATCTTCATTCATAACACAATCCGTCGGAAACGACAAAACAATTTAATTTCATCGAGAGGATCATCTAAATTTTATGTCATCTTTCTTTGGTTAAGGTCGAGATTAAGTTGGTAGATCAAAATCTTCAATTATATCAAATCTTTGTTGGAAAAACAACAAAATAATTTGATGTCATGGGGAGGAACTAAATTTCACATTCCCTTGTGGTAAAGGGGGAGGTTAAGATGGTAGAGCAAAATCTTTATCTATAATTTCGTTGGAAGAAAGACAAAGTAGGTACCTATTTTTATATCATGGGAGGTGCTAACGTTTACCCTAAAAATGCTACAAATTGCACAAGAAAAATAAGCTATCGTTTGTCACCTCACGTATTGACAATTACGCCCTAGTTGATTTTAAAGAACGCAACGACTAGAGGAAACGGGGCCTATTACGCAATACTCCTGCACAAATTAAGGCAAAATATGTAAGTGTAGGTAAAGAATTATAAATGACAATAATAATTTTTTAATTACCGAAAATAATTTTTTGATACAAAGAAATTATGGGAATTGATTCTAGAGGGTAGGTTGATCATTATTGTTGTTTTGTATGAGTTTGTAAGCTGGTCGTGGTTAGTTTCTAATTTTCTATATTAAATGAAATGCAATAAGCGGTGTGGTGTGACCCTATACGGGGCTATTGGATCTGACCCATTGCATAGAGGAAAATTGTATTTCCTCTATTCCCATTGTCAATAGGCTTAGTTACATGTGGCATTGGTCCAAGTGTCTGTTCACAGACAGACAGACACAATCGGCTATTACTTTGCTCTGCCGCTTAATAATTTGAAATAATCATGGTGGACTTATGTTTGTGAATCCGAATCCAATTCCCAAGCTTACTTTCATTGAAATAGGTAATGAATCACTACTCATAAACCTCCAATTTTTATTATAAAGAATAAGTACTTCAATAGTAATTGGTACTGCCTACTGTAATATATTTATAGGTATGTCCCTATCACAAGTGTATCCACTTCAATAAGTAGTTCACATTTAAAAACCAGTTTAATTTTTTATGTTTGAAATTGGTTCAAGGGTTTTAAGGACTTTGTACTACATTTCATTACAACACGCGAAAACGCATGACCGAGGTAGGTATTACCTGCTTTTATTTCGACACCTTATTTTCGGTAGGTAATTAATATGTATAGATAATATGCGTAGGTGAAATAATTACAATAGTCAATATCTGTAGGTATATTAATAGCGCTACTTTTATTCAGAGATCGAAGTACTGTTATCAAATGTAGAGGTATATTTTAAATCTCCTCCCTTAAACTTATCGTAAAGATAGGAAATAACGGTCTAAAATAGGTCACGCTTGTGACCTAGGTACCTAATAAAAATCTAAAAAATACACAGCTACTAAAATTTTAGAATGATAACACTTCAATCAATAAAAACTCAGTTGGAGAGACGGACGGACGGACGGATTACCAAAAACCATTTGGAATAGAAATTTCAAATTATCTTTCGCAAAAATACCTTGCTGTGATAAGAATTTGAAAAAGTATACAATTTTCTCCATCTAAATTATCTTTTATAAGATTAAGATAACTTCCAAATCCGGCAACTGGCAAGGATATCAACCTGCTCGCTGCTCATCCTTCTCTCGCACGTTGTGTTCAGCGTATCTCCGCGTGAATAGATTTCAGATGAAATTGCCGTGGTGGGTAATTGACACTCACCACACCACGCAAGTTTAAAGTTTACAATATTTAACATGCTGCTATTTAAAATTACTTATCAAAAATTTTAACGTGGTGAAGTGCGAATTGGAAAAATGTCGGGGGATCACGACGGTCTACGTCTGAGACGTACACAAAGCGTTACACGAGCTGAAGAAATACAAGCTGAGGAATTAAGAGTGAGAAGATTACAACCAGATAAACCGCAAGTAGTCATTTTCTCATTTAATATTTAAGTAGGCCTCGATTGTCCGATTGTCATTTATTTAATCGGATTGACCTTCAAGAATTCAACTTTGATTTTACTTTCAAGACAAACCGGCGATACCTATGGCAAAGCATTGTATCTGAAGTTAATTAAATTAAACGGTTTAATTGACCCAGGCAAGTTTGCTAATATAAATGCTTTTATACATACGTGCTGCTGCTGCGCCACACACTGTTGCCAAACGTTGTCGAAAATATACAGGGCGATTTCTTTAAATGGGCCGAATTTGTATTGGGTGATTTTTAAGTTCAAATGTTGAACAGAAGCAGGCATAATTCCCCGCAGGACTACAAGCAAAGAGTACTCTTTGCTACAAGTATTAAAATTGTATAGAGATAGACTGTTGAAGTGTAAGATGGGTTGCCTATTAGTTGGTGTACTATACCTATAAAAGAAGTATTTATGCAAGAAATTAAAAATAAAACGAAATCTTTGTTCTGGTTTTCCATTTCCACGTCTTCCCCGCCGTCCCATTTTTCCAACCATCTTGCACTTTTCACCCATATATTTCGCCAAGAACAAATTAATAGCATCGTTAAAACCTTTGGGTCAGACCCAAAACATGTCTACCTTTTGATATGATAGATAGTAATTCCTACACGTCTTATTTCAGATGTCACAAGCCGAGGGATTCGCTATTCTCTTGGACTTCGGGATTCGATAATTTTACGGGATTCGTCACTTGGGCGTTCTTGCTGTTGTTTATGGGAGGTCTTCGCTTGTTATTAGAAAATTTTATTAAGTAACCACATACCCGCGTTTCTCATTTATTAAACCTTTTAAAATTGTAGATATGGAATTAGAGTCGATCCCATACAGTGGGTGTACGTTTTGACAGGGCAGGACGATAGTGGTAGCGAACACCCATCGCTAATTTTGTTGCTTTGTACGCCACCGTATTGTACAAAAACGCCTGATTTAAAGTATTTCTGTTGCAGATTCTTTGGTTCCAGTTGTGCTGTGTTTATTAACTGAGAAAGGTCTATCTGTGGTAGGTAAATAGGCTACCAAAGTAGTGTGGGATCCTTACACATTCCTTACTCTCTTACAGGACATTATTCCGAACGGTCCAGGATTAATAATTCACGTTATAAATTTGTTAGTATTGGTAATGATACCGATTGTGGCCATACAAATTAAAGACGGCTTCAGTTTAAGTAAGTACCTAAAGGGTAAGGTAAAGCGCCTGCAAATACTGATTGTTTTTAGTGGGGGCCACCTCTGTGAGTTTCATTTACTGTGTGCTGTTTTTAAAATTATGGTCGTATGTTCAAGTGAACATGTGGTGTCGAACACAGCAGAGACGTTCGAAGACTAACCACTCATTTCGTAGGCAATCGTTATCTTTTTCAAATCTAGGGAGTGGTAGGTCTTGGAGTGACTACTGTAGTAATTACCTCTAGTGTTTTAGGCGAAAGCAAGAATGGGTATAATGACGATCATGAGCACGAGGAGTTGGTGCAGTACCCAGACAATTTACATTTGCGAGATTTATTTTATTTCATGTTGGCACCTACACTTTGTTATGAGTTGAACTTCCCAAAGACGTCCAGAATTAGGAAACGTTTCCTACTTAAACGTATAATTGAAGTCGTCATAGGAATCCAGTTGATATTAGCCGTGATGCAGCAATACATGGTGCCATCTGTTAAAAATTCACTTATACCGTTTAGTAACATGGACATCACCAAAGCTTCAGAAAGACTGTTAAAGTTAGCAGTAGGTGGCGTGTTAGCTTGATAAATAATATTACGAAGATACTTTCAGATACCCAACCATTTGGCGTGGTTGTGCTTTTTTTATATAATATTTCACTCATTTATGAATTTAATGGGCGAGCTTATGCATTTTGCCGATCGTAACTTTTACAGCGATTGGTGGAACTCCAACAATATAGATACGTTTTGGCGTACCTGGAATATGCCTGTGCACAGGTGGGCAATTAGGCATGTTTATTTACCATGCGTTTCAATGGGTTACAGTCGCTTAAGCGCGAGTATATTCGTTTTTTTTATTAGTGCATTTTTCCACGAGTACATGGTAAGATAGCCACCTTTACCAACAATTGTTAAATCGGTTCCTTTGCAGGTGAGTGTACCATTAAAGACGTTTAAGATTTGGGCATTTATGGGAATGATGGGACAAGTGCCTCTGTCTTTGATTTCCAAGTATATGGAGCGACATTTTGGGCCGAGAATGGGCAATGTGGTTGTGTGGGCTTCCCTTATACTGGGTCAACCCTTGTGTGTCATGATGTATTATCACGACTATGTGATTACACACTTCGGAAAAGATTTACTAGAAGACTACAGCCATGTTTAACGTAAATTGATTCGTTTGTAGGGCAAGGCAATAACTAATACAGTTTGCTTCCATATTCGCGAGTGCTATATTCTAAAATTGTGATTTATATAGGTAATGCCATTTATTACTTTGGTAGGTATTGTTACATATTATTATTTAGTTTTGTCGAAGATTTTGTAATGCAACTTTTATTGTGCAGTTTAATTAATACTCAATTGTTGGAATTAAAAATTTATACAAATTTATGCAGCTGTTATTAGGTAATCTGTTAGGACCAACCCCACCTGACTGTGTCTACCCTTAACATATAAAGGCTAAAAGCAGATGCTCAGCTCCATTTCAAGGGTGACTGAACAAATATTGCATTCTTGGCTTGGGGAAGCAAGTAGTAGTGTAAAAGACTATTTATATACACTGTGTCCATTTTTCGAGTGCTACTATGGGGATCTCGCTTATCTTAAGAGATAGAAACTTGGTTAAATTAGGGCAAAGTTGCGAATTTTCGTACTGAATAATAATCTAAAAAGAAATGTATAATATCTTCAATAGTTTTGAAAATATGGCAAAAAATCAAAAATTTCTGATTTTTATTTTTAACTTTTTCATGGTAAACTAATTGTACTAAGTAGACATTTCTAATTAAAACTTTATTCAGACACTTTAATGGAGATTTCGAATATGGCATCCCGTTTTTAATAACTTTCAAGATAACGGAGAAACACGTGGCAACTTTAGTTTTTTTTATGGGCGCCGTTTTGGAGTTTGACATTTTAAGATTAGGTCTTTTTTTCTCTTTACAACGATATATTGCACATGGTGGTTCAGTATCACATTTTTTCTAAAAATACAATTTTCATTTTATGCGAAGAGTGCTATGCAAAAACAAAACGTTTTTTTGTTGTGAACAAAATGTTGACATTATTTCAAGCAGTGTCATTTACGTTTGCGCGAGTTTTATTGCTAAAATATTATTTATTCTTATGTATCTTGTTCTAATTTCAATTATAATTTTCTTGCAAAACGAAGGATCAATTCTGTTCATATGAAAATCGAATTTTTTCAACACATCTAGTTCCCTGATGCCAACGCTGCAACCGGACATATGCATCAAACTGTCAAACTTTTGTTCACAATAAAAGCGAACGTTTTGTTTTTCCAAAGCACTCTTCCCAAACAATTAAAAATTGTATTTTAGGAAAATTGTGATACTGAACCACCATGTGTGATATACCTATAATTGTCGGAAAGAGAAAAAAGACGTAATCTTAAAATCTCAAAATTAAAAATGGCGCCCATAAGAAAAACTAAAGTTGCCACGTGTTTCTCTGTCATTTTAAGTTATTTAAAACGAGATGTCACATTCGAAATCTCCATTGAAAAGTGTTCGAATAATGTGTTAATTAGAAATGTCTAGCACGACTAGTTTATCATGAAAAAATTAAAAACGAAAATCAGAAAGTTTCGTTTTTTTGCGATATTTTCAGAACTATTGATGATATTTTAAATTTCTTTTCAGATGGTTATTTAGCAGGGAAATTCGCAACTTTGCCCCCATTTAACCAACTTTCTATCTCTTAAGGTAAGCGAGATCCCCATAGTGGCACTAGAAAAATGGACACCGTGTATAGAACAGAATTAAACATGGCTTGAGTTGGTCTACTTTATCTTACTATATTAGAACTTATTGCCTCTTTCTTGTCTAAGAATGGATAAATTTTATTGGGGTAGTTGATAATAATCACAGACATTGCGAGTAGAGAGCTGGACTATAATAGGCCTTGATATTGTAACGGAAATGCTCCAGACATGACGTCGCCTTTGGCGCTCTGGAATTTTCTACGCGCGCGATAGAAGGAATATTCGAGAATGTTCGGGACTTACATTGCTTGCGTGTATAAATGGTTGCGGACCGAACATCGCGGCAGTCTACTAACGAACGAGTACGTAAACATCGAGCGCGGAAATATAAATTGCGAAGTGTGAGTGATATAAATAATCGATATAAATTGTACGGATTTTATAGTGTTTTAGTTCTGTTTAATAAATATTGATATAAATCGAACCCGAATTTATAAATCACGTTACAATATTATCGATTTTGCAGGAACCGACTTTTCTGCTTCTGCAACAAGCCAGTGAATGGACGGCCTCAACCGAAGTCCATCTATTTACAAATACAGTGTAAGTAATGTAAGCATGTCACGAAATTACTTCAAACCGGCGGGAATCAATTTGTAAATTATTGACATTGACCAGATTAGGCTAATCGGCTAAAGTCGCGAAAACAAAACTCATGAAGTTTATCCAATTTATTACCAATATAATTTACTATAAACATGCACACAGTAAGCTAAACAGATTCTAACAGATCAATAATTTATGCGCATCCTCACATTAGAATAAAGAAAAATGATATAAAACATTATCCTTCCAAAGTGTTAATACTAATGCAAGGTGTAATAGCTATTTAGATTACATTCTAGATACATATAAAATAAAGCACTAAATATTAATCACTTTTATTATAGGAAAAGACATTTATATTAATAATGGTTTTCTACAGTTCCAACAAGAACTACTCAATAAGGTCTAATATTCGAAGTTGACAATTTTCGTTATTAACATTTGTTGATAAAATTATTTACATGCATTTGCTTTTCAGACATTAGCAGATTGCTTAACATCTACATGGTTGATAAGTAATTAACGAAAATAGGAATGTGTGTGTAAGAAACAACACTAGAAGTAGCTGCTACTAAAAAATTTAAGTACATATTGTAAGTGTACAGTCTCGTTAACCTCTCTAAAAGGAACTAACATGCGCTTCCAACAGAAGTCTTATTTTACCACTGGTCTTTTTCTCACACTACAGAATCTTATTTCGACATCTGGTGATATTCCCATGGGCGTACCAGAAAATAGTCTTTGTGCAACTCTGGTAAGCCTTACAGACAACATAAGTAAATCATATTAAAAAAAAAACAACTTAATAAAAAAATATATTTTCATCTAATTCACAATAAATAACCTCACCAGGTCGCAGTTTTTCAATGTATAATAAGCACTGCTTCTTATACACACAAATAAATGAGAACGATATCACTACAGTCTAGGACTAAGTACTTCATGAGTTAAAAAAAATTATTATTGCACTTTCTAATGCGTTATAGAAAATAAAACAGAAAAATCTAATTCTGGTGCACATTGGCACTCTCAACCACCACTTGGGAGGTTACATTACCTTGAGGTGCTACCTCCTCGTCCTTATTTTCATTCTCGACAATAACCGATTGAGTAATTTGATTCGGTTCAGTCGTAGCGGGCTCATTTTCGGCTGGTGTGCCATCGGCAGAAATCTGAGTATTACTGTAAGCGGGAGGTAGGCATGACATGGCGACCGCATACGACGGAGGGGGCGGCTGTTTCAGAACGCTGGCGCACGCCGCCTCGTAATCGGGCAGTAGAGACGAATAGTCAGGTTCCGGCAGACGATCTGATCCCTCGCCAGGTAAAATGTAATGAACCGTGCTTCTCATGGCTTGCTTGCGGAGAGTTAAAAACTTGTAGCATCTCCAAACGATGCCGATGCAGTAAGCCTAATTAATATGCCGGGTAAAAATTGGTTAAATAATGAGAACTGTGCGTACCTTCCACAGCATTGATATGAGGAATGCTATCAACACAATCAACGATAAATATTGTGGGCTCAGTTGCAGTAATTCCTTTCGGAATGGAAGATTATGCCAGTGATCGGCGACTAGACTATGTACTGAACGCAAATAGCAGAAGTATCCGGTCGCGGTCAATCTGAAACATTTTCACTTGGTAAAGTGACGGAGTAAGTGTAGTAAAGAATAGTGAAACAACCTCTATTAATACAAAATGGCACATAAGGTCAACCCTCGCTCACCTGTTTGGGTTGCCTGAAGAAATTAAGTCAAGAGTACCCTTAATTTAAATTAATGTAATTAACATTTCTGTTAGTCCAGGAAATAGAGACTGAAAATGGACCATTTCCTGCAAAACGAGAAGTAGTTCCAATTTTTTTTGCATGTCATGAAAGAATATCTGGTGGTTAAGAATCCGAGTTTTCGACCTCCCACCCCTTGTGCTTCCCCCGTACCACCTTTAAAACAAAATAAATTTGGTTGGTTTTTTAGTTTTTCAATGATATCTTTTTATAGGTTCAATTTACAAAACAATATTGTTATCAGAAATTGTGGACTATGAAATTCTACACAACCTTGTAGTAGGGGAGCTAGCACGAAATCCACTGAACGAGAATGATCAAAATTTTAACCGATGGAGTTCCATTTTGCCCTATCGGGGTATGCTAAAATCGATCGTCTGCCGCCTCAGGTCATATGACTTAAGGCGCTGCGGGTACTTCTTGCGGTACCAATTCTGAAAGGTTGTTTTTGGAGAAAATAAGTTATACACCAAATGAAATCGTTGATAATAGCTCTTAAAAAATATTTAAAAAAATCGCGCACATTTGGTAACTCCGTAAAAAAACATTTCTTAGTCGGTTTTTCACGATCTTTCTACGGATATAACTAGGTTACCGTTGGATGAATAAAGCTGATTTTTTTTACAGACTAATAATAGGTACAGCCAATGGCTATAAGAGTGTTTCTTTTTTAAATTTTTTCTCTAACTATAAGATATCTTATAATGTTAAGATAATAAGATAATCTTATAATTAGAGAAAAAATTTAGAAACGAAACACCGTTAAGTCATTAGTAGTACCTATCATCAGTCTGTAAATAAAATCAGCTTCATTCGTCCAACCGTAACCTAGTTATATCCGTAGAAAGTTCGTGAAAAACCGACTAAGAATTGTTTTTTTACGGAGTTATCAAATGCACGCGATTTTTTGAAATATTTTTTTAAGAGCTGTTATCAACGTTTTCATTTGGTGTATAACTTATTTTCTCGAAAAACAACCTTTTAGAATTGGTACCGCAAGAAGTACCCGCAGCGCCTTAAGTCATATGACCTGAGGCGGCAGACGATCGATTTTAGCATACCCCTATAGGGCAAAATGGAACTCCATCGGTTAAAATTTTGATCATTCTCGTTCAGTGGATTTCGTGCTAGCTCCCCTACTATTGCTAGTGGGGATATTTGAATCACTGTGAGATCGTAGGGCTTTCTAATATACGTTTGAAACAAAAAAATGATCTTACTTCCGTTCAGCTACATCCCCCCCCCCCTCAGCCGCGGTAGGAATAGATATTTAATGAGGAATAGAAAATATATGTAATAAGCGTTGTACTCTCTGACTAACTTCACAATCGCCACAAGAGCGTTTAAATATCTATTCCTATCTTAAGCTCTATATCTTTTTTAATAAACATTTCACAAAAAAATAGTGTACATCAAAGTTGTGGAGAATTTTATGGTCTGCAATTTCTGATAATAATATTTTTTTCTAAAGTGAACCATTAAAAAGATATGATTGAAAAACTAAGAAATCAACCAAATTTCTTTGGTTTCGGGTGTGGTACGGGGGAAGCACAAGGGGTGGGACATCGAAAACTTAGATTCTGAACCACCAGATGACTGTCTATGACATGCAAAAGAAATCAGAACTACTTCTCATTTTGCAAGTTAACACCCTCCATTCCCTGGACTATGTCTGCTTCTATTACATAGAGACGGCGCCTGCGCGCTTTCTTACATTTGATGCCTACACCACGAGCAGCTGTTACGGCTGCGTCCGCTCTTTCATGCGGAAGAATACACATTTATTAACATACAAGGTTGGATTGCAGAATTTTGGAATTTCACCCCGGCCATTTGCATAGGTATAATTAACCGTAATTAATTGAGCTACAGATAAGAGCCTACGATCAAGTCGCGATTACATCCGTCAGATGCGCCCTTACAAAAGTTGAATTTTGACACCGGTCCTGTATTTTGAAGACGTCTGGGAAGGACGTAATTAATTAAAGAAGTTTGAATTTCGGCGGCCGGCTGCTTGGGTTTCCCTCTTAATTTAGAAGAGGCTTCTGTCTTTTGACTTTCTGCTGTTCGCCGTTTGAAAAGTGGTATCCTACATCCTACCGATTAATTTTGGTTTTGATTGTGAGCTTGTCGCGCCTTGTTTACCGCACCGCAGTTACAGTGTTCGTATTTTTTTTTAACCTTTTACCTTACCATCAATTAACAATTCACAAAAATGAAAAAAAATTAAAAAAAAGTTTTCGCCTTAAGAATTTCAAAAAAATATCTATACATTTTTGCAATATGCGATATGCTCGTCTTTACTAGAAGAATTTGATTGAAATTTCAAAAAAATACCTCTACAAATAGGATAGTTGATAGGCGCAGTTTGCGCACATTAATCCTCGACATAATAGTAAAAAGAACCAACTAAATATTTTGAAAATTGTAGGAGTAGTGGATGGAGAAAGTGACAATAATAGCGCCTTCCATCACTGTTATTAGTGTGCCTAACTGTCCTATAGGGTTAGAAAGAATTGTGTATTTTTTCTACTAAATCCAAATCTATAATTTAAAAATTTTTTAAGCCGCTTGCGACCAAGAGGCAAAGTGCACTTTCAAATTTGTTTTTTCGATTTTAATAGCTCTTATGGACAGTTCATGCTTTAGTTATAAATCTATCATTATAATTATTTTTTTTCCATTTTTGTTAATTTTTCTATATTTCTGTGCGGCTTTTATTGAACAATATTTAAGTTTGTCCTGTATTTAGACTAGATAGTCTGTTTGGACAATGAATTATTATTATTATTATTAATAATGAAAATACAAACATGAAATAATTTTTAATTTCTGAACGAATGACACCAATACCAAGTCTGTAAGTGGTGTAGTTCCGGAGGTTTTGTAACTCGGACAGACATCAAGAGCGCAAAAGTGCACTTTTTATTTTTTGAAAGTGAAAATGCACTAAAAACAAAACAATGTCGTATTTTTCAGACAACAAACATGTAACTTTTTATATGGACACCCTGTATATTACATCATAGGAGTTTATTAAATTCTCTACAAACGTACCATAGCCAAGATACTTCGAAATAACCAAGATCTTTTGATTATCATTTAGATCTAGTTATCCATGAAAATGTTAAAGTACATAATAATGTAGTACCTACATATTTAAAATGTTAACTGGAAATAAGACTTTTAATATAGTAGGTTGTTAACAAAAGCAACTGAAATCCAAGTTTTGAGCTACTTTTACGCTCCTAACAATTCCATTAGAGATTTAGTTAGAGACAAGTGAATTAATTTAGCCACAATTTGGAGGATATTAAAAAAGCACACAAGTTTGTTCCTTTTAAGTACAGATAGGTTCAGATTTTGGGAGATGCTCTAAATTTTATCAGTGACTGTGCTAAAAACCCACTCTGACATATGATGTAATAATATACAAGGTGTTCCAAATAAACGTCGCATTTTTGCTATTATCCCAAAAATCTGATATTGTTTGATTAATGGATTCAGTAGAGAAAAATACACAATTTTCATAATTTAACCATCTTTCTAACACTACAACTAAGAAAGTATGCAATAGTGCAGATTTAATTGTATAACCGACTCTACCATGCGAGTATATTTGTATGGAAATTGACTCTCAGATAAGTTTAACTACGATAAGAAAATGGCTTTCAGAGTATTTTAATACAGAGGGTCCCCTACTACTTACTGCATTATTGAGTAGCATCGCATGTGACTCCATTGACACACCAATTATAGCATACAATAACAATATCAGTCAGAACTATTGGTTCTTTGCATTTCTTCTATACAAAACATGTATAATTTCCTTCTGTAAGTGTTTCTACGTTGCAAAAAACCTCACTTTTAGCTAAATAAGGTGGAAACTTGTAGCATTGATCAATTTTAAAATTCGTGACACCTGGAGCTCAGATTGACACTTTTGGAACTATGTTCAATTTTTTTCAATGTATGGTTGTCTCACTATTCTATTCTTGATACTGAGATGACGCTTAAGTGTAATGCTTACGTTGTGATAGCAAAGTCAAACAATTGCAGACAGAAAAAGGGTAGCAAGTGAGTCGCCCGTCCTTTTAAGGTTCCATACACTAATAGCAACGTAATTGCTAACGTGCACACTGTCATTAGAGCCCCCATGTCCATGTCAGCTGCAATTCATCAATAAGCTTTTACGCAAAAGACAAATACTTCAACATACAAGAGTACAAAGTCCGACCGTCTTGAGTGGTCGGCAAAAAGTATGGATTGTCATTATCTTTCACTTTACTTAAAGGAGTTGGTAATAAATTGTTTGGCTCAACGTAGTCGGGGGTGGTCTGTTGTTCCACCATCAACTGCTGATGATTGCGCATTATAATAGCAAGTACGCTTAGAGCCAAAACGTGAAGTATCTAAAATATGAAAATAAGAGAACTTTACGCGCATAGTAAGCACTTACCAGATGCCATATACCAAGCAAAACGGTCGCCGTGCGAACGTGAAGGCAAAAGAAACATCGCCATTCGCTGTTTCTACCGGGCCCCATTTTTAACCGCATGGGGAACATACCTCCTTAAATCTTTTAAAGGAATTTAATTAGGAGAAAGTACAACATATGTGACTAATATTAGTAAGTTAACTTAAGGTCAATGTTAATTACATAAACAATGGTTTTTTTTGGTGTTACATGGCCGAAAATGGCCACACGGACAGCGGCTGCACTTACCCTGCTCTTCCACGCTTGCTATCCTTCTATATCGCGTTAAGTACGAGAAAAACGTAGGATTTGCTTAGAAATTTCTTTGGTAGGAGAAATTCATAACACAATACGCGATCACTGATCAAGTGACATAAATCATGCAATGCCGCAATGCAAGGTTGCAGAAACTCCTGGCGTTGCCGAGTTTCACGGAAAAGAACCTAAGGCCATTGTATACAGGGTGTTACGAAATTCACGGACAATTGGGGGGGGGGCTTAATTCTGAGACAAAACCGAATAGAAAAATACTCTTCAAGATTGCAAAAAAAATGAATTATTTTTTATTTTAACTACTAATGATAAAACGAAATTGTGGCACGAATAAATTTAATCATTTTTATTTTCAAGATCATCAAAGTACTCATTTTGGTTATTATCTTATTTCATTTTCAACGTTCTCCATTTTTTGTGGTCACATTTGATTTTTAAGGTTATCAGAGTTCAATGGCCCCATTTTTGTAGTCAATGTGAGGTTTAAAGGTTACTCACCTTCTGGAGAAAAGGTCGATCGTCAAATATGTTTGCTGCTTTGAGTTTTGCAATTTCTGCAAATAAACAATGTGCAAAATAAAGGTGCTATTGCCTAACATCGTCCTGTATGTAGGGTTCGAGAATTAATGCTTCCAATTGGTAGTATGACTCTTGAACATTTCATGATATCAAAGTTTACATGTTTAATACATTAATCAATTTTTATTTAATTTAATGAAACACATTTTTAACATATATAACTAGACGAGGCATTTACTATCACAGAGGGTAGGTGGCAAATGGATGCACAAAACCAAAAGATCAAAAATACGAATATATAACTGCATCGTTTATTTATATAATAACATATCCTGAACATTACTATTGAGATATATATGTATATCCGTTTCAGGAATTTAATAAAAATCAAATTTGACAACCCTACCTAATAGAGTTTAGTTTGCTTCATATTCCAGATCAAATAAATAACTTGCGACTAATAATAAATAAACGACTAAATAAAAATTGAGCCTAAAAATATTGGAAAACAATGAAAACCAATACACCTTTTCATATATAATATACAACTTACAATGCAAAAATACCATCAACGTAATAAAATAATGTTCACAAATAAAAAAGAAACCGACTATACAAACCTCATTTCAATGGCTAGCTTGGTCAAGCAGCATTTAATGAATCTTAATTAACAACTGACAGTACGCAATGTATAAAAAGTATTATTGTGTGGCGTTCATTTGATTCAATTTGTAAAATATCTATTTTTCGTTTTTCTCACGGTAATATCAAACTATCTAAAGCAAAAAGTTTATTCCACAACTTTTAGAACTTTGCCAATAGCAATTGTCTTATCTGGAAAAAAAGCGGATTAGATTCAACACTTTTAAAATAATTACACTCACTTTCATCACGAAGGGTAAAGCGACCCATTTGAGGGAAAAGCTTAAACTGTTCTAAGCAGATAACGCCCGCGCACTCGATTCTCATAATAGCAACTTGGTCTTGTTTCACAAACCTCGGCCTAGTTTTACTTTTTTCTCCAGTCTTCCTATCTACTAGACAAATTAAGGCCTAAAAAATGGAACCGTGAGTCGAGTCACTTATTGTTGATCCCAATCTTACTTTAACTGTGATTTCTTCAGCTGCACAGTGAATGTGCATTACAGCACTATATCCGGCACAAATAATAGACTTATGTTCTAAAATAACAACCTGCGCATCAAAAACGCGACCGGTGCGAATAGGATTATTAGCATCACATAATACGAAGCCGGGACTAACATCCTCTTCTTCTACTCCCTTGACTTTCACCTTCACATTTTCCCCTCCTACAACAGAGCTAACTTCGTCATCATCCGACCACAACTGATCGACTGTTACAGGCGTCTGTAATGTTAAAATTACAAATTGTCACAGCACAGGACAAAGTAACGTACCCTATTTGGCATGATCATTAAGTTTAGACCTTTTCGACATTCGCCCGATTCTACTTTGCCCATTACTACGGTACCCATATCTTTATATTTATCTACAATAGGCATGATGAACGGCCCGTCAGTCTTACGATTGAGCGACGGTAACTCATCGATAAAAGGAATGAAGGCGGGACCTCTGAAATTCAATCGATTAACGAATTGTATGAATATTACGTTTCCAATTTTACTTACTTATACCACGGACAAAGTCTGCCGTCTACTGGTTCTTTGAGACCTTGTCCCGATAAACCGGAACACGGTAGAAATGTGAGATCCTTGGCGGGATTAAAGCCTAACTTTTTTAGATATGGAAGAATCTTATCTTTACATTCGTTGTATCTGCAATAAAATTTGTAATTAATTTACGTGCGCGTCCCTGCGACCTTCCAGTCAAATAAACTTGCTCTTAGACACAACCCCACTAATACTACTACTATTGACATCCCTTGGGAGGTGTGCCATTTTGGAGCAGGAATTTTTGAAAAATTTTCACAAAATAGGATCAAATGTAATAATGATATATTACTTACTCCTACTATGCAATCAAAAATGAGTTGCTGTCGAGTCACCTTTGGAATTTTCATTTATTTCAGAGATATTTTAAACAATAATAATTTATACAATTAATGAAAAATGTATTGAATTTACAAAAAAAATCAGAGCATTTTTATAATTTTGTAAAACAACTACCATTATATCAACATTAATTATGACAACGTTGTCGCATTTAATTCGATTAATCTTTTAAAAAGAAAAAAGAATTATCTCTGAAATAAATGAAAATCGGATTTGAACATACGAGCTTCTTTTTGCTTAATGGACATGTCTAAAATATTTCCATTTCCACCCGAATCACCCTGTATAAATTTATTGTGTGGACCACGTCTGTGCACTTACACTCCTCAAATATACAGGTAATTAAGAGGAGTGGAAAAATGAAGCTTCGCTTAAATGTGTACTCAACCGTTAATTCGATTAAATGCACCAATTTTGATGAAATTTTTGTGAATTGTTTAAGTAAATTCAGATCGATTGTGAGAAAATGTCTGTTGGGAAATGTTCCTGGGTGTCAAGGTGCGCGGTTAAAAATTCACCGTTCCCAGACGGTCGGATGTAGGGACTATCAATATATTGGTGCTTTTTTGTGCCAAATCAAATTTCTTTTCGCTCTTTTGCCTTTAAGAATATTCCAACAAAGCTTAACACAACCCTAATTACAGTTGCACAACAAAATGATAGGTCCGTACTAGTCAATATAATCTATAAATAACATTTAGATTGTAAATACATATATGAAAATTTACATTATAAAATTAAACATCACAATAGGAAGTGATGAATACATAAACAAATTTATTAAATATACCTGCACTCACGGACGAATGCATCAATTAAGTAAAATTCATTTTCTTCAATAAACAAGTTTTTGATCTTTTTCCTGAATGGTATTAGTGACAAACAGTTGTCTCTATGATTGATTCTAACAAGTTATGTAAACTCCTGAAAAAGTGCAAGATTCCTTTTCACATTTAAGTTTTTACTACTTCTCCAAATTCTGTGTGTTTTCCCACCTATACAGGGTGTTTTTTGGGAGCTTTAGTTAAACGTTTCTGGGAAAGTAAAATAGGTAGGTTTTTGAAAATTTGTATTTAGGAGTTACGCTGAAGGCCGAATCCATGTAAAATATTTTCAAAATGGCCGCACTACCGGAAGTATTTAGTAACTTCGTTATTTTAAATAGCAACCCAAATTTTTTATTGGGTTTTTGGATTCTACGTGAAATTTCACTTCTTTGGATACCCATATGTCGATATCTGCCATTTATGGTTTTTAAGTTATTTTGACTTTAAGAAAAAAAATGGCGGATGCAGATGGTACCTTGATAATTGATTACTTGAAAACGGTTGTAGTCATGGTAACCTATTTTTATCAGTGCATATAGAATGAATACAGCTTTCTTTTAGTGTACTTCAAAAAAAGTTAAGTTGCGTAAGACCGCCCCTATGGAGATCCAAATTTATGAAACTTCAAAGACTAAAAACTCAGTTTTTTTAAATGGAATCACCATTTTCTTAATATTGCATGAGATAAAGAATCGAAATGGGCATATTTTGACAATACATGTTCCTATAGCTATCTTTAACAGTTTCTGACTTATTCCCATTTTATTGAATTGACACTATTTTTTTCGAATTTTCTTTTTAGTAGTCGGCCATGATTTTATAACAATTGAATTTTAAACAATTCTAGTGACACTAATCCGTCACCTACTGTTATAGGTTAATATAAGTTTTTCAAAAATCGAAAAATGACTCGCAGTGGTTTCACCTATTTTTGAATTTAATTGTTATTTATGGTGAAATGGACAGAATCGCGGCACATGCTTGCCGTACATTCATTCGAACACTGGAACGAAATTGTAAGAATTTTGGAAATGTATCCCTAAATGCACTACAAACCGTTGAAGCACAAGTGATACAAAGCTCTACAAGAGAATATTTAAGAAAATGAATTGAATTGCAAATGCAAAATTAACAAAATAAATTCAATGTAAAATATAAAAAACTTCGTTGAAACATTTTTGGTATGGAATTGTTGCTAGAACAGATATCGCATTACCTCTCTGAATTTTTAGACTTATACGTTGTTTAAGAAATTCAGTTGAAGATTTTTCAAAAATTTTCCGTCCTATATCCTTAATAAATGACTTATTTATTAATGAATTATTTAGACTAGAATCAATGATATTAAAGAATCCTTTTCTTGATTTGTTTAAAATTCGATTGTTATAAAATCATGGCCAACTACTAAAATGAAAATGCAAAAAAATGGCATCAATTCAATGAAATGGGAATAAATCAGAAAATGTTAAAGATAGCTATAGGAACATGTAGTATCAAAATATTCCAATTTCGATTCTCTATCTCATGCAATAGGAAGAACATGGTCATTCCATAAAAAAAAACTGAGTTTTTGGACTTTGAAGTTTCTTAAATTTGGATCTCCATAGGTGCGGTTGTACGCAACTTAATTTTTTTTGAAGTACACTAAAAGAAAGCCCTATGCACTGATAAAAATGGGTCGCCATGACTATAACCATTTTCAAGTAATCAATTATCAAGGTACCATCTGCATTCGCCCTTTTTTTTCATAAAGTCAAAATAACATAAAAACCATAAATGGTAGATATGGACATGTGGGTATCAAAAGAACTGAAGTTTCACGTAAAATCCAAAAATGCAATAAAAAAAATAGGGGTTGCCATTTAATATAACGAAGTTACTATCTACTTCCGGTGTTTCCGGAAGTGTGGCCATTTTGAAATTATTTTACATCGATTCGGTCTTCAGATTAACTCCTAAGTACAAATTTTCAAAAACCTACCTATTTTACTTTCCCAGAAACGTTTAACTAAAGCTCCCAAAAAAACACCCTGTATAATAGTGTACTCATGTACTGTACATAAAAAGATTCCATATTTAAATATGGCTTACATCTGACTTTCTTCATTTCATCCCTTATAGAATTCAATTTAAAAAACCCACATAAATCTAAATCATATAAAAAAAAATCCCTTTCGGCTAGACCGATTAGGTGTAGATAGATAACTATAAAATTGTCCACCAATTTTGTTCCAATATGGCGGAAATTTCTGGTTCACAAACTTGACCGAGATATTTATAAGTTACATTAACCCTTAAAGTTTGGTCGAAATTTGTTCATAGTTACGAAAGTTAAGAGTGAGATATATTGGTACCATTACAATAGGTGGAATAAATCTACCTAAAATACTCGACATTACACATTTACAAATATTCATGCAGGCCTCTTAGTACCACAGTTGAGCTTCCACACCACTGCGCCACACAGGCCGGCTATTTGATTCAGGGATGATAAGGTCTGAAAAATGTTTTCTATCAATTTCAAAATAGCGTATCTAGAAGGCATCAAATACAACTGACTGGCCATACTCTCTAATTTTTCTCACAATGACATACCAATAAGAGAATGGATTGATTTTACTAAGATTTTTGGATTTTGTAATTTTTTCCCAGAAATTGTTGCTCCATAATGGCGCACCTCTACACAGGACAGGAGTGCTACAAAATGTCTGCTCAATAAACTTTCATATTTTTGAAAAATAAATCAAAACTCCATGTTTTAAAAAAAATCGCCATATGTCAACCTCTCTTCCGGAAAAAGGAAGCCAGCATTGCCAAAGAAAACATTTGCCTATGTTCTTTCATTAAAAGTTGTATAGAAAAACTGGCTCAAATGCAAAAGATATCTCCCAGACTTTAACCCCATAATGAAACTTTTCTTACGAGACATTAACATTACCCAAGCGCCTTCTAAAAAAACCTACCTTCCTTCGTCCCAATTGACCGTGGGATCATCCATTTTATTAACTAGAACTACAAGATGTTTAACTCCGGCCGTTTTTGCCAACATGGCATGCTCCCTGGTCTGTCCGCCTCGATCGAATCCCGTTTCAAATTCGCCCTTCCTCGCCGATATAACCTATCTCACCGTTTAATAACAACGTCAAATAAATAGAAACGTGAGCCTTACAAGTACAGCCAGATCGGCCTGAGCGGCGCCGCCAATCATGTTAGGAACAAAACTTTTGTGACCTGGAGCGTCTAAGATTGTGAAGTGTTTTTTGTCAGTCTCAAAGTATGCGCGTCCGACCTCGACGGTCTTCCCCTTATCACGTTCTGCAAAAGAAACAATAAAATCGACTATCGAAACAAGCGACAAAATCGTACCTTCTTGATTAGTGTCCAATGCCCAAGATAAATACCACGACTCTCGGCTTTTCTCTCGAGCTTCCCGTTCGTATTTCTCTAAGGTTCGCTTATCGACCATCCCGGTAAGTGCCATAATCTGCCCGCCGATTGTAGACTTACCCGCGTCTACGTGACCAATAAAAACTACGTTAACGTGCTCCTTTTTGTTCTTTGCGACTTCTTCGGACTTAACAATTTTTTTCTTGGTTATTTTAGGTGCCTCTTCGGATGAAGGTTCCTCGTCGTCACCTTCCGGTGTTAATGCATCCGCGTCTTCCGCCTCGTCCTCCCAAGTGCCTCCTTCGGTCCCGCCATCGCCGGGCGATGCATCACCATCAGCTGGTGGTAAGGGAGGTGGTTCTTTGACTTCATCCCTTTCTGTTGGTTCATCTACATTTGTTCCTACAACAAATGGGAGTAGCACTATTTTTAGAAATCCATATGTGCAGATATGCTTAAACCTTTAATCTATAACCTAAATGCAGTAAAACACAGCCATAATGCAGTCAAAATTTCACCTTACCATTTAATAATGAATCATGAACGGGCGAGTTCTCACTGTTGGGAGATTTCGTTGGTGAACTCTCGTCTGTAATTACGGCTGACCTAGCGAAAGAAGGCACGAAAACTTCTGCATTCACATTCAACGTGGAAAATTTTGCTGTGACATCTGCAGACTGCGTTGGAGAATTGTTCGCCGAACCTGAATCGGCCTGTGTCTCCCAAGAATCTGGGGCGTTATTATTCGACATTATTACTTTTCGTAGATTACACTAAATATTATTTATTAAATCTTATTTAATATTATAAAAGCAGACAGAATTCAACAGCACAATCCGCGTGCACTCTCTCGGACACCGGAAACTAATGGCCGTCTTGTCATTGTCACTACTTGTGCAAATAACTATTAAAACTAATTTAAATTCGGCGGGAGTTAAATTCTCTCTTCAGAAATCGTTTAAATAAATCATCCGCTGTTTAAGAAAATGCTAACAAATTCAAAACTAAGAACCGTCAAGATATAATATTGAAATGCGATTTAAAAATTCAAATGTCAGGTTAACAGGATGTTAAACGGCGGCAAATTTAAAAACGGAATTTGAAGACCCAATTTTCTCGGGTAGGTAATTAACTAATCAATTATTACTTTTTCCAATTTCTTATCGGTTGTTGTCAACATTTAATGATCAATTGTCCTGAAAGCTATTCTGTAAATTATATCTAAGCGTACTTATGCAGTAATGGGCGATCAAAAATGAGTTGCTGGCGAGTCGCCTTTGGAAGTTCAAGTTAAATACGATTTCTCAGTTAAACAAAAATTCCAAAGGTAACTCGAAAGCAACTCATTTTTGATCGCATAGTATAAATTTCTACAGCATAAAACAACAGGACCGCATTTAGCAAAAAAGATTGCATATTTTTTTATAGTTGAATTCTCTAAAATATATTTTGGTCATTTTAACTCATTCGAATAAGTCGTTATTATAATAGGATATAGTATAATCATCAAATATAATTATACTCTCGCTCAGTAACAGTCTGATTCACAACAGTTAAGTCAAAGGTCAACTAAATTATACAAACATTTATGAAGATTCTGAAACATATTTTCACGTGTAACATGTGTTGCCTTAACAATATCATTCTCCAACGTAACATTTGGTCATAGATATATAATACTAAAGTCTATGTATTGTGTATGTTTTCTGTGCAGCAGTAGTGCTACGCTATGTCCGTGGTGATGGTCCTACGCAATGTACGACTCTTAACCTCTTAAAAAAACAGAGGTCCGTGACCACTTCCCAATATACCTATATAAGAGTTTCATAAGTTTGATATAATGTACATTATGTCAGTTCCTCTGTATACAGTTACACGGGATACAATAAAACAACAACTATAGCACCTCAATTATAGGTACAAGCATTGAATGGTACAAGCTTCAAAAATTTTGTTTTTGCAAGAAATTCATTGATTCTAATGGATCACCCTGTACACCTTGAATTGTTATCGTCGAGTTTGGTTCCTGCCATTCGCGGATAGATGGCTCTGACCTTTTGACAAGTAAATGACAGATAAACATTAAGGGTTATACTTATAACCTCAAAAATTTCTTTTACTTTCGCATTTTCTCAACGTTTTCGTTTACCATGTAATTAACTACCAAGCGCGATAATGAATTTATACGACGAGTGCTTAGACCACAATCCATTTTTCCAATTCGTCCAAGAGAACCACGGCGATATTATACAACAATCCATCGAGGAAGACTGGATAATTTGCGTACCAAGAATCGGATCGTTCGACTCGCGATGCGTTACAAACGAGGATGTTTACGAGAATATCTTAATTCCCAACGCCGATCTCCCGGTTACGCACTTTTCTACTTTGGCGAAACGAGAGGTGTGCGTTTGCGACAAGTCGATTGTGGTAAACGGCGACTACTCCGTACGGATCCTGTTTGAGGAAACTTACTACGTTAACAAGCACCAGAAGTATAAGTTGTGGTGTGTGGAACGGCCGTTGAATAAGAGGCACTTGATTGTGGCAAATGGTGATTGCTGCTCTTGGAGTGCTCGCGATTGTATTAAGCTGTTGTGGACGAAGGACCGTGCCATTTTAAGTAGTGTTAATAAGTTGATTGAGTGCTACTTAGATGAGGATTTACGGTTTCAGAGTTTAGAGGTGTTGGTGCAGAGGACTAGTGGGTTGTTTCACCAGAGTGTCGATGTTGTAGCGAAGCAAGGCAGGGATGGCGAAAATATTTGCTTGGCCTTAGAAACTTATATTCAACAGTGTGCCCATATGAAGTTACTGCGCGCAATTTGTAACTGTACAGCTCGTTACGATGCCAGTCTGAACAAAATTATTCGTAATCTAAATGAGGTGCAAATAAGAGATTTGGATATTAACTCCATGTATGCCGACTGTTTGTCTGTGGCAAAAAGGTATATTACCAACTTTAGTAAGGTGGTCACCGTCTTGGGTAAAGTGGAGTGTTTGCGGAAAATCTTCGATTTAATTTCGAACCAGAAAGGGGTGTGTGTGACCACAGATGATTTACTAAAAAATTTTGTACTCCTTATACTAAAGTCGAATGTAAGTAACTGGGTCGCTAACTTAAGCTACATAACTCATTTTCGTTTCTCCTCTCTTAGTTTGAAAGACGAAAATTCGTTTTTAATAACTACCCTTGAAGCTGCGATTGAGTACATAAAGAGAGGCGAAATAAGGGTGGACTGCCGATTTGATGAGGATAATTTGGGCAGATACTTTATGGGAATATGTGAGGGTGATATATGTTCGGTAAAAAAACGTTGTAGTCATGAGAAAGGGGAGGACATGGCGCTTTGCCATCCCTTATGTACGTGCGACAAGTGTGCCCGTAACGCCATAGATGTTAACAGTTGTAATGAAAAAGGATGGACCGCTTTACATGTCTCGTGCTTGCACGAGCGTCCTCATATTGTGGAGTACTTGCTGAAAAGTGGTGCCAAAGTAAATGTCTGTGATGATCTCGGACTAACCCCCTTGCATTACGCCGCATTAAAAGGTCACCAGAATGCTCTCCTTTTGCTGTTACACGCCGATGCCACCTCCGACGTTCAGGATTCCAATGGAAACACACCATTACATTTAGCCGCCAATAACGGGCACGAAAGCTGTGTGAAAGCCCTACTTTACTTCAAAGAGCACAAGTCGTGCGCGATTAACGCGAACATAGTCAATAACATCGGGGACAGCCCTCTACACCGAAGCGTAAAGTGGGGCTACCTAGAAATCACTTCAATTCTTCTGCAATATGGTGCCGACCCCAATATATCCAATAAGTGGAATCATACCGCCTTTGACATCGCTCACAATGACTACCTCAAGAACCTACTACTCAAATCTTTAAATGTCGACAAAACGGTCGACGGTACGACAATTGAACTGAATAAAATATCGCCGGGGGTTTCCGAAAACTTGGAGCAAATGAAGAAGATTGACCTCCTACTCAAATCGATTAAAAACAACGACCTGCCTTTAATGTGCTACTATTTAGGCGTACCTAGCCTTCAGGCGACGAATTTGAACACGAATTCGTCCTGTCACCCACTTTGTACCTGCGATTCCTGCCAAATGCAATACGAAAACTCGTCTACAGCGCCCCCGTCCACCAAGACCGTCGCCGCCCTACCGGTAAACGCGGTGAACATCGAAGGCTTCACCCCTCTACATGTAGCGGCGAAGTACGGACGATTGGCCATGGTCCGCCTTCTGCTCGACAAAGGTGCCTTAATAAACACAAAAACACGTAAGGAACAACTGACCGCCCTCCATCTCGCGTGTCAGCATCACAGAATCCAGGTCGTTCGCGAATTACTGAAATGCGGGGGATGTAATGCCGACATGCAAGATGTGAAAGGTAATACTCCATTGCATTACGCTTGTTTAAGCAACGACGGTGGTATTGTAGAGTTGCTTTTAAGTCATGATTGTGATATTAGTATTAAGAACTCAAATAATAAAACCGCATTGAAGGAGGCGCATTCCAAAATGTTTTGGAATGTGGTGAAATTATTTAAAATTAATTCAAATAGTAACGATAACAATGGTTTATTTTTATCCTTGTGAAATTTAAGTCGTTTAGGGCAAGGATATAAATTTTCATTTATTGGTCCTTACTTTGTTTACAGTTAATCAACTAGCAATTAAATGCTAACGATCTTTAGTGAAAAAAACAGGATCAGTGCCTTGTTAATTATCGCTATTAAATCAATTTATGGCACCCTTAAACTTATTTTATACTCTTTTCATTTACATTCCACGTTTGTGTTGCCTCTTTATAGCACAGAGCAATCGAAACCTTTACAATATTGATTAATTTTTCACACTGAAACACGCCAGGGTGCAACTAATTTTCTGCATGCTGATAGTATGGAATCTGTCTCCCTAGTATTCATTGTCTGCCTGTTCCTCTTCCTCCTATACACTATACAACAGGTACAGTCCTAGGTACAAAATTTACTTTACAAAAGTTCCTGTGCAATATTTCGAATTGCCATAAGAACGCATTTGGGCATTAAAATATTCTTCTAACTAAATCACTTTTTGTTACCATAAAAATATACAGGTTATCTGTGTAAGTAATGTTACTTTATTCAATGTCTTGATTGCCCGATGTTCAATTTCTGATTTCTTCACTTTAACTTTAATCCTAAGAAAAAATACCTACTTCCTAATTAACCAACTTTGCTCAAATAATAATAAAGCTAGCAGTAGTACCGGATTTAGTTAGAACACACTATAATTAGTGAACCGTGTCGCGCATTTTAAGATGCAAAAAATTGAAGAGGTCCATTTGTTTGTCGTAGGGCGCGGTTTTGCAATAAATCATTACAATGGAGAAGTTTCCAGTTCTTTGTTGTAAAATAATTATGAGAATTGAAACAAAAATGCCAAAGATTCATTAAAATACCTCTATAAATGAAAAAGTTACAAGATTTTAAAGTTGCGCTTGGAAAAATAATTTCGTTTCAGTGTGTGACGTCACTTGACCTATTCACATAAGATGGCTATTCGTTCGCTTACTACGTGTACGGTTGGTTACGGACTCATTAGGTCAATTGACGTCGCAAGCAGTGCAGACTACTACTGTGTTGCGCACTGTAATACTTAAACTGAAATAATATATCAGTGATTTATTACGGATTTTAAATTTTTCTTTACTAGTTACTACAGTCAGGGAGACATTTCTGAAAAAGGCTCTCTAAATCATGTCTAACGGCGTTTTGTGCTATAAACTGGCAACAGGCGGTTCCAGACTAATTTGCCCCCGTTCAAAACGATGCGCCCTGTTGCCAGACCCGATTTTGACATTTAAGCCCTTAAATCCAAGATGGCGGCCAAAATTTCGTCGTTTTTTCGGTTCGAGCCCACAAGGCAGCAACTGAACGTTTTTGGTAGTTTAAGGGTAGAATAATATCTAGTACACACGACGACACCGTTTAGGCACACTTTCGTATTCATATTAAGGGCGTAAATGCCTAGACTCCGCTTAAAAACGTCAAAAATGCAAAAGTCATCATTTTTTTTCTTTCTGACCGGTTGTCGACGTCCAATATGCATTCATATGGTCAAGTTAACATATAAGTATGTGGGGACCACCAGCAGCGCCATATGCCTGGGGCCTAGATATCAAGATGGCGCCTGGAAAGTCCAAAAACAGTGAAAAAGTCGTTCTTTTTGCCGTAGTTTTACTACACTGGCCACCCTTTACGTTCGCTGTTCATTTTGGTGTTCTGGAACATTATTATGAGTAATTGCGACTGCCATCCCGGACCATATCAATACATATTGGACGCCGACAACCGGCCAGAAAAAAAAATGACGAATTGCTGCATTTTTGACGTTTTTAAACGGAGTTTTCGCATTTAGGCCCCTAATATGCATACGAAAGTGTGCCTAAACGATGTCGACGTGTGTACTAGATGATATTCTACCCTTAAACTACCCAAAACGTTCAGTGGCGTGCCTTGTGGGCTCGAAATAACCGAAAAACGGTCATTTCGCCCGCCATCTTGGATTTAAGGGCTTAAATGCCAAAATCGGGTCTGGCAACAGGGCGCATCGTTTTCAGCGGGGGCCAATTAGTCTAGAACCGCCTGTTGCCAGTTTGTAGCACAAAACGCCGTTAGACATGCACTTTTCAGAAATGTCTCCCTGACTACTATATTTTATTGTCATTATATTAGATATTGTATTATCAACACCATGAAACTCGTCCAATGGAATCATCTATTTTTTTTTAGAATTCAACACTTTCGTTTTTCGAGATTGGAATTTTAAATTCTTTCAAGTTATTAATTTTATTATATTGGTGATAATGTGATCAAAGATAATACTTTATCTTTAGATTTAACTTTTTGAGGGATAGGGGCACCTAATAGACGCATGCTCAAGTGAATGTAGTTGCTCTCTGTCTGTAAGCGCTTGTGTCTAGTCCTCCTTGAGCATGAATAAATCTTGTGTTCTGGTGTTTAACCTTGGACTAGAGGGAACCGCCATTCATCTTTAATGTTAAAAGATTTTGATAACTGTGATATGATAACTACATTCTATTTAAGTTATACCTCGATGCATTACATTTACAAAATTAAATTATCCTTGCTCTAAATATGTACCTTATTAATCTAGTTTAATTCACTTCTTTGTTTATTGCAGAGTAGGTATATGTTGGCTCTCTTCATGTATATTTATATTTTTACTTATAGTATTACATTGTACCTTATTAATTATTGCTTTGTTATATCCCTATTTATCTATTATAGCTATTATATGTAAAGCAGATAGGTACTTTTACATGTTTTTAATGAAGGTGTATTTAATGGTTCTTTGTTTGCTTGTATAGAAACTACTTTTTCCATCACCTCGCCTCACTGCATTCAAATCAAATTCTTGATGATTTCTCTCTGTGTAGGAGGTGTGAAGATATACTGATGAATGACATTGTGCTACTGCAGTGAACCACATACCTAAAGGTTCCTGGAGTGAAAGAGTAATGCCACCTAGGAATGCCTTAGAAATCATCAGGAAGATTTTAGATTAAACTAGAGATGTTGAGAATTGTATGATACCTTATCGACTGTATGGGGTTCAACCACACAGGAGAATGTCACTGGTCTGTTGTTTCTTTCCTTTGGTAGTGAGTTTCCATAATCAGTGAACTTTGACACTTAAAGAACTCAACCTTGTCATCCTTCAAGAAGTTTTCTGTTCCAAAAGCAGTTTGAAAAACCCTAGAGTATTTTGATTGAAAGAAAAGCTATTTTTTTTTAACTTTTCGCCTAGTGTGGTACATATTCACCATCCAATTTTTTAACAAATGGCGTATCATCCGAAGTACGCATATTTACACTTCCTACATAATCCTAGAGATTGAGTGAAAGAGCAGCTCTGTTGCACTTCGCCTCTATACACAGTTAGTTGATTTATTTTCCATTCTTTTTTTTATGAACAAAGGCTGTATTATTATTATTGATTTGCCAGCATGAAAGAAAGGCATCATAGTTTGTATTTTGATATTTCTGGATTAATCTTGAATATCCACAATAAATCCAGTGGGGCAAATTCAGTTTCACAGAAACGCCATATTCGACACAATGTAAATAATATATTTATTCTTCCTTTAAGTTACAAACCTGAATACATATCAAGAGTAACACATTAAAGCAAAAAATCACTGGCTTTAATTAAATGCAAAATGGTTGCAAAACTATAGGTATCTAATCAAAAACCTCATACATAATAGACCAATCACAATGAACTAACCTAATCTAAAATATATGCAAATAAAAAGTTAATGTGAGCAAATTTTTAATAAAAATTACATTTTATTATCTTACAGAGCATTTAATACCGTCTTAACCACAGAAACATAGTACACACAAGCAAACGAATTACAATAGAAATGATCAACGGCAGTCTGCATTACTACAATATTGGGTTGTGCATAAGTCGATAATGTTAGAATGGTAAGGCAGACAGTTGGTAATTATCGCTATAATTATGTAAATGTTTCAAAAAGGTAAAAAGGTACAAAAGGGTGAAGCGAATACTTTTGGTTTTGATTTCTTCATATTAGCACTGAAAGAAGAAGATTATTACAATCCGTAGGAGACTACGTTACCTTAACAAAGAATGGTAGATTTTTAATCTTTCCAATCCTTTTTAATGTCGAAACTCCACTCCCACTTTAGATGTTCGTGCTTATCGTCGTCGGTAAATAGGGAGTGTACCGTGTAGTTACCTCTGGTCATCATACCCGATGGAGCATCTTCTGGTGGTGTTGTGTATGATTGCATCTCACTCTTTGGAGCATACGATCCGACCATATGCGTCATCTTATCAACTATTGATGAAAAATCAATTAATTTCTAACATAATTATTATCCTCATAAGTAAAATGAAGGAACATAAAACTAAAATCTAGTTCGCTTAGTCACAGATGATAAAATCTAACTGGGCTAGAAATTCATATTTAGGAAGGAAGTTTTATTAAAAGAAGGCCAGAGACTATACTTATCAGCGTAGCGGATACCTCAGGAAACTTGCCACAAGGAAGGGGGGGGGGAGGGGTTTGTCAATTTTCAATATCATCCCTGCAAGAATCACACAAAATTTTATAGGGTCGCAAGCATGGTTTCAAAAGAAGAAAATTTACCTGGTTCTAAAAAGGTCCACAGGAGGGCACAAAAGAGAAAATTAAAGGGGTACGGATTACATTACCCGATCAATCTCACCTGGAAGACCCAACTTGTATGTTTTCTGTACATACTTCAACCCGTGAACGATCTCTCTTTGTACGATAAACTCGATCCGAATTCGGTACGAAATACCCTCCTTAATAGCAAAGGTCTCTTTCTTCAGCTTGGAAATGTCGCCAGTTAAATCGAGAGAAACCTCCGGTCGATCGGCGACGACCAGAACCAATTTTTTCACTATCACCTTTCGAGGATCATCAGGTTCTACAAGTCCGTGAAAATAATCAATTAACCGTGGTTAGGGGAGGAACATACCAACAATCACGGTCCCCGACTCCGCCTGACCTAGAAGGGCTTGTTTGTATTTTCGCAAGCTCTCGTCCTCTTGGTCGGTTGCTAAGATTTCCTCGATTGTTTTTTCAGGTGGTGGTTTGTAGGTACTGTCCGTTTCGTGGTCGAAATCCTCCTGAGGCGTAGGTCCATCACCAGACATTTTACTAAACAATGAAAAAGGTGCGATAGTTTAAGGAAGGTTAGTAAAGGGCGCAGATAGAAAACCCTTTGATTCATTTTTAAAAAAAGGGGCGGAAAGCATGGATTTTCCGCTGAACAAGGATCAAGTACCGGTTTGAAAAAAGGCGGAAGTTGTAAAATATTGGAAAAATGGGCCATTGGCCTCTGTTGTTTTATTACTAAATGCAATATTGATAATTTCGTTACTCACCCGAGTGATAATAAACGTTAAAATAAAAATTATTGCTATTCTATTTTACAAAAATAATTATCGACAAGGGTGTAATCGCCTTATCGGTACACGAATAAAAACGAATGAGTTCCGAACATACACGAATTTGGGAGCGGCTAAATTTAAAACCCAATATATTTCTCCTTGACATTCCTATGATTTTTGTTTGGATTACATTGGCCGAAAAATTTGAACAAAAAATAATACTAGATGCCTTCAGTGCTTATTTTCTTTCGTTCAAATAATTAAAAAAAATCTAATTATGTGATAACTTCTTTGCATCGACGCAGTGGCGTAGCATGTGACCAACACCCTTATTCTATTGTCTATAACAAAGGCGGCGTTAAAACACATCCACTGTACAGTCTCGACCTTTGACCCTGCGACTTTCATGTGTTTGGATCCTCTAAGCAGACTATCGATTCGCAATAAACGACGAAGTGTGTGACTGATGGGTGCACTAGTAACCGGGTTTCATTGGCGATTTGAATGCCCTTTATACTTCTGCTCTGGCCGCTGTTGCTGAAATAATATCGACATTATTTATTGTCTCAAGCGCATCTATTATTTCACTCATTTGATACTGTGGATGGACGAGGGCCACTCACCGCGTTTCTGTGTACGTTGGAAACCAGTAGCTTACAACCGCGTTCCAATTCCTATATATAGAACCATCGCTTTAAATGATTTGGGTAGGTTCTCGCTGTGTGAAACTGAAGTTTTGCATCTGGAGCGCGGGCCTATGCAATTTGAAAGTATGAAAACAGGAAACTATATTCTGGGGTGGTTGTGGTACGGTAACTACAATGCTTATTAGTCCGTAAGCGTCGCTATACCACTATCAATTTTTTTTGGTTAACCAATCAAAAACCAGCTCCAATTTTCATATTTGAAGTAAAAACATGCCTAAAATTTCACAATAAATCGAAATATTTCAAAATCTCAGTAATGCAAAGGACTTCCTTCTAATGTACTTAAATAACCTTATCAAATGTAATTCGCATTCAGTCGCTGCTGCTTTAAAGTACTCGAAAGTTGTGGGTCCTAACCTAAAACTACAAACTATGCCAAAAATACCGAAACATATACCAGAAGCTCAAAAGCAAAGGAGATTAATTAAGGAAAAGTTTTCGAGGTATGTACCCGGACGAATTACTCTGCAAGTGCTCGGCACCGGAGCTAAGGGTGCTCCGCGTAGCTTGTATGTTTTCTCCGATCAATCTCGGTAAGCAACACCTCTTGTGTTCGTAAAGGTGGTTACTTGTACGGTTTCAGTTACTTGTTCAACTGCGGGGAGGGTACTCAGAGGCTGGCTCACGAGCATAAGATGAAGCTTTCAAAATTAGAACATATTTTCGTCACTCAAAGCACTTGGAGCAATATCGGCGGGTTACCAGGAACTGCATTGACGATTCAGGATGTAGGTGTACCCCAAATTACGTTGCATGGTCCGGACGGTCTGGTAAGTTTGGGCATTATCCGGCTTTGTCTAACGAGTTTGGTGTAGGACGAGATATTTTTGGCTACACGTAGATTTGTGATTTTACGCGATTTAAAAGTTGAACTTGCCAATTGCGACAGAGCTAACGTATTTGAAGACAATGTGATGCAAGTGCGATATGTTCCGATTAAGAAATCCAAAACAGAATCAACAAGTGAAAGTGAAACAGTGTTTCAACGAACTGCATCGTTGGTAAGTATCTTATACAGCAGAGGTCTGGTATCAACATTCGTTAATAGGACAGTACTAATGGAAACCGGAAAATGGGAAGACGTTCCAGATCTTGTAGTCCAAATAAAATGAGGGACGATATTGATGATTGTATAGATTATTATGCACATGAACGTAAGACGCCTTCTTTTTTTCATAAAAAACATTGGCGGTCGACCTCAGGTATCCTATTCCGTGTATCCTATTTTCCTTTAATTTCACAGTAGTGTGAAGTTGGCAATAACTATTTAGTTACAACTTACTAAACTATATTGAGAGACACAATTTACATAATATGCCATTTAATTATGTGTATTTGTATTTAAATTTTTTTTACTTTAAAATTTTAAATGATTTCATCCAATTTCACAATTCAAAATTCTAAATTATTATTGCGGCGTAGCAATGACCATCTTAATTTTTTTCAAATGGAGCATGTTTTCTCCCCTCTGGTTTGTCTAAACGCTACATGTGAGAACAAAGAGAAGAGAAAATTGCTGAAAAAAAATAAGGCATTTTTATATTTTAAGATTGTTGTGATTGTTTTGAAAATTGTTTCTAGAACCCTGATTGGATGGTATCAATGGAATTAACCAATCACGTTTCTTGACACCAGCATCAGGATTAAACCTGAATCAAATATGTTTTTTCACTACTAGCGTCTGATGACATGATTATTAACCTTTTTTCCACTTGTAAAGTAGGCTTTCTCGGCATTTGTTCAAAGTGGTTAATAATTTTTTATTATTAACTAGTAGTCAATAATGAGAACTGTCACGCTGTCACTTTTAGAAAACACAACCCGAAATTTCGCTCAATGAACGTTTAGACAAGTTCTCTAAAACGAATAATTGCCACCATTCGCAATTTCCAGAGAAATTACATACCTAAAATTATCACATTTTGAAAAAATTCGAACGAAATTACTCTTTGCAAATATCGCAATGACAGAACAAAATACGGCCTGTTTGACTTGTACTTCCACGTACTTGATTGACATGTTAAATTAAGAAACAAACAATTCTGTCCAACCGTTAACTCTCTTATCAATATAATATGTTAATTTAGAGGATTTCAAGTGCTAGTAGTGAAAAAAATAGTATATATACCACGGTAGAGAAGTCTATTATTGCCTTCGCACCTTACACCCCTCGGCGCAAGCGCCTCGAGATGTAATCTTGGTGCTCAGGCAATAATAGTGGACTTCTCTACCTTGATATATAATGTACTATTTTCTATTTCGGTGTCACAATGATGATTTTGTACAAAACGAAAACAGTTGTACAAAGACAGTGATTATAGTCGTTTTTTTGGTAACTCATCTTTTAAGTTGGCCGTTACTAGTTAGTACAAGTAGGTACTTCGTTGGGTACTTCCATGTTTGAACTTCAAAATGTCAGTCTTACTACGCTGCCAACCTAAAACTTAACGGCATAAAAAGTGTTCCCAACATAAAACATGTTAGTTCTAATGTTCCCTATAGTTTCTGATAATGATTTTTTTAATTAAATTAAAGCACCGAAATAGAAAAAATAGTATGAAAACGCGTGTTAGAATGCTTTATTGTAATACTCCTATCTTGCGGTCACTCGTGGCTACGCTTCGCGTCGCCACTCGTGCCACAAGATAGTCGTGTTACAATAGGTCGCATTGTAACACTTGTCTTTCAATATACTATTGTGCAACCTGCCCTTGGTCTGGAATTACTTTATCTTTAAACATTTTTCTTACAGGGGGGGGGACTAACATTTTTTTTGTAAAATTGGAAAATGCATACCCAAACATGTAGGAAAATTCGCTCATTCGACTACAATTCTACAACTCTAATTTTTGATGCTATGAGGTTTCATGACCCAGTCTTCAGCAGTAAATAGATAAATCAATCCTGGAATTTTCTTAAAATGCCAGTAGATCCTTTAAAATCCTTTTCTATAAATTGTTTTAGGATCTTGAGATTTCCATAGCCTTTTTTATATTCCTTTTAGATACCCTTAGGATCCTCATCATCTTTTTAGACCGTTCTTGGGATCTGCTAAAAAAAATTATTATCAAAAAATGAAACAACTGTTGTAAGTGGGTTCTGTACAACTGTTGTCATATTGGTATAAGGCGTTGAGCGTCAGAAGTATTTGGGGACTATGAATTTAAAATGTGGAATTAAGTTAGTGAAAGTTTCGTTCTTTAAATGTTTGAAATATTTAATTTTTAATACCATTTGAGGATTTTTAAGAGTTTATTAGATTTTAGTGCTATCCCCCCCCCATGTTTTGCAAAAATTAGTGTACTTAATATAAAAGTTGTTCAGCCCAAGCACAATGGCTTCCACTTGAAAATTCTAAATGGGACACCCTGTATTTTATTCGATTTTTACATTCAACTTTAAATTCCAAAACATATTGTAACGGAAACGCTCCAGACATGACGTCGCCTTTGGCGCTCTGGAATTTTCTACGCGCGCGATAGTGGGATTTGTATAGGAATATTCGAGACTATCCGGTAATTACGCGAGTGTTCTGGACTTACATTGCTTGCGTGTATAAATGGTTGCGGACCGAACATCGCAGGAGTTTTACTATCGAACTACATCGAGTACGGACGAAACATTGAGCGCGAAAATCTGATATAAATTGCGAAGTGTGTAATATAAATGGTCAATATAAATTGTACAGTTTTTGTAGTGTTTTGTTTAATAAATATTGATATAAATCGAACCCGAATTTATAAATCACGTTACAATATCTATAGATTTAGGTATAATATTTTTTACCCTTTTCAATATAAAGGCTGTTGAATTTTGAAAAGAACTATATGAAATAAAGATTGCTTAATTTATATCCTCAGTCTGGACACAGACCTGAAAAGCGCATAATAATTACAACAATTGTAGTTGGCCATGAAAAACAAATAATTATATCATTGCTGTCAAACGTCACATTATGCTTTTAATCAAATATTTTTTTATTGAACTAACAATACGATCTAGCAGCCTCATCAGAGTTAGTCATCTGTTATCCATGTCCACACAAGTGAGCAAAAACATGAAATTCACTGTTGAAGAAAGTGAGGATAGACTCAACTGACTTCTATGCCATTTCATTTTACAGTTTTTCACTGTGGTCTTTATTTGGGTTCAAATTTTTTTGTTCAGCTTGGAATCTGTAATAAATGTAAATGTGCTTCAATTGTTTTTTTGCAATCAAAACATGTAACTTCAATAAAACCTTCCTTCTGTTACACTTTCAATTTATCAACGTGTTTCGGAACTTTAGCTCTAAAAAAACCAAATTTCTACAGCTTCATTGACAGGATTTTCGATTTGGGGAATTTCTGTTTTGAATTTCTCTTCTTTTCCAACTATTGTTTTAGGGAAAATGCCGAACATTCAATTCCGTTCTTTTCCTTCTAATAATTCGGAGAGTTTTTCCATTCCAAACGACTCCACTTTATGAATATGACTCATCAAAATATCACAGTCAGACAGCCAAAAATAATTTATTTTATTTATTTATTTTTATTTATTATATAATCCAATAATCTGGACATATTTGCATTGGTGTCATTTCAAAATCCTTTTGTTGAAGTGTTTGAAGAGAATCCTGAAAGAAACTTCAAATTTTAGTTATTTAGGCCAGGAAGTTGGCAACACTTTGGAAAAAGGATCGCCCAAATTCTATCCTGCCTCACTTTGTTTCAAAATCTGCTTCAATCACTACCCTTTGTTTGACAGATATGAATTTTTTAATTTGTGTTGGCAATTCCTTTCCAACAACAACAGGACTGTCCAAATCTATTCCTGCTTGTATTGGTATATGTCCATATTATCCTGCTTCAAATTCTAGGTCCATTTGAAAGGTATGGATTTTCGAAAATTTCCTTTCTCAGCAACACCTTAGCAGTCGAATACTCTAAACCCTAGCCTGCTTGAGTTGCTATATTTCAATGCCATCCTGCCTGATTACCGCTAATTCTGGATGATGTTCACTTAGTAGAGAGAAATAATATAATGTTTCAGCAAGATGGTGCACCACCTCATAACTCGTGAATATAATTACAGAACTGCCCATTTTTAAATTGTTTTGATGATATCTGTTAAATGTTTTATTTTTTGCCAGGTTTTCCTTTAATATAATAAAATAAAAATGTGACTGTGATATTGTCAACATTGAACTATGATGATTGCGATAATTAATATAGTACAAGGTTGGTTTTTTCACCTGTCTCTGATCTGTAGTAAAAATAATATGCTTACTGTACATAAAATGAGCAAATAATTACCTATTGCTGACTTCACATGTTTCCTTCCTGTACCTATCTGCCCGCATTTAATAAAATCATGTCGGGAACTTCATTTAAAAAAAAATTGTAGAGTCTAGACGAAAAATAGAAAACAGCGAAGGTCACGCGTCTCGCTTACTGAGCCTCCGAGACAGCAAAGAGCAAGGAAACGTAATGTGCTACGTTTGTAAGCTACAGCCACGACCGGGAGCTTTAAGCTTGGACAAGTGCGTCAAAGTGGGAGTTCCTAGTGGACCTTTGCTAGGTAAACTGAAGAACGGCGAAGATATCGTGCTGGCGTCGGGTGTCACTGTTCGATCCAAGGACGTTTGCGAACCCGACGATCCTGGACCCGTCTTTCTTGGTAGGTGTTGAGTTATTTGTCGGTTGTACAACTTGGTCTTTAGTGGTGGATTGTCCGACGGAGGAATACTTGGAGGGGTTTCTGCAGGAGAAAGAGTTCGAGAAATATCAGCACACATCCACTGATGATAATTTAGTGGCTTACTTAGTAGTCCATTTCACCCCCTCCAATATTATTAACCACCCCAAGTAATTGTAACTTCTGCAGCTATATGTGAGGGTATTATTGATGATTTTAGGTATCGTGAGTGGATCAGTAAATTCTCTCCGAGTACACAGCATTTAGTTTTAAACGAGACTAACACTTGCATGGGCAGCGAGTCTGTTCATAGGGTGCAGTACAAGTTAAATCTACTGCATGACGCTGTTTTTCCATTGTTAAGTGATCGAGGATCAAAATATGATTTAAATGTAAGGTGAATAGGGAGGGGAAGTCGGTTATTAGTTTTGACATTTTTCAGCGATGCCAACCGGAAATTAGTAAACGATTAAAGACTGACGAGAATGGGAAGTTGGAATGCAATTGCACTGAAATTCAAACAAACAATACAGTAACATCCCAAGATGTGTTAATACAAGCAAATACTTTTTGTAACTTCCATTTACGACCGAAAAAAGGTTTAGACAGGTATGTATAATGTACTTTAGATGTTGGGCGTGGTATACAGTTGTGAGTTGTTAGAGAATTCCCAATTCGTAACCTGTTTGGGAGGAGGCAAGAAGACAGATTTCAAAAAAATCTTTATTAACATCAAACAAAACCGTGTATATCTTAAAACTGTTTTTCCAGTTTTTGGCGATTTTCTCGAATTTTTGCTATAGGAATAATATTTTTTTATTTTTGTTTATTAAAATATGTCTTCCCGAAAATTTTGCTACCCCGCGCACCTCTGTACGATGAAAAAAAAAATAGATTTTTCATGCTATGTTTCCTCCAAATTTGAAACCCCTACGACTTTTTTTTCGCAAAAATGAATAAAAAACGGAAAAAACAGTTTTTCCGGATTTTCTAAGAAAATTGGGGGTTATGTGAAAATAGTGCAGATACAAAAGTTGCTCATTTTTTTAATCTATAACTTTATTGAACATTTTCATCCAAAGTTAATAGTTTTGCCACAATTTGCAAAACGTGGTGTTTTTTTTCCACCCCTTTCAATCCCCGGGATTTCACCCGCGGAAAAATGCAGCTGTTTTAATTATTTTTTCCCAATTTCTATTCATTTCACCTGCCTGAGAAACCTGGTTTCACTCGGTAACTAATTTTTTTTGAAAATACATAAATTATTTTAGAGCCTGGACTATGAAGGATTATATTTGTTTTGAAAAATATTATTAGAAGTGCTAAATCGGCATGATTTTTCAAGATATTACGTTTATATAAATCTTCACTAATTTTTGCTTGCAGATCAAGCGAGTTGCTACTAAAACCTGCAGAGTATATCGATGAGACAATGGCCGAGGTGGATTTCGCGAACGTCCTAAACAACCTAAAAACGCAAATCGGCGCAGTAAAAGATACGAAGGCTCGCGCCTATCCCAATTTCGTCTTTTTGGGAACCGGCTCCTGCATCCCGAACAAAACTCGAAATACTAGCGGCATTTTGTTTCGAACAAAGTAAACCGGTGGCGCCCGACCGACATGTTTAATCGCTCGCTAAATTTTAGCTCGGGAAATATTCTTTTGGATTGCGGCGAGGGTACCTTCGGGCAGTTGGTGCGATTTTTCGGACCCGACAAGTCCGACGAAGTTTTGGCAAATATTAAAGCGATCTTTGTGTCGCATCTACACGCCGATCATCACATTGGACTCATCGGTGTGCTCCAAGGCAGAAGGAGGGCACTGAATAGATTACAAAAATTTTCGACGCCTGCCGTACATCTTTTAGCGCCAAAACAAATTTTGACGTGGCTAAACTTCTACGATAGATACTTCGAGGATATATCTCAAGAATTTAATCTTATCTCGAATGACTGTTTGGTAATGAGAGAATTTTGGAGAAAATTGTGGTTAATTTCAACTTTTAGTTACACAACGAGCACACACTGTTTGAAGGGACCGACGTGCACTTGAGAACCTCCTTGGGAATGAGCGACATTAGTACCGCTTACGTAAGGCATTGTCCGAATGCTTTCGGAGTAGCTTTCACTTCACGTACTGGCTACAAGATCTGCTACTCTGGTGACACAATGCCTTCAGAGAATTTAATTAACTTAGGTAACTGGGGAAGTAAAGTCACTAAATATACAAAGTACCGCAATCCATTGGGCTCGTGTGTTAGAGAGAGAACGCATGATTTTTGCCCAAAAATGGCGGATGATTGCGGTACTTTATACTTTATGGGGAAGCATGCAAGGGCGACATATATATTTTCTTCGGCATGTAAGAAAGCCCCACTATTCATATTCTATTAATTGTACTTATTACTGCGTCACAGAGCCAGTTTGCTCCTTCTGCAGACTTTAAATTAGTCATCTGCGCATATCCCGCTGACGCCTTCTTACGTGCTGGTACCTGTAATAGCTTTGAAGATAAAACATAGGAACAAGACAGAATTAAAATTATCTTCAGCTGTGAGAATTTCCGTTTGGAAAATTCGCAATCATATAGCAATTATTTGTAAAAAACCGATCTGAAGGGTAGATTCGAGTTCATTCAAATGATTCTACATAGATCATTGGCTTTCAGCCTTTGATTTTTGAATTGATTTCGAGATATTATGTAAATATTATCAGTAAGGTAAGGTAACACAAATTAATTGTCTTCCACCGTTTTACCAATAGCCGCTTTATGTATAATTTTATTAGCACGTATATACAAATTAGGTGCACAACTTTGATTAGTCAACTGCGCGACTGACAAATCTTTTCGTACCTCGATCATACGGCTTTCGGTTCAAACTTTTCTTTCAAAAGTGGCGTACACAACTAGCAATATTCGCCTTGAAAGCTTGGCAAAGAATTTCGATTCAGAAGTGCAGCGCTCAACCTCCATAGGTTCCCCTCGAAAATTCTAGTACGAATCCCGGTCTCCCATCAGATTTTTACTTAAGTACTCGTCGAATCCCAAATACAAAACGGACCCACCGCAACACAAGCGTTTTGTTTTTGTATACATACGAAGGTATAACGAAAAGTACCTCTCATTCTTTGTCGTGATGGTTTTTAGAACTGGCAACACTGTAACGTTTCGGATTTTATCGGCTTGAACGCTTGTTTCTTATCTTAACACGCTTTATATTTTCTAAAATATTAGTTGTGTTCTCATTTATTATGAAGCGGTACATATATAAAATTTCCTATACAGGGAAATTTGTAAATGTAACAAAAAATCTTTAAACCCTAAAGCGACCACCTGTTACAAAGGCCACTGAAATCTGTAAATTCCTTAACTTGGTAGTCTCAAATACAAAAGTGCTGCATGTTCCTTTTGAACACAACAACGCCTTTAGAGTCAGAGGTACAAAACTGGAAGAAGAGGCGCAGGAGACAAAAACCTGCTAATAATGGCTTAACGTGGTTGGAATTGTAAAATATTAATTTGCCCTCGTCTTCTAAATGAGAGGAGCTTTCGGACGGAACAAAAATAATGGAACTATCTTGACGGGAACGGTTGGAAACGGCTTTATTTACAGTAGCGGCGGCTGAAACACAACTCTAGAAATTAAATCGCGCTACGGTTGCGCCTCCTCACCTCGCACACCCACCGAGCTTTCAAAGATCTTAAAAAAAACATTGGTATTGCATTTGAAAAACAAAAGTTTCATCGATTTCAGAAGTGGTACCGTAAGTTTCAATATGCGATCGGATAGATCGTAATGTCACATATAAAATTATATTTGCCAATTCTCTGCAAATAAAAGAGATACTGACTGTATATGGTGCGCTTTGTCCTATGGTTTTTATATTCAAAGTCCTTTCCATAAAACTTAATGTTGCAAAACATTGGAAAGGGTCTTCTACTTTTTCATGCCATATAAGGTTAGCACGCTCAAATTGACTTGTAGGCATGCGTTGCGATTTGCTTATCCACGAGGCGACAATGGAGGATGAATTGGAAAAGGAAGCTGTGATAAAGATGCACTCTACGACATCTCAGGCGATTGAGGTTGGTCGGAATATGAACGCGAAATACATCCTATTGACGCATTTCAGTCAACGCTATGCAAAGTTACCGAGATTTAACGAAAATTTCTCGGATAACGTCGGAATTGCTTTTGATAATATGGCGGTAATGGACGTTCGGCTGTTGGTTCACGTGAACGTAATTTCATTTTACAGATTCGTTTAGATGAGCTACCACTGCTACATCTGTTTTATCCGGCTTTACGCTTAATGTTTGCCGAGCACTATGAGGAGCTCGAAACGAAGTCGTTCAAGAGACAGATGAGACAGGAACGGGAGGAATCGCTGGATAGGGCGTTGTCGAGTGCAAAATTACAAAACCAGAAATCGACAGATAGCGTATCACCAACGAATGATGTGAACGCGAATACTTCTGAGGTGCTAATGGAAGTTGTAAGTTTAAATGAGCCTTTGCAACCGAAAGAGAAAGGAAAATGCGAAATTTTAGGATCCCAACCAAAGGTAAAATCTAAACCTACAACTAGTAAGCCCTCTGCAACTTCATCATGTAAATCCCCCGCCAAACTCGGCGCAAAATCCCGTTCGATTTCCCCCCCACCTATTCCCAAGCTCCCGAAAATCAACAACTCCGCTTCTATTAATCCAAAATCTCAGCATACATCTCGCCTCAAGCATTCCGCAGATTGCGTTAAACAAGCAAAAGTAGGGCGGTCTAAAACGGAAGAGCATGGTAAAAGCAACTTGGCCAATAAAAAGAAACCAAAAACTAGAAGTCTCACGGTAGCAGTGACAAAAGTAGTTTTTCCAACCACTTATGAAGTTAACTTTAAACAGAAGGGCAACAAATGAACGCAGTTTTTATATAATTGTTATTACATATTTAGGAACTTTGAAAGAATTGTAAAAATGTTGTAATTAATGAATAAAATACTTAGGGAATGAATTTGTGTAGTACAAGAGCTTATTTCATGGTATGTTTGGTCGAGAAATGAAACACAACTGTTATATTTGGGACATTTATGTACACCTTCCATCTACATTTGGCCTATGTTATAAACAACCCTGCAATTGCCCTATAAATTTTTCTCCTTTTAAAGTAATTTTTTATCAAATTCAATTGGTGACTCAATTTAGAAGAGTGGTGCAAGTGCAGGTGCCAGTGGCGTATTTACGGGGGGGGGGATGAAGGGGATATCCCCCCCCCAGAAGAATTGAGTTATCATCATACCTATTAGGTAATACTCCGCTCCGCCCACTTTAAAATAAAGGCAATAATATATAGGTATATATAGAGAGCAATTTTGGTTTTGGTTAAAGTCTAAAGTCACTAAAATCTAAATATTCTGTAGTATTCAGTATTCACTATTCAGTGAGTGATCAGTGTTGGCAGTCAACGATTTGGCTATTCGGCATTGATCGGCAATTCGCTACATTGATGCCCAAAATAACAAATAGGTATCAGGTACTTAGTACTGCTACTGATGTGAGGTACCTGCGTCCTGCCTTTCACGAAATGACAAAAATAAGAATTTTAAATTTTAAAAACAGGAATTTTTTTTGCCCATAACTTGATTGAGACGTCTAATCGAAAAAGTACGAATCGTTTTGGATTCTACGCACCCAAATTAATAAGAAAAAGTTTTTTCCCGAGAAATTTTGGTGCAGTCGATTTTTGGTAAAAAAGGAAGGTAATAACTGCCTTTTTTTTCCCAGAAAAAAAAATTTTCTCAGATCGACCGGAAAAAATATTTTCTTATAGAATGTGGCCTGTAGAATCCATAATTTTAAACAGTTCCAAGATCGGACTACTAGATCAAAAGTTACAGCCCTTTGAATTTTTTGTCGAAATTGGTTTTTTGCCCATAAATATACCTATTATTCAAAGTTTTCGTTGACTAATTAAAGCAAAAGCAATAAAGGGGCCTGTCAGCAGTAAGAAATAAAATACCGTTCTAATCTAATCTTTTTCGCCTGTACAATAATAAATAGATAAATGACTACCAGCATCAGCAACCTGCAACCCAATTTCTATTTCTTACCCCCCCCCCTCCCCTTCTAGTACGCACTGGGTGACTGTATGTGCCACGAACTTGTTTAATCCCCCCCCCCCCCCCCCCAGAATAAATTTCTACGTACACCACTGGCAGGTGCAATATTAGGGCTAAAGTGCTATGCTTTGGTATACCCATTTTTAGTGTTTTGCGATATTCTGTCATCTATGAATAAGCTTGCTGCTTAAATTGTGGACATTTGGTTCTACACAGATAGTTTGGTGTATTTAAACTGAATAGAAATTAATGATGAAAAGTTTGGTTGTGCTTGAATTGTTTTAAATGTTAACATTTATTGCTGAAGCACAACGGCGCGAGGGGGGGGGGAGGGGGAGAGTATGATAAGTTTTTGCCACTGTCCCAATACAATAGGTATAGTGCCTGTAGATTTTGCTAAGTCACCTTTGGAATGTTTGTTTACATATTTATTTTTATTTATTTTGCCTTTATTTTTAAGTGGGCGGGGTTTCAGCCGAGGCTGCTCTACCAACCCAACCCACTATACATGAAATTTGAACTTCCACAGGCGACTCGACACTCGACAGCAACTCATTTTTGATCGACCGTTATATGTTTAGAATGGGTTAATTGAATGCGACCACAGTCGCACTAACATAACCTGTATTTCACAACATAACCTCAATTTTATTATATTTTATACAAATATGACCTGTTTTATTATAATACGAGAATATAAACCGACCGACTTTCATGCTGTACACGAGCTTGTTCGCGGTGCTTATTTATCAAACGTATTTACCACTTGGCGCAACGGTTTGACCAGAGAAGTAGATATTCCCATAACTCCTCGCCCCACAATTAGTAATACCATTGCAGATAACATTCCAATTAATAGTAATGTCGGCTGCCGTTTTATTTATTTTTTTCCACGTTCCTCTACTGTATTGTTTCTTCTCCATTCCATTAGTTTTGGGCATAATTTACGTGACCGTCTACACCTCGTATCTCTTTAAGGCGACTGAATTAATGCAAGGTAAAAAACCGTTGCAGTGTTGGGTTGCAGAGGCATGCGAACCGTTCCTTTTTATGCAGCGACCCGAAGATGTATCATATCGGATCATTGCCGACATTAAAGATTGCAAGGAACCTCTCGATATGGGAAACTTTAAACGCACAGTATACTCGTGTAACGTGTCGCATACAGATTTTTTACCAATTTATTTTAGATAATTGGTACAGTGGCGCTGTCACGCCATTTAATCTTCGAAAATTCTATCTGGTTGCACAGATTAGCTGTACAAAAAAGGTGATAAACTTCTGATGATCCTTGGAGTGTAAATTGTTGTTTCTAGTTATCGCAATAAACGTGTTGCACACGCATTGGTGCAAGCATCACAAAGGTGGGGACGCGAGCTTAATTATACTTCTGTAGAAGTTGCACTGTCAGAGTGTCAGGATTCGGCGAGACACTTATTTGTAAATATGGGGTAGTTGCATGTGATTGCCAAAACTGTCTTCTAAATATATAACATTTTTAGGTTTGAGTTAAGGCAAATGTATCATCAGCAACTAATTGGAAGCGCATTGACTTTGTTGATGTATCAATTATCGTGCAATTTATGTAATATAAAGCCCGAACTGTAACAAATCAGCTTTTACTGGCAGTTGGTGTAAAATTGTGAGGAGGTACAATGTCAATTATGGGTCAGTGTTCTGTAAGAATCTGGAATAATGAGAAATGAGCAGAACTACATCTGCAATGTCCAATAAAGTTTTTATATTATCATATTTTGTACTGAAAGCTAAATAAATGTGTATTGTGCAAAAGGTCCACCTTTCTATGAGGTCTGGGATTCTCTCGGAATACCAGCACTTTATTATGGCAATATTATAAAAATTTAAAGGTAAATTTTGAAGTGCAATTATAAGAAAAAAACATTTCAATAAATCTATTGCTGTTTTTGAATCATTTTAGTATTATCTTTGGATGAGGATAGTCTTTGCTTTGGTGTATGATACAAAATTATGATTTTTGTAGTTGCACTAACTACCCACAGATGGTTTTTAGAACTTCATCTTGCTTTATAATCGCTGATAGCTATAAAGGTTTCCTTATGTTTCGCGTTTAGTTACCGATTGGTAAAAAATCCAATACTTACCTATTTTTACGTCGCGTGTGCACTTAGCTTTATTACCGATAATAAAAAAAAAACAAAAGGCAAACCTGCGCTGTCACCATGTGTTATTTATCGCTTACCCGTCTCCGCAGTCCGCGAGTACGTCACCCCATCTATCTTTTGTCCTCGCTCTGCTTCAGCTGTCTTTGTCTGCATCATGCGCATACGTTCATATACCACAGATTGTTTGAACGATGCAGGCGATCACGACGACAGCTTTAACGGCGATGTACAAATTAAATTCGATGAAATGACATGGTGCTTTTTAACAGTCATGTTCATTGTTGACGATCTTCTCTTCGACTTGTTCGCATATTCAATTCATGCTAATACTTACTTCGACCGGCTATAACAAGTGGGAATATATACATGGATAGACGAAATAGTTATTTACTAGTCGTGCTACCCTTTCTTTGAAGGAATTTTAAAGGAAGAGCTAAAGGTAGACTTCTATTTTGGGGGCCATCGCGTTGCTTAGAGAATTATAATCAGTGATAATATACGTATAGGTAGTTAAGGAATTTTTTTTCGTTGCTTGAATGTTGAAGGACCTATCTCAAGTATAAAGAACGTTTGCTAATTATTATAGTTTATTGTGCAATAAAAAGTGTTTTGTTTTGAACCTGAAGGCTGAAGCTCAATAGTGGTACAAAGAGTAGATCAACGTTTCATGTCAAAAATGGCCTATATTATCACACAGTGAAAAAGGTATCGACATTTCTTAATGATCTGCGTAAAATCATTAATTTGAAACACAAAAACTTGACGATATAACAATTTTAAGAGTGCAACGTCATCTCCAATAAAAATACTACAAAAGAGATCACCAGGCCCATCCCTAAAATCACAAACGTTGGTAATAAATGGTGCAGTCTCAGCACAACGGTGGATGTCTCTGTCTCACTGTCATCTTTGGTGAAGTACTTCTCATTCAGATCATTTAGTCATTTGGCATGCAACCCAGATTCCTTTATGATGCCTAAGATGCAGTTCACAGAGTTCAAGAGGTAGTGTCCCTCCAGTCCGTAGAAGGCGAATTTTATCGGTTTGGTGTAGGAGGAATTATAAATGGCTCTAATCTTCTGCATAAGATTCGCATCGGTTTGGAGGTAGCTGGTGGTCCTCGTCAGAACTGCAATCTCCTTTTTACCGGGCAGATTCTCAATCAAGTGGGATACCGGAAAAAATTTCATTTGAGGCTTGAGGATTAAATTCTCCCGTATGCCGTCGGTGATATTTTTGTACAGGTAAATTTCGTCGTCTTCATTTAAAAAGACTGGAATATGCGCGGCAGCGATGTCCTCCACGGATTCAATACCTTGTTCGTATTGCGGGACCGTTAGTTTCTTAATTAAATTGGCATTAAAGGCGGTTTGCATGACTACCGAATAGAAAATGAAGCAAACAAAGAAGCATCGAACAGCTACTCTTGTAGGAGTAAAGCTGGCATTTCCAAAAATTGAAATTGATAAGATAGCCATGAAAATACTTCTTGATGAGTGGATTGAGCTGGTTATTTTGTGGAATGCGCACCATGCTATTAAAGCTGTCATTATTCCACAAATAAACATAATCCACACCTCAAATTGGAAAATAGTCAATAGAACTTTGAGTTGCGACATGTGATCCGGTAGTGAAACGAGCCATACAAAGTTAGTTTCCAGAAGACTTATGGTCTGTTGTATCCGCTCATTTTTCGCGATGAATTCTGTTGTAACATAATCTAATTTCATGCTGTAGCTGAGCGCATTTGCTCTTTTAGGCGGCTTGTTTTGATGATCGCGTATGTTTGCGCGGAGAGATTCGTTTAGAACTGCTGCAGCGAATTTCATCATATCATCCATGTGAGAACTTCTATTCTTTTGGAGCAAATTGGAAACAACTGGGCATTTTTGGTAATTTTTGATGACATCTTGTTTGTATTCGCGTATGATATCAATGGGCCGTGAGCAATTCTGCTTTCGTCCTTCTCTCATTTCTTCCCCGCAATCATTCCTGTAGGTGTATGGAAAAGTCTGGTATAAAGCTAGATTTGACGGACCATAAGCTACCGCGAAGACCCTTAACATAAAGTACCTCCAAAGTACCTTAAATTTGAATGAGATTTGGGTTGATTGTGTTACTAGTATGTAATGGCTTTTTTCATAGTAGCGCCAGAACCACGCTCTGCCTATGACCATCACACCCAACATATCTATTAGATCAGTAAGGTCATACGCAAAAACCACATAGTTACCTCCGTACACATTAGTTGAGTTTGTAAATGGCTTTGAAACATCTATGATCACAAGCGGGTTTGGTACCACTGGAAATGAAATATTTAGTGTGCCATTCGTTACTATGTAAACGGTCGAGTCCTTTTCGAAAACCGTTTCAATTAAATTGGACAAGCAAAGTTCTATAGAATCAAGTTCACCACTTTCCGAAATGATTGGGTTGCTCCCTGAATTAAAACTGACGATGCACACAGAAACTAAGACGAACACTTTTCTGTTCATTTCAACACGTTTTGCGTCTATTTTAAAGAAGAACCTGTAACGAAATAATGCACAGGACCAAAAAATTACTAAATCAATAATAATCCATTAAGCGTATTACCTACGAAGTGCGTTTAAGTAAATTGGATTTCTAGAAAATAAGTAAAAACTACCTATAATCGTGAACGATTTGCATGTACCTATACTTAGTAGACAATATAATAATGATATTAAAGACAAAAGTCGATTCTTTATGTATTTTAGAAGCAAGACTCTTTGCTATATTTTTTGGTAGTTGTCCACTGTATACATCTACCTACTGATTTTCTATAAAGTTGTAGACAAGACCCGGTAGGTTAGGTAGGTATAACTAGAGCGTAAAGTTTTAATGTAATAAAAGTAGGATTTTAAAGTTGTAAAAAATATCAAGGTTCTGAAGTGTCTTCGCAAACAAATGTTGGACATTATATTGATGTAAGTAATAGTTATTTGTACAACTAGAGAAGAAAATGGATTTTTTCAACTCGGGTTCAAAGTCAAATTGAACGAGAGTTGAAAAACACTTTCTTCTCAAGTGTTACACATAATTTTTTTCTGAAACTACAATTGAAATTGAAAAATTATCGTATGCAATAATGAAGTTTGACACATACCAATCTAGATAGGGTGTTTCAGTTTTAAATGTCATTATTAAGGTTAACGCAGCAATTGTTTTTTTTTACTTTCCTCACTAGAGAGGAAAATCACATTTTCTGGAAACGAAAAAAGTATAACGTTTCGGCCAATAACAACACGATAACCCCAACGAGCCGTTTTCTTCGACATTTTCTCCGGAGTCTTCAACTGAAAGCGACAACCGTTCTCAATCCTCGATCCAGCCGATATCTGGTAATCATCAGAGGCAGTTTTCCATTGTACATCAAGGTCGAGTTGGTTGTGGGTCCGACAGTAAATAACCAACCCGCTATACTTACTCAGATTCGGACTAAGGACCGCCGTCGCCGTCATCCACCAAACTCCGCTGGATTTTAAGTGTTGGATAGATCATGCGTGGAAGAGTAATGGACCTGTGTGGAATTGTTGGTCACATCAGGGATCTAGACAGATCTTCAGACAGAAACCTCTTTAATTAACCGAATATACCAATACATAAGTGCATAGTCATTAATCCTGCAGTGCTTTCATAAACGTTGGTAAATACTCTCAGAGTGCGTTACCCGGCAAGTGTACAGAGGTGGCAATTGGCAGACACATTTTATGCGCAAACGTTCGTTCTTTCGTACGACAGTTGAACAGAACACGACTCCGCTTGCTTCTTGACTCCCAAAAACACATTTCTGTCCTGAAACGACCTCAGCAGGTACATCATTAATTATCTACTGATCTTAAAGCTATCAAGGGGTTCGAATGACAACGATATGATGATTGACTGGCGATCATTGCCTTTTGCAATCATGTTCCCAGGAAAAAAGTGTCTAATATTTGACGGGAAATTCAATCGTTTATGATGCCTAACGTTTTTACCGCGTAGTGTACGTACCATAATCTTCGTCTTTCATACGCAGTGTGGGTACCGTGTTTGCTAAAAGTAGAGTATCAGAGCTTACGCTTTAGTAATTAATTATACTCACGGCACAGCCAAGTGTACGGGCAACAGAGAGCTCTCTCGTTTTTATAAACCGGGGCGCAATTCCTACTTAGTTGATACGAAAATTGATCACGAATTTCACAAGAAAGAAATTTACAAAATGGTTCAACGTATTTGCCTTTAAAGTCCTTGTGGCAAACGCACACCTTGCACGAGTCCGAGGGGAAAAACTTCTGCCCCTCTTTGTAGGCGTATCCATCAACTCTGCAGACATGGGTATCTTTCCTTGGACCTACCGAAGGAATGATGAAAATAAAATACGTTATTAAAGGCAAACTTACTTAGGCAAATATGTCCAGTTGAGCAGCACCCGTCAATGTCGTAACCGTTATAACAGCCACTGGGACAGTATTCTCGGTTGAACTCGGGACACTTCAAAATTGGGCACGTCACAAGTGTTCTGAAGAAGCATAAATTAAAAAGGGTCGATTGATACTGTACCATAATTACTCCTCCATGCAGCGGCAAACCCCGTTGCACGAGTTGTTACCTCGACTTGATGTTTGTTCCACCCCCATCGTGGATGCCAAACAGCCACTCGGATCTGTCATATTTCCAGTGGGACAAACAAATCTTGAAGCGCAAGGATCGGACGGTTTTTCTTTGACTGGTGTACATCCGAGCAAATGGTAAATCATCTCGCCTTTGTGACTGCAGACGTCTGGATCATCTAAGAATTGTTATAAATTGGCGTTAAGTAATTATTGACGGACCCTAAAGCTCTGATGCCTACGTTAGGACGTTGTATTTTGTGGTAAGACATTTTTTCAAATCGAGCGTGCAGTCAAGGTTGTATTCGTTTATATTCTATATAAATGGTAAGAGATTCCTTGGAATTGTTAGATTAAGAAATTTTCGTACCTCAATTTTATTTGTTATCAAGGTGCGCATTAATGCAAATGTGACAGTTTCGATGTGATTTATTAAGTTTTCCGTTTATTTGAGAGAGACAAAGGTAATTGTTTGAGGCTATTTTAAATCTTTAAGAAAAATGGTATTAGGTATAGAAATTGTTGAATTAGATAAAAAAAAAATTCTAAGAATTAAGTGCGAACGTGTCGCTTTGAGATTCATAAATCATGGTATTGGTACTAATTCCCTCGAAAGTTAAATGAGCAATGATATTTTGTGCAATGAAATGTTCCAAAAATTCCAAAACTCTGAAAATAATTAACTGTAGGGGTCCAAATTTTTCAGGATTATAACGGATTGGTAATTACTTTATGTTTACCCAATAAAAACTGACTAAATTATTTCAAAGTCAATAATTAAACTATGTGTAGGTTACAGTTTGAAACAATGCTTCCCCTAGCAGACTATAAGAATTTTTCCCAAGAACACATTTTCTCTTCCTTTCTCCACAACGTTTTTTTTGTACTATCAAGCGCTTTTTTAGTCCTTCCGATACCGTGTTGATTTTGCGCTATCCACAAATCATTAAAATTGAGCACAAAGGCCAAACGCTAAAAATCGTAAAACTCCAAATTTTAGTAAAGTGGGCATACATTTATAGCTACGAAACTACTCTCTATGCAAACACTTACACGATTTTGAAAACGACAGTAATATCTGTAGGCAAAAAATTAAACCGATCATGTTTTACGTGTGGTAAAATGTGAACTAGTTAGCGGCGTTAATAGACTAATTAAATACTTATATTTTAATTGTCGCGGTGTTATTGTTTTTGTTGCCAGGAGCCTTGGAGATTTGCATTGAAATCTCGGCGGCGTTTGTTTTAATTATTTGAATTCCGTACATGCCGATTTTTAGCGCATTTTTAAGAATTAAAAAAAATGTGCTATTGTTTGCGTTTTGTCCCTCCGTCCGTCCGCGGACCCACGTCTGCCGTTTCGAACTACTTCTAGGGGAATGGTCCTATAGTCCTGGAATTTTTGCAGTAGGTAGCCTATACCTTGAAGGTGTGCCAGACGGCCATCAAATTTCGCGGTCTAAAAGCCCCCCCCCGAATAATTTCCTGAGATGCTGTTTTTGAAAGTAAAACGTGCATAACTTTTACATACGACAACCAATTGGTCTCAGATTTGCATACGCATGCCTTTAGTAGTGCCAAATTAAACTTTAGAAAATGCGACGGGGGGGGGGGCACAAGTTCTACTCTTCATGCTATTCTAATCAAGCACTCAGATGCTCGTTATAAAAAAACACTATAGGAAAACTCGCCAAAAGTTGACAACTTCATTGCAAGTGTGACAGATAGTAAAGAATTGTATATTATTAAAGAATCGACCAATGCAATGGCAGAAAGACAATTCGAATTGAGAGGGTGGGAGTTTTGCAGAAAATGGGAGATAGGGGAGGATAGTGTGGGAGTTCTTGGATTTACGTGGTACCCTAGTGGAGATATTTTAACGATAAACCCAAATTTGATAAAGCTGGAAACAGAAAATATGGTCGTAACAAAAAGAAAGTTACTGGCAATGACTCAAAAGGTTTTTGATCCAATATAGAATACAGCTCATTGTGGGAGAGAAATATTCCATGGGTTGTCGAAATAGAAGATGAGACAGCAGACAAGTTTAAAAGTTGGGTACACGATTTAATTGAGATTCCTCGTTAAACCATGATTGAAGGATTACATTCAAAGGACTTACATACATTTGCTGGTGCTTCTAAAGATGCCTATGCAGCAGTTGTGTTTTGCCTTATAGCACAAGGAAAAGAGGTTCATTTGCTGGCAGCTAAAGCTAGAGTGGCACCTATCGAAAGAAAGAAAATAACAATTCCTCGCCTAAATGCTAGCTGCCACTATTGGAGCTAGACTGTAATAGGTATCTTGGATAAAGCGAAAAGAAGGGTGAGGAAAGTCAGTTGTACTTGATAATTGTATAGATTTTTCAAACCTCTCCGGCTTACTCATCAAGCCGGTTCAACAGCTTCGGGGATTGAGCGGACTGAAGAACTAATGGCCGTTTGCACCGTTTAAGATTAAAATCCATGGTAACCATTGTCGCAATAATCGTTGCCATAGATTTTAAGCTACGCTAAAGCGATTAAAATTTGTCGATGCAAAAGCCCATAAGAAGTGTTGAGGAGTGTGGAGATGAGTAGCAACACTGCTTTGTTTAATATTTTATGTAGGTAGATCAAGTTTGATCAGTGTACCATATTAATATTTTTCTAATTGTGTTTTAGTATAATTTGTCAATGTAGGCGGTGTATGACAAGTAAAAAGAAAAAGTGTTTGCTCCAAAACTTCACACAGAGAACGCATTTCTTTCGAATAAATAAATTACTCCAAATATCTCGTAATGGTCCGTCCATTCGCTCTTAACGCCACTCCCTGTATAGTATACATTCATGTGTATAAATTTTGTTCACCGGTATGAAAGATGTTCAAAGTCCGCGATGCGCATGCGCGGTATGAATATTGCCTCGTTTACACAAAACTTTGACAACTGATTTTTCGTACATCAGAGAATGTGCGACGTGTATGAGACGTATAAAATGTATTATCATTTTCTAAATTGTTTAGAATTAAATAGGCATTAATTGTAAAGTAATAACCGGTAATGTAAGCGCATTAATATTTTCAATTTTTTAGATAACCGCAAATTAAGGAAAAGTTATCATTTTATTCAATATTTCACTTACATATTTAGAATTTTTATTTTTGAAGTAAACGGCCTTCGTTGTTCTATTAAAACTTCACCGAACGAATTATAATAATAGTCGTACTAAAAGTTTCTCCAGTCTGTGATATAAATCTATCTGCTTTATAGTGATTTTATAATTTAAACTTCTATTAAATGTTGTAGTTGTACATATTAAATTAAACGAAATGTTTCACGGTAAATTGAGAATACACACGTGTCGGGTTGTGCTGTTAACGTCCTTAGTTTGGTTTTTGATCGACGTTATTATATTATCGCTTTATTCCGAGTGTCTCGGCGGTACGTGTAAAAAGGCAGGCGAGTACGACGTTGAAGTGGCCGAGGCTCTGGTTGCAGTTACTCACGAGGAGAAGGACGTTGGCGAAAATCATCTAAATAAAAGGGACGATAATCGAAGGTACTTAAAGGTTTAAGAATGCGAGACATTTGAATTGAAGTTAATAAATCCTTATTATTGTGATCTCATTTTAATCTGAATTTATGATTCATTGTATTTTTATGCCATTGTTTATTGTTTTGATGGACTTTACTTTTCTGTGCCAAATCTACAGGCTGTCTCGTAAAGACGTGTTTGTTTTCAGTATAAAAACAGCGGCGACATACAAACCATCGGAATTAAAAAGATGGAGACCTGCACCGACCGTGACCGGTGTGCCTGGGAAGCCGGGCGAAAATGGAAAGGCTGTACACATCCCTCCAGAGAAAGAAGCGTTAATGAAAGAGAAATTTAAAATCAATCAATTTAATCTTATGGCTAGTGACTCAATATCTTTGAATCGATCTCTACTCGATGTACGATTGGATGGGTAAGTACAGGTACTTGAAAATTGGAAATGTACATATAGGCGGGTTTAGGGCAATGACATGTGCAAACATGCGGAAAACACAAACATTATACAGGGTGTGTCGTTTATTTGGTCAAGTTTTCGTATAAATTATATTTGATTCAATGCATGAACTCCGGTTATTTCAGAGATCTCAAGGTCGAGATGTTTTTCGTTGGGTATGGAATCAACGTGCTAATTTGTTACTCATTAAGGCCAACACGCACTTACCCGTGGCGGAGCGCCCTTTTCGCTCAAATTGGTTAAAATAGGCAAACGCTCACTTGAGCGCGGCGCGGCGCGGCGTATCGACGCATGAAATTAATGTGAGCGAAAAAGGCGCGGCGCCGCGCCTAAGTGCGCGTCGGCCTTTAGAAACAGCAGTAAATTAAAAATTAGATGGGTGGAGCTTACCTGATACCTAAGAAAAAGGACAAATTTCCAGTGGGAAAATAGGGCGTTTTCGATAGTGTTTGAGGATGACATCGAGTTTGTTCTGCTCGTCTAGGGACATAGGTTGCGTTTCAGAGATGAGTAGGACTACAAAGCAAAGTGCATAATGTCGGAATAATGCTGTGATCTAATGTTAACATCATATCTATAATTCCTGGTTCATAACTCTCTGACTACGAAGCGAAAATCACGTCATTTGCATTTCCTGATGTAGAAAAAACTATACGACACTTAAAACCGAATCTCTTCTTGATTATTCGCAATTAGCTAACGAGCACTACCGCGGCTCGACCGGGAGTGCCTTAAAAATCACGCATTGGTGGTCCCAAACCGAATTTCTTTAAAACTCTTCTCCGGATGAGTCCCTCCCTATCTATTTTGATTTACAAAACACCCACAAAATGGCACCGAGCGAATTAAGCTGATTCGTTCAGCCCCACGAGTCGGTCGGCGACCTTGGAAAATAGGTCAAGGTGAAGTGTAACGGACACTTCTCTTGGAGGTGACCTTGAAAAGTAGGTCAAGGTGAATTTCAAATGTTGTTCGGCACTTTCGTTCTGACTTTGGGAAGTAGGTAGAGGTGAAGCTCAAAGGGCATTAGGTACTATATAGGGCCAGTACAAGGTCGCTCGCCACCTGGTTGCGATCTTAAAAGCAGGTCAATATGAAGCTCTACCGGTCGCTCGCCTCCTGATGGTGACCTTACGAATCAAGTTAAAGTTCAAGCAATCGATCAAAGGTCGCTCGCACCCTTTCTTCGTTTTTTCAGTATATGAGTTTTTAGCGCCGCACAGTGGTTCCAAATCCCGAAAAGCTAACCAAAATGTGAAGCTATTGTGATTTTTCTAAAATTATATATCCGGGTTTTTGGGCGCGCTGATTAAGAATCTGATGTTAGATTTTCAAAAAACAAAATGGCGAATCTAATATGGCGGACAAAAATGACAGATTTTGTTGTATTTAAATGAAAGTCGGTATAATGGAGTTTTTGGGCGCGTTAATCTCTTCTGAGGTTAAAATGTTGAAAAACAATATAACGGATAATTACTAATTAATTGGTTTTAAATGAACGTTGGTGTAGTAGGGGTTTTTGGCCGCGCTTATTGCGAATCTGATGTTAAATTTTTTAAAAACAAAGTGGACAAAGGATTCACTATGGCAGATAAAAATAACGAAAAATTGTTTTTAAACGAAAGTTGGTGTAGTAGTGGTTTTTTGGCGCGCTGATTAAGAATCTGATTTTAGATGTTTTAAAAACAAAATGGCAGATCTAATATGGCGGACATAAATGACGAAATTTTATTATAATTAAATGAAAGTCGGTATAGTGGAGTTTTTGGACCCGCTAATTGCAAATCTGACGTTAATTTTTAAAAACCAAAATGGAGGATCCAATATGGCGGATAGAAATTATGAAAAATTTTTGTTTCTAATTTTTTGCACGCTTATTTTACTAACCGTCAGAAGACGATGCTATTACAGCTCGAACATTAGATCACTCTACGACTTTCTATTTAATAAAGAGCAGGTAAAAATTCTGGCTGTTATGACTAGGTGATGAATGCCGGGGAATGCTTCTCAATGGTCAGTTTTGAACTGATCCTTTGGTTTCGGGCTAACGTACAAACGTGTTTTCTCAGCGGGATTTAAGGTGTACACTAGTAACCTACGCTACCAAATTATTAATTTGAAAGTCCCCAGAAACTGTATTTTTTGACTTTTGGCCAGATTTTCTGGATTTGCAGGCATAGGGGCCTTCCTCTGATGGTTTGGAGGTGACTGGCCTTCTTCTTTCTTCTCTTCCGTCCAGCGCCAGAGATGCGCTTTCGTGGTTTTGCGTGCTGAGGCTCGGTGACCTACAACTGAGTTTGAGGGGTATCCTGGGACACTCCCTCTGGTTTATTGGGTGTGTTTGTGTGAGTATTCATGTCAGATGCGTGAAATTTAGTCCTCCCAGCTCCCGAGCCACCACGGCGCCCAACAAGACGCCAGGAGAATATAGCTTCTAGAGGGGTAGCAGAAAAGAGGCGTGGTTTTGCTTCGAGATAGGTTATTCGAAAACGGCATACCTTCAGCTAGTCAGTCTGCTGCCACTAGCCCTCCAAATGTCGCCACTTCAGGTAACTCAACTGTCAGGATCCGTTCATCCGCTATTACGGGTCGCCTCACACGGTCTGGATTCTCACTTGGGGCCGTTATACACAGGGTCGAGCCTATATAATAATATAATCGGTTTTTATTCTTTTGAATGGTTTCCTTCCCATTATAGAACATGGCGTTACACACCCCCTTAATCAGTGAACCACTCAAGTCTCACAACCACGACAAGGTCCAACAATGAGGGGTTCATCAAACTTGCTCAGAGAGAGGATAGATGTTTGCAGCCCGAGTTGCAGCCTATTATTTTGCTATGACTTAATGGCTAGGTCGTGGTTTCAACTGCAGTTACAGAGTGCAATTTCTAAGTGGGTGTTTAATATCAATATCAATTTTTGGTAGTAAGTGATATTTTTCATCGGTCATCGAGGATGGTTACCATATGTTGTGGAGGTAAAGAAAGTTTTTTAATAGGTATAACGTAAAATTCATTTGAGTGGGCGCTGATAACGTGGTTATTGTTTTAATTTAATTAAAAATTGTTATTTGATCAGCGCCTACTTCCATTTTACGCTTTTTAAAAGTTGTGAAACAATATTTTCATGGTCAATTACATTGTGAGACATTTCTGTTTATTATTCGACGCATTGAGATTCGAATAATTTTTAATAGCTTAGATGCTAGTCTAAATGGATGTTACTAATAAGCAAGTAATCTAATTTTGGGGACTATATCTAGGTTGAACAACGGAAAGGAAACTGGACTAGTTTTTGCATTTTAATTATAAATGTTAATGGCTCATTTCATTTCCTGATGCAGTTAATGTAATGTAAATGTGATGCAAATTATTTTGACAGGTGTCTGAAAAAGAAGCTCCCCAAATTGCTACCGACAACATCGATAGTTATAGTGTTCCACAATGAAGCCTGGTCGACGTTGCTCCGAACTGTATGGAGCGTTATTAACCGTTCACCACGACCACTTCTTAAGGAAATTATTCTGGTGGACGATGCGAGCGAAAGAGGTTTGTAACTACTGATAATCACCGCGCCGGTCGTGTTCAGAAGAAACTTTTATACCCTATTTAATCGAGTGATTAGCAAAGATTCCATTGTTTTGTTACGCTTGTGTTCTTTCTTATTTTTTTGAATTAATCTTGATAAGATACTATGGCATGTGGTAATGTTTCCTGCTTTCATAACTAATTTGTTTTCGAGATATTCTTTTCTAATTAGCTTTGCGTCACACCTCGTTTCCTGTAATTGCGATTTTCTATAATCGCATGCAGAACATAAATGACTCGATACACTTGCATTATTGCAACTTTAGGAAATGATTAATTCTCATTCTTTATTGTATGTCAGGCAAGCTGTGAGTAGAATTGAACTTGACCCATAATTTTATGCTTCATTATGTTTATTTTGGATTTACTACAAATGTCTCATTTCTCTTTATTTAAATGAGCTGAAACTTAAAAACACGACTTCAAAATCCAATTAAAATGGGGTCCTTGATCTAAATTTGGCGTGGTGTTTTTTTCTGACAAACAAGTCCTATCAGTAGAAATAAACGTGGGAAGTGCACACAATAAATGTCAGTAAGTAATTATTTCGTCGTGAATCTTTTTATTTTTTGTTCGGCTTGGCAAAACTTTTTACAATAAAACTTATAACAAAATAAAAGTAAAATGCTTTTTCACCTTCTTTTCTTTAAAATCTAGGTCATCCACTTCCACCTTTGTACTGTTCTATAACATGTGTTACTATGTCCTCTTCTTCTTCTCCTCAATTCTACAGTTTCTTTCTTCTTGTCATCTCTATTTCCCTCTCTTATTTTCCGCATCTGAATCTCGCTATTGTTTTAATATTTTTTCTTACTTCCCACAAATATTTTGGTAACCACTCCCTTATTGGGCCGTTTCCGTGTGCGCTCTCTATCTTCACCCTCTGTTGTTGTATTTGCGCATCCAGATTCCTTTTTGCTAGCTCATTTTCCATCTTTTCTCCTACTCCTCTCCTCCTTTCGACTTCAGCATGTCCGTACTCATTTGTTTTGTAATTGTTCTTCTCACATTCCTTTTGCGTCATCCTCGTTTTCAAACCAATTCGCTTTCTCTATTGTCCCTTTCCTCAAATCTTACCCCCCCCCCCCCCCCATCAACCGCCTCTCTCCAATAATTCCTCCCTTTGTCTCATCCTCAGCCTCCTTTTTCCTTAATTTTCACATCTGCGCATTTGCCACATTGTTTTTTTGCAACTCTCTTTTTCTTCCACTCCCCTTCCCAAATCTCATCATTTTCGACTTAACTCTGTTGCTATGAGCACTACGTCGTTTGCGTATGCCAGGGACTTAAATCTTCCTTCTGTCCACTACTATCCCTACACCTTGGCTCTGTCTTAATACTTTTTCCATGTCGCTTAAGTATACAGTGATATTTATGTAGAAGTAACCATAGGAATTGCCTATGTCTACTTTTACATGATAAAAAGTTTCCTGAAAGACGCCTAATTTTATGCAAGCAAAGTAACTACCTACAACAAATGAGGATCTGCCTGTCATAATAATTAATTTGAATATTATCGCTTTGACTTCCCTATTCTAATTTCGGTTTGTGTGCGATGTATTCAACTAAAGAAAAAGTTAATATTTCCAATTGGTATAGTGCCGATAACAGTTAAAGGAGCTTAAGAGAATTTATTTTTATTTTCTGTGAAGCCAAAGCAACAAGATTCAATAATAATTAATATGCCAGCGAGATCTTTATTTGTTTCAAGAAGTTATTTTGGTTGCATAAAATTAGGCGTCTTTAAGGAGACGTTTTATCATGTAAAAGTGGACATAGGAAATTCCTATAGGAAATCCCTATGTCTACTTCTACATGAATATCACTGTAGATTAAATAAGGTTCGGCTAAATGAGCATCCCTTCTATTCTTACTTTCAACTTTGTCTCTTCATGTAGTTTTTTGATTCTGTCCTTTAACTCCTTGTCAAATTTCCTATCTTCCATACTTCTCCCGTTTCCACTCTGTCAAACGCTGCCTTTTAAGTCCATGAAAAAGGCACGTTTTCCCCCCTTTTTTCCAATTCATTTTCCCCCACTATGTGTAACACATAAATGCAGTCGATTGTTTCGCATCCCTTTTCTGAAACCCATGTGTGTCCCTCCAAAATCCTCTTCTCTTCCATTTTTCTTTCTAATCTTTCTATACGCCATAATCATTATAGTAATTTCCCTATAATTTCCCACACAATCTTTACTCCTCCTTTTGAAGATCGGCACAATGATCCTTTCCTTCCATTCTTCGGCTAAACCCTCTCCTTTCCATACCTTGTTTCTATCTATTTATTCACAGGGGAGCCCGACCAGGCAGCACTACCACAGGCCCATTGTGCCTACCCCCTTTCTTTCGCAACTAGGTTCAGAGCCCATTCTTCCCAATAAAGGATGGCATCCTGTTTAGCCTAAGGAAGGTGCTTCACACTCCTTGGTTCCACATAACTCTCGCCAAGGAGCTAATGTCTGTCTCTGAACAAGGCGTCACAGTGACAAACCACATGCTCAGTAGTATCTCGCCACAGAACCTGCTTAGAAGACCCAGATTTTCTAATGGGCTCTGTTAAAAAGGCCCAGGAGTCGAGTTGTTTGTTGCAACTGACCCCTGGTCACCTACCTTTTAATCCTGGCACTGACTTCACCACTACCGTTGGTCGTCCGCCCGTCGAGGGTTCTGGCCTCATGTACTACCAAAAGCCCTTCTACATGTCCATAGAAATGCAGTGGTCTTTTTCTCCCAGGTCCCGCGGGAATCTATGATGACTCCCAAATATTTCACTGACCTGGTCAGACCCAGTTAACGTCTTCGAACGATACTCCTAGGGCTACCACCCGGCAGACATTCCCTTCTCCAATCTGCGCACGAGACTAGAGCGATCTTTGTAGACGTACCAGCTCTAAAGCATTTTGGAATGGATGTAGTGGTCTAAGGACCAGTACCCTATTCCTTATATATGCATCCTCCAGCTTCTCCACTGTTTTTAGAAGAAACGATGATAGGCAAATGGGCCTGTAATCCTTCCAAAAATACTTTTCTGTTTTTGTTTCCCTGGTTTTCTCTTCGTATTCAATCTGTTTCTCCTTCTTTCTGTCTTTACATTTTCTGTTGTGCTTTTGTTTCTGTTCTCTCACTTCTTTCTCCTCTATTCTCCCTCAATTAACGGAGCATGGTAACCCGACAACCCGAAAACTCCACCCTCTGGAGTCTGGACCCTCTTTTTAGTCACGTAGGCAAACTTGACGCGGAATGATCTTATTTAAAATAAACATTTTTTTACGGAAACAACCAATTTTTCCTGATAAATACATTTTTATTATCTCTAGATAATTACATCAAACTTTTATAAAAATAAACGAAGTGCCCAAAAAATTAAATCTGCACTGTTTTAACAAAACAAAATGGATAACGATAATGATAGTCAAACTTAACAAAAGACGTAATCTTTTTACAATGAAGCAAATAAACAAATTACTGGCGTACAAGCTAGACACGCAATAATCGTTTCGTGTTTATCCCTAAAGAAACTCAACCAGATTAATTAAAAGAATTGAAATGAGCATTTGATTAGGAATTAACGATCCGTCATTACTTCAGGCAACCAGACCCAAAACAACAATTCTTCATAATTTCTTTATATCTATTTCTTTCTTTTGTAGACTGTTTTTCTCACAAGTCCTTTCTTTTTTCTCTCCCCTCCCTTCAGTTATTTGTTTCTACGTATTGCTTTTTTAATACTCTATATATTATTCAACTCCTCTGTATTCCCCCCTATTTCTTCTCTTTGTTCCTCTAGTCTCCCAACTCCACCATGTATCTTGTCCATAACTGTGTATATCATTACCATTCTCATTTTCTTTCTCTCCCTTTCCACTCGTCTGACTTGTATCCCTGTATTCGGTTTTCTCTGTTCTTCTGTTGTTTGTGTCTATACCCCCCCCCCCCCCCCCGTGCGCATTCATCAGTTCTCGTCTCTTTTACATTCGCCTCTACTTGCAAGTTTTCTCTTAGCCATTCTTCCATTCTATCTCTCTTTCTCTGTTACTTTTTCCATCACTACTCCCTTTATCGTTATGTTGTTCTTTATTTTTTCTCATTTTTTTACTCTTTCTATAAGTTCTTCTGTTTCCCTTATTCCATTTCTCTTCCCTTCTCATTTCTTCCCTTAATCCTCCTATCTGCCGATTCATCATCTTCTCTTTGATTTTATCTATTTGTGCCTTAGCCACACTTGTTATTTCCTCCTAACTCCTTCCAGTGTGTTCTCCATGTTTTCCTCTTATTTTTGTTCTTCTTTGCCTTTATTTTTAAGGGGGCAGGGTTCTTCAAAAGTCAATAATCCTAATTAGTATTTTTCTTTTTCCAGATCACTTAGGTTACACGTTAGAACAGTACGTTAAGAAACTACCAGTTCCTGTATATGTATTTCGAACGGAGAAACGTTCGGGCCTAATTCGCGCGAGACTTTTGGGCGCGAAACACGTGACGGGCCAGGTGATAACGTTCCTGGACGCCCACTGCGAATGCACGGAGGGCTGGCTAGAACCGCTACTGTCGCGAATCGCGGAGGATCGCAAAACGGTCGTCTGCCCGATCATCGACGTCATCTCGGACGAAACGTTCGAGTACATCACCGCGTCGGACATGACGTGGGGCGGATTCAATTGGAAGTTGAATTTTAGATGGTCAGTTTGCTCGTCACCGTAGGCGCAATTATAACTGTTCGCTGTTTAGGTATCGAGTGCCTCAGCGTGAAATGGACAGGAGAGGCGGCGATAGAACGGCACCTTTGCGCACGCCCACAATGGCGGGCGGATTGTTTTCCATTGACAAGGAGTACTTTTACGAGCTGGGGTCGTACGACGAAGGCATGGATATTTGGGGCGGAGAAAATCTGGAGATGAGCTTTAGGGTAACTTTCCTTTGCATTGAATAAAATCCCCCCTGTGTCTATTTAATAATTGGAGTTAAACATGTAAACAAATAGGTTTGGCAATGCGGAGGAGTATTAGAAATTGCTCCATGTTCTCATGTCGGACACGTATTCAGAGATAAATCTCCATATACATTTCCCGGCGGCGTTTCAAAAATTGTCCTCCATAATGCCGCCCGAGTCGCCGAAGTCTGGATGGACGAATGGAAAGATTTCTATTATGCGATGAATCCAGGTTTGGTGTTGCTTTCAAGTTTTGCAGTAACAAGTATTTTACGCTTACTGTATTAATCCAACGATATTACTAATATGCTTATTATAATCATGTATCGTCAAAGTTGTGCTTTTATAACATGAAGTGTCGTAGCTATTTAATTGTTATTGTTTACACAATTTTTGTATTAACATGGAACATATTCTACTAAATCTTGGATTCCATTAATTTTACTAAAATTACGGACACAGGGTGGTTATCATGACTAGAATTAATTGTATTAACAGATTATTGTTTAATGCTTTTCCAAAGCATGACGTACAATTATTCTATATTCATTTCATCCTTGCTTTGCTGCCTCTCATGCGTCTGCATTATACTCCATGGCCAAGCGTGTACATTGCTATATGCAGTTTTTATCTCAATATGGTATAAAGTATGCAATGAAAGTTATTTGAAACAAATGTGGTTAAAAAAGAAATGCTATAATGCTAAAAGTAGAAAAGGAAATAAAGGAAAATATAATAATAATAATAATAGTATTAAGTCGTAAAATATGGCAATGTCAAACCTCTTTCTTCACCTTTATTTACTATAGTCCGTCTCACCTTAACTTTACATGGTCAACAATGATGCCAAATGTCATCAGAATATGATTCGAAGAAAATTAGCGGCACTTTCGAATCTCTGTAGCAGCCGACTAGAACTGGGTGACAAGAATAGGTCGTCCTACGGCGTATATACTAGGCGGTTTTTTTAATTGGGAAGTGAGACACAATCGAAAAGTGAATAAAATGTAGGATTCTGTGCGTAAGAAAAGACAAGAACAAATAATTACAACAAGGTGATACCAGGAAAACCTTTTATGGACAAAAAACCTGGCATAACCTACACAAATACGAACAAGTAAAATGATTTTTGCCCTAAAGCGAGCAACTTTAGCGTATTTTCTCAGTACTTTCCAAAACGCCATTGCTAAGTGCGCTGTTTTTCTGTAGTAGAAGCATCTAAAGTTGGCATTGCGCAGTCTGCGCATGCGCACATCAGATTCTTACACTTGGCTACACTGCCTTTACTAGAAGGGCATTTTGTTAACCTTGTGGTAGTCTTATGATCTTATTAATCATGGTCTCAGAGACCAAAAAATGAAGTTTTTTGTAGGTAAGTGGGATTGTGGGTAAGAGGGTTCAGTGGATGTGTGCATTACATTCTGTCCCTTTCATCTGCAAGTATTTTAGTGACCTCAGACATGAACAGACCATGAGAAACAGCAAAGCCAAGTTCATTAAAATATGTAGAATAATTGAAAAATAATGACTTATTTTGTCTGTCGCTGTGTGTGAAAAAAAAATTAACCGCACGTTAAATGCCGGGTAGGTGTGGATGTGTGGGGGTATACTGGAGATAGCGACATGCTCGCACGTCGGCCACGTGTTTCGTAAGTCGACGCCCTACTCGTTTCCCGGGGGTACCAGTCGCATCGTCAATCACAACAATGCCCGACTTGCCGAAGTTTGGCTTGATGAATGGAAAAATTTCTACTATAATATTAACCCAGGTCTTTATTAGTGCTTAGTTCTTTTTAACAATTAGTCACACAAATCGCTTTCCTTAATGTTGCTTGCAAATGTTAAAGTTACCCGCAAATCCTTCTTTCATTAGTCATTAGAGAATCGGCTTGTACTTTTTGTCTCAGTAATTTTCCTTTATGGATCATACGTACTTGATCACCTTGTCAGTTTATGCTAACAAATTCTTGAAGCTGAATCTTTCAGGCGTGATTACTCACCATAAATTTAATGAGTAGAGAAAATATGTTACAATTCTTTCTTAATATTCCCACAAATAACTAAGTTATTTAGAAACTATTTCGACCCCACGTTGGGCGCCAAATAAAAAATGCAATGGCAAACGGTCACTAAGCCAGCAACAATTAGACTCCTATAACGCCACCTTCGACAGAACGCGCACATCTTCGTAAAACACCTGCATCTTTTCTCAGCGATAAAACACGTGCGTTAATTAAATTTCGTCTGATAAAAAACTTCTTATCGCAACGACCAAATAAAACTTTTTAGAAACACGCAAATTTGACCATATATACCTTACTTGCAACACCTTATCTAAATCGAACAATTACAAAGTGATAAAATTAAAAAAAAATTACGCATTTACAAACATTTCCAAAAGGAAAAACAAATACTGAAACACAAATTCAAGTAAAAGAAACCAATTTTGTGTTAATTCGTAAATAACCCACCAGATTTGCACTTAAAAATTGAAATAACGTTGTCGAATCTTATTTAAGGTGCTTTACACAACAGTATGTATGATCCATAAATTTATTAATATATCACTCAACATATCTACTCAGTTACAAATACGATTTTATCAAACCTAGGTGCGAGAAGTGTGCCGGTCGGCGACGTGAGTCCCAGAAGAGAGTTGCGTGAACGGTTGCAGTGTAAAAGTTTCCGATGGTACTTGGAGAACATTTATCCGGAATCACAAATGCCTTTAGATTACTTCTACTTGGGAGATGTAAGCGCGCGCGCGCCTCTGCTGTTTTAGCAACTGACCGCCATTTTTCAGATTCGCAACGTCGAGACCCAATCGTGTCTGGATACGATGGGTCGAAAATCGGGCGAAAGCCTAGGAATGACCTACTGTCACAATTTAGGGGGGAATCAAATTTTCGCCTACACCAAACGACAACAGATTATGTCCGATGACAACTGCTTGGACGCTAGCAATAGGTATGGACCCGTGAAGCTGGTGCGGTGCCACGGCATGGGAGGCAATCAAGCATGGGTGTATGACGACGAGGTTAGTTACGATATTTGAGCAAATACCAATTTATGAACTTACCTTAAGAGAGCTGGAAATTCTCTTAAGTCGTGTGAACTCGGACCACTATTTTTCAGTTGTTTCATATTTTGTGAACACGCTTCTCACAAACAGAGACTTTTATGCGCCAACCGTGGTTACAAATCAGGGTGGACATTTTGCGTTAAACAATCAAATTGTTCAGGGGCTGGCCAACCACTGTTACAAATTGGCGCCCAACGTGGGGCACAATTAGCATTTACTCTGGTCATTTTTTAATTGCCACGGTTTTCGGACGTTTTTGGGGAAATGGTTATTGAGGAATTAGAATTGAATATTATTACAACCAGTGGTGGTGTAAGATTTTTGTATGGAAGGGGTTCGACTTCTATGATTTTTTTAGGAGTTTGTAATAGATTCTAAATAAACCAGTGGCAGTGTAGGATTTTTTATAAAGGGATTTCGGAATTCTTATATTTTGTGGAAGTTATTGACATTTTTGAATTGATCGTTGTAATTTAGGAGGATACCAAGGTAGGTTTTTTGTATGTTATATATGAGATTAGGATTTAAGAAGCCTACTAGAAGAGCAGTTGAAGAAAGAAATAAAATACAAGAAAGCTCATTGAAATTAGAAAATTGTTGTTCCAAGAAAGTCAAGACAGCTTTGGGTGTCACGGATTGCAAGAGGGGAATGCTGAAGGGAGCGAGACCAGTCATCAACCCACAGCAGGTCAAGAAAAAGCTAGTGATGCTGAGGAAGACAAGGTACCAGAACCGCAAGTCAGCTATGCACTAGGGGAAATCCAGGAACTGGCCCGCATGATGGAGAGAATTACAAGAAGATCAGGATAAAAACGAGAAAAAAATAGGAAACGATGGAGAAATTGCGTCAAGAGGAAGTGAAAAACATTCAATTAGAAAAGAAGATTAGAGCTGATCAAGTTAAGAGAAATGTGAAAAATGAAGGAAAATCGATTAGAAGTCCAAGCCATGCATACAGAAATCCTGGATTACCATAGGAGGGTGAACAGGGTGCACGCTTACCTATGCCTCAAATTCAGGCCCTTTGTACCTTCCTGCCTAGAGTCGTTAATTAAAGGGTAGAATTTGATTTTTTAGAGATCGTTTAGGGATAAGCTGTCGTTTATTTTTAGTTTGTTGTTTTTCAAATCTCATCTGTTTCGCTTTTAAAAACAAGGAGGGGGTACTGTAACGGAACCAATAATTAATCTTGAATGTTGCTGTACCTGTGAACTAATAATTTCATATAAAGATTGGTTTCCCTCTCCTACAGAATTGGAAGTCTCCTTCGTATACAGATAAAACCCTTAAAGTGTGCTGTTTTAGTGCGGGATGAATCTAATCAGGGCGGTACTCGCTTCCTATAAAATTTCTTATGTACATGGTGAATTTTTGTTTCATTGTCTCGTGAAAGTAAAATTCGTTTGTCCACACGAATTGAGTTGCTTAATCCAAATCAAAAACTGTCACAAATTGGAATCGTTCCCAAAACGCATGGAAACTCGTGAATGTGCACAAAATTATTGCACCCCATTTATTTTAATTTTACGTAAAGTTCAAACGCTATTAGGATTGACTAATTTAAGACTTAGCCTGCTTATTGACTTCATTAACATTAAGAAAATAACCAATCCTCTAGGAAGTTATTTATCGTTCACTAATTTTACTATAATGTTTTCACGGTTATTGTTTTTTACAGGATAAAACAATCAAACATGTGAATACGGGTAGTTGTTTGCAGAAGCCGGATCAAAGTGATATGAACTTACCTTTGTTACGTGCTTGTGACTTTAGCAAAAGCCAACAGTGGATTATGAAAAGTGAATTTAAGTGGCAGGCGAATCGGGTAAATAACGACAGATAGGGTAACTTATATTAATATTTGTTGGCAACGTTAGTTATGATCTACCATACATATCTCTGTTATTAACTTAACTAAATTTTAATACGTACGGATTTCTCTTTCTTTGTCTTACTAGAGTAATCGATAGGGGGTGTTGTGCTTGTCTTTACTGCGTTATGAAATTTTTATGCATCTTGTTAACACATTCTTCTGCGTGGGCAAGGGTGAAATTGTTATATTTACACATATTTATTACTAGTCATACTCTTCTACTATGGGGAATAAGGCTGAAGACTTCTAAGACCCTTTTTTATTGTTTATAATTAGCGACTAAAAATGTGTTCAAAACAAACGGTAGGCAATTTAAGTATACATATCTTTGCCGAATATACTTTGTTATTAAAGGGACCTGTACGAATGTCTCTCCATAATTTCAAGTAGCACAATTCTTTGCAAAAAGCTCGGTAGTTCATCAGTATTATGGTAAATTTCTTTAACGATAACTAAAAAAGGAATATACAGGGTATTACCAAAATAGTGCCAAACTCTTGTTTGCTGTTGTCAGATTCCTTTAGTAACAGAATATAAGAACCGGTTTGAGCTTAAAATGAAAACTCTTAACATTCCAAACGCATTTATCCTTGAAGTCGAACTACATTGTATTAGGATTGCTTTAGCTTTACTCGTGTTTGCTCAAATGACTGGTCATTTATTTACCATTCCACTTGTGTTTTAAATCTTCATACCGAACGTTGCCAACTGAAGTGTTTGTAACTGGTCGTTACATGATCGAAATTTCTTCCTAGTTCTAAAAGACTTCAGAAATGTATTAAAAATATCATAAAATATTTACAAGTAAGTACTGCCAGGTTGTACATATAGCTTTAGACGCAGCTCATAAATGGTTTGAAATTGAAAATCTTGTCGAAAATTTCACTACTATTTATCTATTGTAGCATATCATAATGGAGCAATGTGTGAAGTACTACTCTCAAACTAGATTATTTTTTTATTATCAAAACCCAACAACTCGGATTGTCTCAACTTACCAGTACTTAATGCTTACGAACGCCGTAATTTTAAATCTAGATGTGACTTTTTTCTTGCATACGTTTTAACATCCGAAACATGGATTTTAGCTCGAACTAAATTTCTTTGGACGGTTGACGAGTATTTGCAAGCTTGTTGGTATTTTGTGATTATTTAAAAACTAGTGAATCGTTTTTGTTGTGTATATTTATTTGATTCAAGTTTGTGTGATTGAATCGACGATTGTATATTTTATTACATCCTTTTCATAGAATAATTACCACTAAAACATATCGACATCGAAAGTATTCTTGGCTCATTTAGTTGTATAATTTAGTTTTAAGCATTTTGTTACATTGTAAAACAACCATTCAACTATTGTTAGTGTAAAATTACCAACTTTGTTAGATATTTATATATTTTTTTTTGTCTTTATTTGCGACGTACCAAATTTTATAGGCTAGGTGGTGGTGCAATCCATAGCTTATATTCTAAATTAAATTCTAATTGACAGTACATTGTATTTTCAAATTAAATTTCAGGCAAAAAGTGTAGAGCACCTTCTATCCCTCGAAGCTAAAAATTTCCCCAAACCAGTATGGCTAATACCCAGTGCATTACCACTGAGTAGTGGAGAGTAGTAGACCGCAAGGAGGTTCCTAAAGGGCAGCAGGTAGTTGTCCTGATTGACCAGACTGTCTGTGGGCGTTGTCCATATTTGAACTTTTGCAGGATAATCTTATTCAAAACCATAGGAGAACCGAAGGCCGACAGATATGATCCCGCTTAGGAAAATATTGCTGTGCACTTTAATTTTGTTTTAGCATTTACCAGTAGCCGGCCGCCGCTTGACCTTTAGAATTCCTGGAGCTGCCGTTTATTCCGGTTGGGTTTGCCCGAGGCTTCCGAGAGCGATCCCCCAAAGCCGCTGCTACTGCCGCCCTTGACCAGGGGTAAGGCCGTATACCCTTGGTGGCGCCCGAGTCCTTCCTTTGGTCCATCCCGCCAACACAGAACACCCAGGTTGCTGCCGACACTTTCGTTACCAATGACCATTTCCAATAAAATGCGTATACAAAATACATATCATTCATTCTGTTGTCCTAAAATTTTCACATTAAAAAAAAACTTAAAACTGCTATTGAACGATACCATAATCACTACTCTATATTGTGGTTATTATTACAGTACATATTTTTCCTAAATCTTGCTTCGATCCCCCGTCCACCTGCGTGTGATTTCGTGTATGTAGTGTTTATAGGTTATGTAGCTACTTTCCACTGATCCATTTAATTATTCCAAAGGCAAGTCTTACAGACCAATCACTCTCATTGTGTGTAATCAAGTTATGACTAAACCCAAGGATGCTATATAATATAAGGATTGCTCGATCCCTATACTTGTAATGTTGCCCGAGTTTAAGTCATATGTGACGTCACCAACGGACCTGGCTGTCAGAATTGACAGTTATAATTTGCTAAGTTGTCAACGTTTTACATTAGCGTTATAACTGTGTGTATGTGTTCGCTATATTGGAACAAAAATGCTTGGACGCCGGCGTGCAGTATTGGACTGTAATAACAATTTGGGGTAGTATTCACATTTTACACTCAACTGGCGCTCATTTTAGCCAGTGTCAAGAAGAACGTCGAGAAATCGTTATTTTAAGATGGACAAAGTTGAAATAAACTGATTTAGCTGCAATTTCCATGGATGATGAAGAGTAAAAAAAAACCAAAAACGTAGGATAAAATGGGTTCACGACATTTTGAGTATGCGAAAAACCGAAGCAGAATTTGTAGACTTGTAGATGATGAATGACAAGTGTTTCTAATTTAAATACCTACTTATATAACTTCCATTTGGACGTATTAGAGCCCCTTCTTACCAGGCGTTTTTTGAAGCGGCTGGTAGCGTGACCCCTTCACACGGTGCGATTTGCAGCGCCACAAGTAGCACGAAGCGCCTTCACGCAACAAAAGCGCACGTACCAAGAAGGAGCGCCGTTTTAATAAAAAATGGTGTCTGGTTTGAGGAGAGTTGATTTACTTGTGCCTTGGTAAAGAGCGTACATATTTGTGTACTGATATTTTATATATAAAGCTAAGTTTGTTATTATTGATATGTGGGAGTTGTAGTTCGACCGTTGAAGGAAGGCGATGCCGTATTAGGCTTAAACACTTCATATTGTGTGGTAAAAACCATTGTAGCACGGTGTGGAAAACTCCAAATTATAACAGAAATTGTACAGAAGAGACTTATAAACTTCAGTTCTTACTCATCTGAGAAATAAAGCTAATGTCTCATCGGGAGGAATGGATTTCCGCATAACCGTATCTTTTTTTCGAAGAAGATTTCCACTCTGCGCAGCGTTTCAAAAACGCATCGTGAGAAGAAGCTCTTATGAATCTTACATAATATAAAATACAAATGAAAGTTGTGCACAAATCTAAAAATCAAAGCATGCGGTGCGTCTGGGTCCGCCAGTGACGTCACTACACGCGGCGAAAAAATTCAATGATCGAGCAATCCTTATATAGCATCCGTGGACTAAACCATCCTCCATGAAAACATTTATGGGAGGATGGTTTTATTTACACATCAACGAGGGGTGTCTTACTGTTGGCATTACATGTACATATTCTCGGCAGTCGCTGGCAGTCGACTATAATTATAGCAGTCGCTAGATAGTCTTTGGCAGTCGGCGGCAGTCTCTTGGAATTTAGCACTCGCTCAGCAAATTTCGTGAAGTTTCATGTAAAAAGTAGGCAAATTTAGATAACCCTCTCGCATTCACCGTTCACGTTGGAAGTTGGTCAGTCGGCAGGTGATTTTATTTTACTTTCGTCTTGGCTTCAGTTTTGTGTTTGGCAATTAGTTATTACTGTTAGCGATTTTTGCAAATTTTTTTGTAAAAAGTAGCTTTTAATCTCACTTTGGCTGGCTAACTGGCCGGCTGGCTGTGAGCGCGTAGAAAAACTCTTGTAGAAAGGCAACGGGCTACTACAGTTTTGATCCGATTCTTTTCAAATTGGTGTCGTCGGAAAGATGTAAACGCGCAGGGAATGTGGTAGCCTCCGACACGATCTAACTGATGGTGGAGTGAAAACGTCAAACACGAATTTGGGGTGAACGGGGCGTCGGAAGTGGGTACCGTCAAAGGGAATGTGATAGCCCCCGACACGATCTTCCTGATGGGGGAGTCAAATTTTCAAACGCGAATTGCGGGCGAACGAAACGTCGGAAGTGGGTACCGTCAAAGGGAATGTGGTAGCCCCCGACACGATCTTATTGATGGTGGAGTCAAATCTTCAAACGCGCATTGGAAGGGAACGGAACATCGGAAGTGGATACCGACAAAGGGAATATGGTAGCCCCCGACAAGATTTTACTGATGGTGGAGTCAAAACTTTAAACGCGAATTGCGGGTGCACGCGGAAAGTGGGAAGCGAGTACCGACAAAGTGAATGCGGTAGCCTTCCACAAGATCTTTTATTGATGGTGGAGTCAACACCGGCTATTAAAACACTGATCTGCCACACAAAAATGCGCTGAAGTCCCTTCGATCTCACACGAGGACTTTGATAATTTTTTTATTAAATAACAAGTAAGTATCTTTTAAATAGATTATTCTTCTTCTTATCTGTCGATTATCAGTGGATCTTTTTAGTCGAAATCACTGTACAAAGCACAGCAATAGAGAATATGTATGTGGTTTAAATTTACTCGATTCTTTTTCCCCCGCATCTTTATTGTCTAGACATTACACTTAAACCATTATTTTCTTATTTAGTTTGTTTTCATTTGCATAAAATATAATTAAAAAATGGCAAAATATGCAAACGAAATTAAAATTTTCGATAGATGCATTGATGTCAGCATATTTTGCATCAAGTGGAGATTTTAGGTACGCTGATGGTTTAATGATGTTGGCAATACAACTAATTCTTTCATTTTTCTTACGATAACTGATACGAGGTATACTTTTATTGAATATTCTACTGCATACCCAAACTGTAATGCTAATATCGAGGCTAATATACTAAATTCATTAAATTTTATTTCCTTTAGTGTTATTAATATATCAACAGTAGAAAGTGGGATATTTTCACTTAAAAGTTTTACTAAATGATATGATTTTTAGTGCATTTTCAGAAAATGTCTGTCTGTCTGTCCGCCTGTCTGACATTTTATATCTCCGGAACGGTAAGTGCTAGAGACTTGGTTGGGGTGTCGTTGGATATGTCTCGGCGAGTTATTGGTCAGTACGGAGCCCGCTTTTGCTCACAGCGCCACTTATCGGCTGAAAATGCACTTAAAAGTCCCTGTCCAAAGTTAGGCTTTTCCCAATTTTTTTTGGTAATCCCAGTTAACAATGTATGTTCTTTTTTACCGTGAATTATATTTTTAAAATAGTTTTCGCCCTCTGAATCATCTTCTTAATTCAGATGAACTACATGATTCATGTTAATAATCATGGGATATCACTGAAGAATTAGAAGAAACAGAAACTCTGTCTACCTGCTCATCATCAAATACAGCATTATGCTGATCCTCGCCAGAATAATAAAGATTATTATATATTCCCTACGGGCGGGCACTTCTTTAAAAAGCCCCCGGGACGCTCTGGCAGTCACTGGTACATGCCGGAAGTCGCCGGCAGTCACGTATAAAATGATATTTTGGCAGTACATTTTACCTAAGTGAGACACCCCTCGCACATCAATGAATAATACAAAAAAAAAGTTTGTTTGAACAATGATAAAACAACCAATTGACAAATCGTGGGGAGAGAAAGTATTACCAGAAGGGCAAGTGAAACAGCATTACATTGGCTAGTAAGCCAAATAAAAAGAACACTTTGTAATAAAATATTCTTTATACTTTTACCGTGTGCAAATATAAACCACATAAACAAAAACAACAAAAACACTAACAAGTGTCTATGCCGGTACCGCATCGACAATGTTAACATTTTCAAGATCATTAGCAACATCCGCCGTTGCCAAAGGTATTTCGCCCTCCTTCATTTTAGCCCAGGTAGCTTCGAAGGATTCGTGTGGTTCCATGCCCGGTTTTCCGACCAGATGAGGTTTCATTTTGAACGTATTTCTTAGCGCCTCCAGAGCGATTCGATCGTTAAAATCGCACCCTGTAATATCGATGAACAATTCCCTGGCGGTTCTCATATTTGGAACGTCTTTACGATTGAAGAACTGAATTTACAAAAATTAACTCTGGCTCTGACGGTAGCAACTTACGTTTGTGACGTTTTCGCAATCTCGCATTAGAAAGTGGAAGGCGTCATTGTGGCTTGGTTCCGTGGATTGGCTGACATCGATGAAGTAACATTGGTCATTGTGCCACAGTATGTTATACTCCGACAAATCGGCGTGAATTAGATTGGCTCCAGTATAGAGAGCCTTCATTCCGTCAACAACCTGATCGTACGCAATAATGTAATCGGCCGAATCCAGTATGGCATCTTTCAGTTTGGGGGCGGGGCAGTTGTTCTCGCCAATAAACGACATGACGAGTACGTGCCGCTTCAAGGTGATCACTTCGGGACAGGGAATGCCCGCCTTCTTCAATCGCATTAAATTGTGCATTTCCTTTTCGGCCCATATGTGAATAGTCCTTCGAATTCGTTGCTTACCGATTTTATCCTTGAATCGATGATCGTCGCGAATATATTTTTCGCGCTGCTTGAATTCGGCCAAAGTAGTTTTGAATATTTTTATGACGCACTCCCTCGGAAGTGGGCCATCAGGATACGATGGATCGGTTTCGGCATGCAATATCACCGCTTCCTTACCTACAATCAAAAGGGAGTGCTTTTAACTCGCATGTCATAGGACCGACCAGGAGCAGTACAAATTAAAAACCAGGTGTCAAATTCTTGACAGAATAGCTTCCTGGCTGAGTTTTCTTTTATTAAGAGGACCTACCATCCAAATTTCGTTTTAATTGTTCCATAAATAAGAAAATTGCATTTCTGCGCATGCGCAACACGATTTTTGCGCATGAATGTTGTTTGCTTTTATTAAAGGGACTTACCATAGAAATTTCGTTTAAATTGCTTCAGAAACAAGATCGTTGCGTTTTGCACATATGCAACACAATTTTTTGACTTTGACAATTTTTTTCTCCGTTTTTTGATAATATAACCCGGCCCAATTTTTTGTAGGTTGTACACAGGAAAATAAGGTCTTCCAAATAATAGAATAAAAATTTTAGGTTGCTATTTGAAAAAAAAAGTTCGATGCCGTTACGGCGCTCCAAAATTTTTTTTCAAAAATCCGGCCCGTTACTTTTCTGTTCGGTATGCCTAAAACATATATACAAAATTTCAACAAAATCCGTCGAGCCGTTTTCTCAGAAAATTGCCAACAAACGTACGTACGTACGTACATACAGACGGAAAAAAATTTATTCTTTAAAAGTTGCTTAAAATGGTCTAAAACGTCGACACTTGATGAAATTTTGAAATGTTCAAAAAACGGCTATCGCAATAGCTACCTAGCACATGCTAGGAAGCTAAAAATTACCGAAACTCGCGCGGTGCGATAACAAGGATGAAGTACAGTTTTTCAATAAAAAAATCCGGGGTTCCGTTATCTCCAGTGATTTTAATTTCATTTCTAACCGATTTTATTGATGATAACATTCCTCTTCATCGTTTGAACTCAATATGGTTCCAGCAAGATGGCGCACCGCCTCATAATGCTAGTTGGGGAATGGGAATTGTTCCCTAATCATGTTATTGCTAATAATGGCGACGTACGCTGGCCGGCGCGGTCACCTGACCTGTCTCCCTTGGACTATTTTTTGTGGGGAACAATGAAAAATGAAATTTACAAAACATTGCCAGCCGACCTTGATGAACTTCGTCATAGAATTGTGAGCACTCCCAGGCACAAGATTAGAAGAAGGGATGTGTCAAGAGCCATAGCAAATCTTAGGAAGAGAGTGGCACTGTGCTCAGAATTAGGAGGTGGGCAATTTGAACACATGTTGTGATGTACTTTGTTCTAATTTTAATTATAATTTTCTTGCATAAGGAAGATTCAATTCTGTTCAGATGAAAATCGAATTTCTACTTCTCTGACAATGCTCCAACCAGACAGATGGATCAAACTGTCGAAACTTTTGTTTACAACAAAAGAACGTTTTGTTTTTCCAAAGCACTCTTCTCAAAAAATTAAAAATTGTATTTTTAGAAAAAATGTGATACTGAACCACCATGTGTGATATATCGTTGTAAAGAGAAAAAAGACGTAAACCCAAAATGTCAAAATTCAATATGGCGCCCATAAGAAAAACCTACGAGTAAAAAATAAGAGGAGAGAATATAACGGTGGTGGGAAATAGCATACCACGCGACGGAAGTCGTCAAAATATCACTTCCTTTGCGCTGGTCAGTTATGTCGACTTGACCTCATAAAACGGAAGAGACGATGTCAGTTTTGTTTTATTACACCACTGCCAATAATGACGCGTTTCTCCCTACCCTTCTCGCACTTTTATCACTTCCTTTTTTTTCATTTCCGTCAAGTCCCCTTTTAATGCAAGGTCCTTTTATTTTTTACTCGTAGAGAAAAACTAAAGTTGCCACGTGTTTCTCGGTCATCTTGAAAGTAATTAAAAACAGGATGCCATATTTGAAATCTCCATTAAAAAGTGTCCGAATAATGTGTTAATTAGAAATGTCTACTACGATTAGTTTATCATAAAAAATTAAAATTGCGATATCTTCAAAACTATCGAAGATATTCCAAATTTCTTTTCAGATTCTTATTCATCACGGAAATTTGCAACTTTGCCCCCATTTAACCAACTTTCTATCCCTTAAGTGAGATCCCCATAGCAGGGTTCGCAACTGATTTTAGCAAAAAATAGGTCTCTATTTACATATTTAAAAATAGAGACCATTTAGAGACCTTCGACAATCAATTTCCATGCAAAATTAAGCAAAAAATATTTATTTTGTAATAAACGGCAATATATCTAAGCAAGTATAAATTGTGCACAACTCTTGTGCGGATAAAGCGAATTTTTTTAACCCAAATAGCTAAATTTCTTGAAGACATCTCAATCGCCATTTGTGAGTACCCTCTTCCGACAATCCGTTCTTGAGGTATAAGGGAATATACCCGATCACGATAAAGAGGTCGAGGAGGAGGGCTATGGTTGGTAGAAATTAATTCCTTTTGTTGAGACCTTTCATTAGAGTACCATATGAAGGATAAAACTAGTTCCACTCCCCCCTCTCCCCGTACTTTGATAAGAGGACAGAAAGAAGGGCAGTAGTTGGTAGAAAACGGTTCCTTTCGTCGAGACCTTTAATTAGACTCGGGAAATAATTCGTGAGAGGGCCCACTTTTAGACAGCGAAATTTGATGGCCGTCTGGCACACCTTCAAGGTATAGGCTACCTACTGCTAAAAATTTCAGGACTCTAGAACCATTCTCCTAGAAGTAATTCGAAACGGTAGAAGTGGGTCCGGACGGACGGACGGACAAAACGCAAACAATAGCACATTTATGCGCCAAAAATGTACAGTAAAATTTCTGCGGTTTATCAATAATTATGACCTTTTAATATGCAAAATTTAGAGACTTTAGAGACCAAATATGAAAAATAGAGACTTTTAGAGACCAGCATTGAAAAAAGAGACCAATGTCTAAAAAAAGAGACCATTTGCTAACCCTGCCATAGTGGCACTCGAAAAATGGACACCATGTAGACCAAAAAATTCAAATCCTAGAATGTTAACTTTTATATATGCATTCACCCTCATTAACCTGAGCTAAAACATAATCTAACCGCTTTATAAATTTAAATTGATTGCTAAGCGTTACAATCTTTCACTAAATGACCGACTGTATTGCAATTCAAACATCTTGATTCGCACATACGACCGCATTAGTTTTGTTTTAGATGAATATGATAAGTCCGGCTCTAATGATAAATCATATTTTGGTGGTGGTTTAAACGAATCTATGTCTAATTTTGTCTATCTATTCCTTAACATGTGGCAATCAATTCAAAAACTGATTTTATTTCAACCAAAATTAATTTATCTTGATAGAATGGTAACATAATATTCTACGAGGAGTAAACCGTTGGTTTAAAACGTGTTGTACTACCACAAAGTATTACCCACTATTACTGAGTATTACTCAACTATTACTCGGTATTACTCTACTATACTTAGAATTACTCAAGTATTGCTCTCTATTACTCAAACCGTGTTCACCTAATAACTCCAGGGAATTCCCCCCCCCCGGTTTTCTAAGTACTAAGTACCTGTAGGCAAAAGGTATCATTGGACTAGCAAAAAACGCATACAATACCTATGCTAATAATTCCATTCACCCTCTCCAACAGTTGCTTGTTGATCATTTTGTACAGCAACAACCTCGTGGTCTGATCTATACCAAAATCGGCAGTTGCATGATCCTCTTTCCTATCGTGCAGTCTATGCCGACGGTTCTGCTCGATCTTCGAGTGCAGCTTTAAGCTATGTCAAACGGTCAGTAACTCTAAAATTAAGTGGCAAACATCGTCACCTGTTAAAAACCTTGTTTGAAAGTTGCAAGTCGAAGCCTGCCCCATCGCCAGTATGAAACTCGGGGGGAAACGACATAAACTTGCACGCATTTTTACGACTGTTCAACGTAATATCATGCTTGGTAACCATTTTACCATCCTTCATCGTGTAACCGCAAGGCGGTATCGCCTGCAACTGCCTATTCATAGCGTCAAACCTATCCCAATCGCGTCGATCCATTATGTCCTCGCACTCGTACTCTTCAGAATCACTGTCGAAATCTGCACAAATAAAACTGAGCACCTGAACACGGTACGAAGTAACAAACCTAAACTCTGCGGAGTCCTTCGATAATTACTGAAAGAGACCGAAACCTTCGATGTGCCGTTGACCTTATCCTCGGTCCGTTTTAGCATGTCGTCGTATTCCTCGTCGAACTGCTTCTGTAACATTCGGGCGATGATCGCGTCCGAATCGTCGTCAACAAGCTCGGGTAAATCGTCAATTGCGTCGTTTTTATCTGTTGGATTTGTTAGCGATTGAATGTAACTCGCGTACTTTTGGTCTTCCTTCACTTGGAGGTCTTTCGCGAGTTCTTCGGACATTATTTTTTGTAGATTTGTTGGTTCAGGTGTGGTAATTTTACCCCAAGGAGAAGACATCTTGTGGCTAGTTGGTTGGTTAACGAAAATTTTGAATGAATGAAAGTCAAATACCAAGATATTTATGAAAATGGAATTAAGCAAAATTGTGTAATGTTATGATGTTTATTTGTAGGTGATCAGCTGTGATGATGAATACATACAGGGTGCTAGACTGTGGTCTTAATACAGGGTGTTCGTTACTTCTTCACCCCCAGTGGCGTAGCAATTATACATATGAAGGGTGTTTAAGGATATTCAAGAGAGCTCCTAAAAACATGAATTAATAAAGTTTTGTGACCACAATTGTAAAAAAGTTAAGGCGGTCTAACTCTCTCCATGTCTCTGGTCTAAACCTATAGAATATTTAGTGTGGGATTTAGGTTAGAATTGTACTGGTGCACTGGATTGGCGGAGAGTCGTTACATTATCAGGAGTGGGAGGTTATGGAGGAGGATGTAGGAGCAACCATTTTTATCAATCAGGTTCACAATTTTCAGCAGAACAAGAGGGAGGCATGACAAGGAAACCTATATGGAGCAAGAGAGTGGGAAGAAGTGAAAGACAAATTTGAGCTTGAAATTAGGAAAGAGGCTTGCGGGAAACGAGTTTCACACGACTTCCCAAATACTGGTGGATACAAGAAGTAGAAAACGCTAGGAGAGAACTTCTTAAGGCATGAAGACGATTTCATAACACCAGGACCAGAAGCGCAAGTAAACACGGAGTTTGAGTCTGAAATTTAAAACTTTACGGAAGGATCTTAAAATACGCATTAAGGTAGCAAGCATGGCCGAAACTGATGAAGGATGTGGCTACGGACTCATTAGGGAAAGGCTAAAAAATAGCGACCAAGAGATTTATGCCTGAAATACCGCCTTCGGAAGAAGAAAGAAACAGAACAGCGGAGGACCTGTTTCCAAAGGTGCAAGAGATCATCTCTGGAACGAGGTGCCGATAACAGGCATGCAACCGTTTGATAAAAGAGAACTTGAGGTATAGCTGTAAATAAATTAAGAGGCAAAAAGACACCCAGGCCGGATAGTATTCCAGTAGAAGTGATTAAATTGGCAGTCAAAGTCAATGGTGGAAAAGTTTAATTGTCTGCTATCCAAATGTGAGTGGGGCGTAAACTAGCAGCTCACAAAACAGAGGCAGTATGGTCAGAAGCCATGAAAATTTTGCTAGTCGTTCCCACAGACATGTCGTTCCAGAGGAGTTCAAGCATTTTGCGCAGATGCCGAACACTAGGGGATTTTCATAGCGGAGCTAGAGGAGATAGTTAGCGGGGGTTAACGGGAATAGCGTTGGCGTCAACAGTGTGCATCAGGCGTTCCCAGGTTCCCCTCAATGATTATTTTGTTTGTTGTTTTGAAAATATATTTACAGGTACCTACGTATATACCTAGTAACAATTTTCTTCTTTCTTGTATTATTAATCATTGAATTTAATGTCACAATTTGCGCTCAAATATGCGACAATGAAGAGACAGTACTTATTTAATTTATTAAATGATTAAATTAATTGTTTTGTTATATGTAAAGTAACAATGGGACATAGTCAACATCAAAAACAAAATTAAATAAGTATCAGGTGTCTCAAAAGTTCATTTGCAGAGTGTTAACACATACAAAGTATGAACAATTGTAAGAATAATAATCAATTTATTTCATTTAATATTGAACAGTAATCCCAACAAAACCTGCATACATTTCCCTTAGAAAAACATATGCATTGCATTAACAAATGTGTATACTATATAAAAAGTCTAGATACAAATATAAAGTATGTTCCAGTACTTAAAAATGATTAAAATAAAAGTTTGTTGGAACATCCCTTTTCCAAAAACGGCTGCTTCGCCAACTGTTAAGCGAGGCAACAGCAGTTCAATAAGCTTTAAAATCGTAGCCTTTAGTATATAAAAATATGACTTTAAACATTCGAAAACCAAGTGGGTCATCCCACACTTCAGCATGGAGCATAATGCAGAGAACCGCATTTGACACCCAAATTCCCCTACTACTCTCCAGTGTACTTAGAAGGTCGCTTTTCAGCAAAAGCTTTAAGTCCTTCAATCCTATCCTTTGTTGGAATCACCTGCGCATAACCGGTTTCTTCAAATGCGAGAGCAGAACTTAGATCGGTCTCGATACCCTTGTTAATAACAAACTTTGCCATTCTTATAGCAATTGGTCCATTCGGTAAAATGCTTCTCGCGATATCTAATGATTTCACATAGGCAGCGTTTCCATCCTCATTTTGAGGAACGGCATGATTGGCAATACCTTCAATGGGAAACATGAGCAATGAAAACTTTCCACCGTGTTACTGTACCTAACGCTTTTGCTTGTGTTCCATCGAAAATTTTCGCAGTAAATATTAATTCCTTTGCTAGTGCGGGATTTATCGTTCGCGGCAGTCGCGCTGTCCCCCCGGCGCCTGGGATTATCGCGTGCCCGGTTTCCACCAATCCCAGTTTGGCATTACTGGAAACGATTCTAATATCGCAGGCCAATGCGAGCTCCAATCCGCCACCTACCTCATTATTCACATAGGTCATTGAAATTAGTTGAATCCTTCAACATCTGAATATTTGAGATATTATCAAAAAAGCGTACTCCAGTTATTCAAGTAGTCAGATGATTGTAATAATTTCAAATATTTACATGTTTTGAGTTGGTCCAAATATTCTATTATCTGTTCACCCAACAGATGCAGTTAAGCTCCTCCCAAAAAATTCCCGGCAAATTTAAATTAACATTTTTTATTGGTCGAATTTTCAAAACCTGTAACACACGCAACTATTTGCTTCCAATTATAATTCCCGTATCTAAATTGACATCCTTAACGTTAAAACTGTCATTGCGTTTTGTATTTGCCGTTAATTTCATTTATACGAACAAACTAATCTTTTTGAACTTAATAAACAATTTGAAACTATGTACTGCTGTGTGTTTAAAGGTCAATATTCAAAATATAACACTATAACTATTAGTCATACAATGTGACATGCAATTTTAAATTTCCCGGTTTTTATAATTTTGTGACTGTGAACCTGGTCTGTTCTTACATTGGCCAAAATTTATTGGGAGTGGCTTAACTGCATCTGTTGAGTGAACAGATTATAGTAGCTACTGATATTCGAATAGTTCAATTGTTTTGAGCAAAACTACAAACATAGTACCTACATGAATAATTTGAATATTCGACTATTTCAAATATTTGTTATTTTATTACTAGTATATGGTTTTAATAATGTTATAAATTATATCACTAAGCATAAAAAACTCATATTAGACATATTTACAAACATCTTGAAACCCTGGCCGCAAAACACTCACCTAAGGCATGTCCATCGATAGCTGCAAGAACTGGAATGGGCAAATCGTAAATCCTGGACATTGTTGATCGAATTTGAATGTTATACTGTGAAAGCTCTTTGGAGGTTAACGTGAGCCGTTCCTTTAAGTCGGCACCAGCACAAAACGTCCCAGGTACGTTACTTTTTATTATGAGAACCCTTACAATTTGTTTCTTTACATTATCAATCGCCCTGTTTAGGTCAGCCAACATTTGTATACTTAAAGCGTTCTTACGTTCTTGTTTATTTAAATTTAGGATTAATATACCAGCATCTTTACTTTCTAAATGGTTTATCACAATGTTTTCCCTTGGCTGTGCAGCCAGCGAGAATCTTTTGAACAGTAACTTTTGGGTTCCCCATGCTAATCTACTAACACTTTTGGTGTTATAAAAAGCCATAGCACAAACGTAAATGTAGGTAGAACCATAAACAAATTAAATACAAAAAGAATAAGAGCTAAACATAAAAAAAATGGATTCCTAACCTTAAAGTGTATGTATGATAGTCAACATTGTATAGATACTAACATGTATGTTGAATGGACAACAACCACAGAACACTGCCGTGCCGTTATAAAAAGTCAGTTTTAGTTTTGGATACACGGTACTTCATAAATGAAAATCGTCGGTAGAAAGTACAAAATATAATCCTGTTGAGTCCGCGTTAAAGAGGCTTTAGCTGAATGTACATAATTTATTTATTATTTACCAATAAAATACTAGCAAAGTGGGTTTTAAAGCTGTGTAACTGTAAATATAACACTCGAAACACCCGTTAGAAATCTTAGTTATATAGAAGAATTTTTATAGAATCTGAGGGAGAGTTTCGAACCGTTAGAATCCTTGAAATACTATATCGCCCTTCTTACAAGCAACTTCGTTTTGCAACCTTTCAGATGATTGTAAAAAGGGGATTTTATAAAAATTCTTTCAACTAAGATTTCTAACGGGTGTTAAGCCGGATTTAGTCTCGTATGCAGAGCGACGGTGACGCAGACTAGCGTAGACGCAGAAAGTTTACATTTGGTTACTTTATGCCGCTGTTTATGCTGGTACGCCAAATACACATGCGCATATGGCGGTACAAATACGTGAACTTCGTTGTCGTGAAAGTACGCAGGTTTCTAACTTTGGGCGCGTGTTTACGTATTTTTACTCATTAACATAACCAAACATTTACATTATAGGTCTAAATTCGAACCAATAAATAAATTTTTAATAATTTAATAATTTTCTCTTCTTTGCACATACAGACATAATTATAATATAATAATAATTATATCACTACTTAAAAGCAGGGTTAGGTTAGATTTTTATAAAATCAGCTGTTTACTGTCATCTACGCATGAGTATAAACTGTACATAGATTTATTACTGCGACATGCAGGTAAACTTACAGCACCTATTCTTGCGTCTCGTAGATTTACGTACGAGACTAAATTATGCTTTAGTCGTTAGACGTCGTTTTGAAACCTTTTCGAAATCTGAGAATATTCTCAGAGTATTTGAAGGATCTTTTTAGGATCATCTTTGGATTTTAGAATCTTATCCCTTATGATTGTTTTGGAAAATTGATGGGAGATTATGTTTCTGGCCTTCTGGGGCTCCTTCAAATGTAACTTGAGAACTTGCGTCGAACTTTCGGATGTAAATTAGAATTCACCTTGTATATTGCACGAAATAGATCTGTGATAAAAAGGAACTAAGTTGGTTTAGTGTCTTTTGCACTCTTATGTTGGTGGTTGTTTTTGGCCAACCTGTTGTGCTGTTTTTTTATTTAATTTCCAAAATCCGAAAACTGTGCCAAATATAAAAGAACTGCCCTATTTAAAAAAACGACTTATCTAATAAAATTGTAAGTAGAATTTAAAACTGCGAGTTGTTGTAATAATTCCTGTGTTTCCCATGCAGGCCTTTGCTAATGTCTCGATAATGAATCCAGCCGAACAGCTCGAGCAAGTACAAAACGAACTTCTCTGCAGTATTTGCTACAATTACTTCTTAAGAGCGTACACGCTGTCATGTTCGCACTCGTTCTGTTTGAATTGTATTAACGTGTGGAGGGCGAACCACCGCGACTGTCCAATATGTCGTTCTCCTATTTACAGTATGGCACCTAGTCGTGCTTTGGATAATATGGTTGCTACCTTTAACGGGGACCAATACCGAGGTGATATAAGCGATCCTGCGCCAATTGAGATAGAAGATGATGACAATGAGACCGAAGAGGTTGTGTATGATGACAGCAGCCATGCTAGTAGCAGCTCTTTTGATATTGCGGACAGCGACAATGAAATTGTTAGCGATGCCGGTTCGCAAGATGATGCAGTGAGCTTCGATTTGCAATCCCTAGATGAAGAGACTGATCCCGATTTAGAATATGATAGTGAGACTGATGAAAACCAAGCTAGTCCGGATGATTCGCATCTGGCCGATCTTGATGAGACTTTTTCTAGTTTACCTGTACACGAATCCGATTTCTTTGAAAGCGATGACGATTCTTTATATGACTATGCATATCCGTCATCTTTACATCCCAATGTAGGAATGAAATTCTTAGAACAATGGTAACTGTTTTTCTAATTGTATAAATGTATATATGTTTTCTTCTTCGTGTTACAAAATGCAGGTTCAGTTGTGTTCCACGTTTTGTTTATTTGTTTCAAAATTTTCCCATAATCAAATTGTGCGTGTATTCAATAGTTTTGACAATAAATTCAACAGTATATTTTGCAAATGATTTGTTTCTTTTTTGTTAAGTATGACATTTTTTTTGCATTCTTTTTCAGAGTGTGACCATTATTTAGTATAACCTTTTTACATATTACATATTTTTCTAATAGGAAGCGTACCCAGTTATATTTGGTTTTATAAAATGTGATTCAATAAAGATTGTTGTATTTTTAGTAATGAAGTCTACTAATTTGCATACTCCTTGCGGTCCATTAAGGTAAAGAAGACAATGGCCGTTTTTATACCAAGGGTAAGAGTTAAAAATAAACTTGTTTCCTTTGTACCCCAACAGGCGTTAACTAGATTACCGATTTTTGAAACATTATGTTGCCAAAACAAGTAGGTAAATGTAATTAACAGTAGCTAATTAAATGAAATGAAATGAGTTGTAGTAAATCGCATCCGAACTAATTGTTAGTAGTTTCATTAGAAGTACGGTTAATTGATCGAGACCAATTACAGATTTTTATGATTATCGTAGGCCGCACAATTAAATAAAGAAGTTTTAATTGTTGGCTGTAAACTACTCAAATACAGGTAGGCGTGGATAATAGATATTTAAATCAAACATCAGTTTATGCTCGTGGTACATAGACAATTTTATGTCTTACAAATAGTTTTCTTCGTCAAAGTAAATATTCGTTTACAAAACATTACTATCTTTTGATTACGTTAATTGTAAAGGGGTGTGGGAACCCGTTGCCCTCGATAACACGGATTGTGATTTGACGAATCGACCGCGCCAAAATTTGGAGATTTGATAAATAAAGAGAGCATTCCGTCAGAGAGATTATTATTGGCATCACAGATACCTACGGCGATTTGGGTTCTACAGGCCAAAATCTACAAGAATCGTCGATATGGGCGAGGATCACTTCGGCACATCAAAATTTATAGGTAAAAAAACCGCATTGCAATAAAAACAGAGAGAAAACGCTATAACCTTTCATCCAAGAGTACTTTTTTTAATTTTCTGGATAAGTTGGATTCTGCAGGTCAATATCTACCAGAATCGCCGATATAGGTGAAGATCGGTTCGGCACGTCAAAAGTTATAGCACAGATATGTATATCTGTGGTCAGAGCTGGGCAATATTCGATTTTGTAAATAAAAAAATGATCTAGTAGGTAGCCCAACCTTGGAACAGATCGAAATTATGGATTCTACAGGTCACATTCTATAAGAAAATGTTTTTTCCCGATCGATCTGAGACAATTTTTTTTTCGGGCTCAAAACAAGGCATTGTATAACCTTTTTTACCAAAAATCCACTGCACCAAAATTTCTCGGGAAAAAACTTTTTCTTATTAATGTTGGTGCGTAGAATCCAAAACGATTCGTACTTTTTCGAGTAGACGTCTCAATCAAAAGTTATGGGCAAAAAGCGTTCACATGTTTGCAGCAGCTGCAGATGGTGCGAAGCTATTTTTTAAAAAATTTAGCTTCGAGGAATCATTCGATAGAACTACAGATACAAAAACGGTAGTGGAACGGGGCAAAAGTGTTACGTTGTTTGCAAGCACGAAAAATGGATTGTTCTTTTTGCGAACTTCGAGTAAAAATTGTAAATCGTACCAGTGTCGAATGTTCTATCGACTTTAAACGAAATCCCGTCCAAGAAATTACCAATAAAATTAGTTTTCCGATCATTGAGTATGATGTGTTGCCTACAAACCAGACTATATATTTATCAAGTTTTTTCTGTCGTATCCGACCGTTGGCTCAGTTAGTCCATTTTGGCCTTTAGAATACAAAACGACCAGAGCCTGAACACCTACATCAAATGATACCTACCTATGTAACCTTTGTTTATTGACTACGATCATTGAATAATTTTAGTTTATTCCATAATTAATAGCTGATGATCTAAAATATCGTGCCGTCATCTGGCGTAATTAAGTCAGACTCAGATGTTACCAATAAATGTAGGGCACCTCTATATTACCATTATATTAGTTGTTTAAGCTTAGGGACAAATGTCACCACTGACACGAAACAGATTTCCTTTAACACACGCGCTGCGAGTTCATTAAACTAACGTTAGATGTCGAAAAGTTACGTTTTCAAATGTAAATCCTTTATGCCAAAAGGGACTCGTTTTGATCACTATTTTGTAACATTTCGGCAGAGGGTAGCAATAGCACTTATCTCATTACAGTGTCCTTCATGTACTTAATTGGGGACAATCAAGCAAATCCCGAAATTTCAATATGGGTACTCGATATTTGTGTAGCCTGGTTTGTAGGCAACACATCATGCTCAATGAACAGAAAACGAACATTTGTTTTTGCAATTCGTAACTTCTTATGCATGGGAGTTTATTTAAAGCACTTGGAAGAACAATTTCAATACAGGTACATTAAAGTGAACCATTTTACAACAACTTTCACACGAAGATCGCACAAACAATACATTTTTGGGTGCTTGCAAACTGCGTAACACTTTTGCTCCTTTTCGTTGCCACTTTCACTACCGTTTTTATAACTTTAGTTCTGTCGAATGAATTTAAGGCTCAATTATTTAACGAATAGCTTCGCACCATCGGCGGCTGCTGCAATCATGTAATCGTTCCGATTTTAACGTTGAGAAGTTTGGATTGCGTTTGAATGGGTTTTCAGCGAGTTCTCCAACGTGTCCCCCTGTTTTGGTTACAAAGCCTTTCCCTTTTCAATTTGTGTTGTTCAAATTCAATGCTAACTTTTCTCACCCATCGAGAACTACCAGTCTTTCGATCGGACGAGTGTGATCAGTATCATTTTCCGCAATGCCCGAGTCTGCCGCTTTCCTGTCACTCCCAGTAGCCAGTTCTACAATTTAAACCTGTAAGCGAGAAAGGAATGATAACAAAGTTTAATTTTTGATTATAAAATAATCAAACAGTTATGCATTTGAGATTAATCTTCATATATCTATGGTTAAAATAATCGGTCTGACATCTAACGTTAGTTTCATAAAGTATATAAAAAAATGGTGTAGCGACATCTTTGAGGTGTAGGTTGCAACTAAAATAATGTTTGTAATAAAGTGTCCTGCATTTATCGATAAAATGTTAGTCCCCAATAATATGGACAGATGTCACCACAATGTATTCTGCTTGGATTATTTTAATATTACCAAAAACTCAGACAAGGCTATAATTATAAACATTTTGAAATTTGTGCCTTTCACTGTCAAAGAAGTATACCACGAAACTCGAAAATTAAACTTTTCTCTCCTGTATTATAGCCTATTCCTTTTCGTCAGCGTTTTTGGACAGGGCGAGTGAATGAACGGCCGTCCGTACAGATTTTTTGACGATTTTAATAAAGTATCTGTTCGGAATATACGAGTTAAATCGCCATAAGAATTAAATAGTACGCCGCAATAAATAAGAATTTTAAATTGGTGTTCATTTTAAGGACTTTTGAGAGCTAAGTTAGGTTAGATACAAGATTTGTAAAAATTTAAAACGACCAAACTAATCTGACCTAACCTAACTAGCACTCTAACCTAACCTAACCTTCAATCAACTCCGCGAACATAATGATGATACAAGATTTCTGAGCTAACCTAACTAGCACGCCAACCTAACCTCACTAAAATTTTATTTTAACCTTCGATCTCCTCGCACATATATTCTCCTGATACCAGATTTCTTAGCTAACCTAACTAGCACGCTAACCTAACCTCACTTAAATTTTATTTTACCTTCGATCTCCTCGCACATTATATTCTCCTGATACTAGATTTCTGAGCTAACCTAACTAGCACGCCAACCTAACCTCACTATTTTATTTTAACCTTCGATCTCCTCGCACATATATTCTCCTGATACCAGATTTTGAGCTAACCTAACTAGCACGCTAACCTTCGACCTAACCTCACTTAAATTTTATTGTACCCTTCGATCTCCTCGCAGATTATATTCTCCTGATACCAGATTTCTGAGCTAACCTAACTAGCACGCTAACCTAACCTCGGCAAAAAACAAATTTCGAAAGAAATTCAAAAGGCTGTAACTTTTGATCTAGTAGCCCAATCTTGGAACTGTTTGAAATTATGGATTCTACAGGCCACATTCTATAAGAAAATGTTTTTTTCCCGATCGATCTGAGACATTTTTTTTTTCGGGGCTCAAAAAAGGCTATATATTATAACCTTCCTTTTTTACCAAAAATCCACTGCACCAAAATTTCTCGGGAAAAAACTTTTTCTTATTAATTTTGGTGCGTAGAATCCAAAACGATTTGTACTTTTTCGATTAGACGTCTCAATCAAAAGCTATGGGCAAAAAACCAATTTCGAAAAAAAATTCAAAGGGCTGTAACTCATGATCTAGTAGCCCAATCTTGGAACTGTTTGAAATTATGGATTCTACAGGTCACATTCTATAAGAAAATGTTTTTTCCCGACAGATCTAAGACCGTTTCTTTCCGGGCTCAAAAAAAGGCAGTGTATAACCTTCTTTTTTACCTAAAATCCACTGCACCAAAATTTCTCTGGAAAACACTTTTTCTTATTAATTTTGGTGCGTAGAATCCAAAACGATTCGTACCTTTTCGATTAGACTTCCCAATCAAAGGTTATGGACTAGAAACAAAATTCGAAAGAATATTCAAAAGGCTGTAACTTTTGATCTAGTAGCCCAATCTTGGAACTGTGTGAAATTATGGATTCTACAGGCCACATTCTATAAGAAAATGTTTTTTCCCGGTTCGATCTGAGATAATTTTTTTTTCGGTCCTCAAAAAAAGGCTCTTTATGAAAGGTCTTATTCTAGGTCATATTCAAAACTTACGGGGTCGGGTAAAAAAATCTTAACTTACCCCTCAATTTAACCTCATTTGTTATTATAATGGAATGCCCCGTATATAAACCTAAAAAGGTAATATATTAAATTTTTTTCATAAATATAACACTATAAAATTCAGCATTGATTGAAAGACTCATAAAAGATTATTTTTTATTTTTTAATTCAAAAAAATTTTTTTTGTATCATTTGAACTATTTTTTCAATTTTTTTCAAATCTTTTTTTAATCTCCTGAATTTTTTTAATCACTACAATCTATGTTCGAATATCATCTTTGGCGTATCCTATTTTTGCAAAGAGAATTTAATAAGTATTCCAGGGTTAAAATATACAAGATGGTCCATTTAAAAAATGAGGTTAAATCCTATAACTTTTCTGCCCGACCTCGTACTCAGTTGATTAGTCAACAATCATAAAGAAACTGTTGCAATAACTATTTTTCTGTATTTCTCTTCACTAAAAAGATAGAGCCATTCTGAAATTGGCAATTTTTTGATTTTCCCCCTTTTAAGCGATCGAATATTTTCAAATTTTGATTCAACCATTTTAAATTTGACCCAAAAAGAGCACATGAAACCAATATCACTTTTTTGATAGCAATATCAACCACAACGGAAACACGCTATAAAAGTGTCGAAAATCGAACAGCCTGTACATGGTAAAAATGGAAATATTATTTCAAAAAGTTTAAATTTTTAAATAATGTAGTTAGTTGAGTGACAAGTATTTGAATACTTTTTACTGTATTCGAATACTTTTCCAAAGTAAGTTAATGAAATACTTTTCAAAGTATTCGAATACTTTTTATTGTATTCGAATACCTTTGATAGTATTAGAATAGTTTTGAAAGTATTCGAATACCTTTGAAAGTATTCGAATACCTTTGAAAGTATTCGAATACATTCTAAAGTATTTGAATAGATACTTATTTTTTTAAGTATTTGAATACTTTTCAATGTATCTGTATCTAGTATTCGCTTGTGCTGGACGTAAAAGTATTTAGTATTCAAATACCTTTGATTTGTGTAAAGTATTTACTATTTAGTATTCAAATACTTTTTGGAAGTATTCTGCCCAGCTCTGTCTGTGGTTATAGGTAAAAAACCGTATTGCAATGAAAAATACACAGAAAACGCTACCTATAACTTTTGATCCACGAATACTATTTTTAATTTTCTGGATCATTTCTATTTTACAGGAAAAATCAATCGTCAAAATAAAGGACTTCGAAAGACTTTTCAAACAAGCTATTACTCGATACCACTGGTCATTTAAAACTTTTAAGGGAATGCCCCTGGGGGCAGCGGGTTAAAGGGGGCGAAGTAGTTTTTGGTTAAAAAGTTGTCCCCCTTGACAAATATTTTGATGTGTCTCGGCGTTTTTTCCTTATCAGTGGTTTTCGATAACTCCGTAGTAGGAAGTTTTCAAATGAACGCCCGGTGTATAATATTGTATATATTAATAATGGGTATCAGGTAATCGAGTAGCCCAAAATTACGTGACATCCAGTCAAGTGGCAGGATCTTTGACCATACAATCCATGGATTGCAATTTGCCCTATGCCTTTAATACACAATCGGGTGGTTACGGATAGGGAGCACTTAAGTCGTGGGTATGTGAAGATGATAATACCATAGTGTACCTAATTCTTACACTATGATAATACCTACCTAGCCAACATAATCTCAACTTAATTTTATGCCTATGTCGTGGCACTCAAGCAATAATTGAAGTGGCCCGAGATTTACAAAAGTGTTGAATAAAGATGTATACCTATGAACTTATGCAATAGAAGAGCAATTCCTTTGGAAACTTTGATTCCCTTTGAGCTATATTTTATAATTTCGTATGATATGGCTTACCTATATTATACTTATAGCATTGTTTAAATACTTTTTAAACAATGCTTATAGACAGAGTATAGCTATCACATAAGTTCAATTAATTGCAGATTCGGTTTCCTTTCTCCTAAGTTTTAAAAGGAAATGCAAACAAAAGAAATAAGTAGGTACCAAAAAAAGAGTTTAATAAAATCATTTCTACAGAATTAATTATTGTCTAGTCGATAACATATCAATAAATTTGGCTTAAATATAGTAACTTAATATTACACATAGAAATAAGTAGATAAGACATGGATGGAATAAACAATCATTGTGAGTGGTCGAATTAAAAACTATTCGTAATTTATGGGAATATCCGAAAGAGGACCAAATAGATAAACTGCGGGGCATTCTTCATCTGGATTTCCTAAAAACTGGGCGTAGAGCTCTTGGTAACGTGACAACGTCAGGCCACCTCTTCTACGATCATCGTCCTAAAATTATCTCACATAAATCTGTGACACTAAAACATAGTTGCATTTTAACTAATTTATTCTGCCCTTGAATTTAATGCCAGCGGCCCAAAATAACAATTTTAACAATCTATCAGTTTGATGTCGCGAATCTAAGCCAAAACTGTGTTTTCCAACCAAACAATTCTGTTACACGTCAGTTATCTACAACATACAACTACTTACACTTAGTAAATTATCGAAAGCCTCGTCGACGGCTTCAATGTCGTCAATTGCGAATTTTGTGACGCAGTTGTACCTATACTCATCCGCCGCGATGATACCATCGTCGTTCATGTCGACCATTTTAAAATTGGAGTCTATAAACATCTTCATCGCCTGCGGAAAGTCCTCATAGCTTCTTCCGACGCAGCATTGCTGTACCGCCCGCTTGAACTCCTCCACCGTGATCTTTCCGTCCTGCAACAGGTCCTTTGATGGACCAAACCAATCCAAAACGTATTAAAATTAAGTACATTACATTTTGTAAACATAGGTACATCAGCGAGCGGCCTAGAGTTATTTATTTACGATATTGTAGCGATGCGGAAATTGCAGATGCGAGCCAACTGTCCTATTAAACTAAATAAGACACGACGGAAGAAAATAGAAATACAAATTGGTATTGCGTGTAAGGCAATAAATAAACAATGCATGGGATACGCCTACGTGTAGATTATGTGCATGGAAAGTGAATCAAAATCTAATAATCCTGAAAATCGACCATCAGGTTGGGTCACCGAAGTGTCTTTTGTTATTTTGGGGATGACGTCTCCCTGGAATCCACACGCAAAAAAAAGCTACGTCATCGATCTTAGAAGACGTGTTTTTAGGTTCCTACTAAAAAATGCGACGATAAAAGCTGCACCATTATAGTTTCCGAAACGATAAGCAAAGAAAATGTTCTTACTTTGTTAAAATCGGCAAGCTCGGCCATTTCTTCCCATAAATTAAGCATGATGTGCTGATGTTCCTGCAGCCGGGAGAAACTGAATTCGCCTTTGCCCTCGACAATGGTCGCCCTCAACGCCAGACAGGCGAAGTCCCTTTCGTCCAAGTATCCGTTACAGTCCACATCTGGAACAAGAAAGCGAATGAAGGAATATGACGATCGATTAAAGTTCTAACGATTGCAGTTTATAAATCATTTGCCGCGGTTACGTTAGATGGTCTATTTTTGTATGAGAGGAATTTTCATAGATCTTCGCGGGATACAAATTTGCCAAAGTATCGTATTTTATTGCCTTAAAATCTAATAAAAATCGAACAGATGCTTAACTTAAATCAATCATCGTGACTCATAAATTGGGCCAGATCAGTGTCACCCACATGAATTTACACCATACCCTCCTGTCCCGCGGATCACCTCGCAAACGTCATTTCGGCTTATGTCCATAGAAATGTAAGAGATTTGGAAATAGTTAGAAAAAACTTTGATTCATCATCCCTGAACCATTGAATTAGTTATAAATTCAATGCCTGAACTAATGTTTTAAATGTTCCTCCGGAAAATCTTTCTCCTAGAATAGGTTACACTCAACTCAATGTTTTTTTTAAGCCTTTTTGTTAAATACCACCACAGCACTGATATAATTATTTGGAATTGTGGAGAGGTGGCCAAGGCTACTGAGGGTCTCAAAATGTTTAATTAAAGTTTTATCGAGATTTTCATTGTAACGGATGAAGAATCTACCATAGAATAATTATAGTTTAGTTGTATAGACAAGTTTGTTAAAGTTTATGTGCTGCAGTTTTAAATTACGCTAGTGCATGACAATATAGACTCAACATTCTTTTCTCTTCTCAATTTGCGCAAACACGCCCGTCTTTATGCGATAGGGCATCGTACTGCAGCACTACAGCTCCACAGGGTGGCACATTGAGATGGAACGCTCACACCCAACTTTTGATTGGAAACCCGAAATCGTCTTTTAATACAAAATTTAAATTTTTATATATAACTTTTGATTAATGTCAATCTGTTAGTGATGACATTAGGAAATGTCAAAAGTGCGGCCGGTAAAGTGACGGAGCGGTGGTAAAGTGACAGGTGCGGCCAGTAAAGTGACAAGAGACAGGAAACTCTGCCTCTGTGACAGAGAGGCTCTGTCATGGAAACTAAAATTTCCTGACAGGAAGTAGGCATGAAAATGAAGGTTTCAGGATGATTTTCGGTCAAAAAATTAAAATAGTACGGCTCCAAATTCAGGACCTTTCCAATGAACGATGAGTTACCAGAGACTTGTTATAACTAGACCGCGCGTAACGTGGATTTTACTATAAACGCCTGTTGTCAAGATAGGATAGGCAACCAACTGTTCATCGCGGGGCAGACGTACGTTCTGCAGCTTGCTAGCCATGTTTATTCTAAATTTTAGTAGCAAAAAAAGATAACATATAGCTGTTAACTATTTTAATTGAATTTGTTGGTATTTTATTTGAACTAAATTGGTATATAACTGCCTTACTCTAGTCCTAATTTGATTTATATGTGTATTTTGGTGGTGAACACGTATGGGAAAATATACTCTTAAAACTAAAGATATAAGTAGTAAGATATGATTATTTAGCAGATTTTGTTTCAATATATGCCTATCCAAAAACCCAAATGGGCTGTAACTGTTATTTATTTTTCTAAGACTGCTGATAACCATTTTGTTTACAACGCGGCGTGGTGTGGATTGAATGAAAAACCTGAACACATTTTCAGCAATTTGGCAAATTTTTAATGCATCGCTTGATACGTGCAACAATCCTCCACGATTTTTTCTAGTTAAAAGCTTTGAATGACTCTCTGATGCGAATATCGCATCTGCACATATGGAACATTTAACAGACTTAGCTATTTTTCTTGTAACAAAACCTGAAATATACTTAGTACCCGTAAGTACTTAGTTACGTCTATACCTAATAGGCAAATAGGTATTGCCGTTGTCTTGCTGGTAAAGGATGTCGAATAATAGTTCTACGTTATTTTAAGTGAATGGGAAAGTCGAAAACGCTCGGTATTGCATTATTTTTTAACACCTTCGTAGGTATCTTTCTAAAATCGGCTTCATTCCCCGCAAATGCACTATGGTGGGAGTAAATTTTTCTCTTCGAATGGCTCTGATCCATTGGCCCTTTAAACTTTTATCCGTTGAAAATCAGCATATTATTTAAAAAGTTATCGACAGAGTACATGTTGATAGGCACAAGTTAACCTAAGTTTAATGGTTTATTCTCAACAGAAATTTATCTGTTCACTAATTCGAGCTAATCACGAGAATGATTAATGAACGGAACATCTAAAATAACGGCTTAGTTCATTGTATTGCATATCATCTCAGCGATTTTTGCCCCGCGGTGCATTGTGTGTTGCATACTGTGTCGACAACACCTTAGATACGTTATACCATTGAATAAAAAGTGTTTTTATTCAATGGTTAGTGTTTTTATTCAATGGTTATACGCAGTCCAGTTATAGCAAGTCTCTGTGAGTTACCCTTTAAAATTTTCAGGATTGCGTTTATTTTTTCAACGCGAAGATTGTCATTTTATTACTTAACTGGTTAATGCCAATATAATAACAAACAGTTTAAACCAAGGGCTAAGTAATGCCTATATTTTGGACCGGAAAAATTAAAATTATCTGAAATCGAACGAGAAATAGTTATATATAATCAAAACCTTTTCTGCCTTTCGGTGTAAAGGTACAATACTATTAATTAGAATTATAAACACAAACTCTACTCTATTTACTATTAAAATATACTAACTCAAACAAATTACTCCAATGAAATCATACAAATAAGAAATTTTAAAGATCAAACAAAATGTCTTTTACTTATAAACAAAAACTGCCCACTCCTTTTTGTTTAGTGATAGTCTTTTAGCTTCACTCCACGTCTTACCTCTTGATTCCAAAATGTTTGTTATTACCTTGTGCCTGCCTCTCATCCTCTTCTTTTGGGTGCTTACTTCCCACACCTGTTTTGCCTGTCTCTTACTGTCCATTCTTTGCAGATGACCCCACCAACTCAGTTGCCGATTTTCTATGTATAACGTCTGTATTCCTGTTTCCTCTCGTATTTGATCATTTCTGATCCTGTCCATTCTTGTAATCCCTTTCACACGTCTAAGAAACTTCATTTCCGTATACTGCAGTTTACTTTTTTGGTTTTTTTGTTAACACCCATGTTTCACACCCATATGTCAATGTTGCTCTATATACAGTTTTATACATTTTTGTATTCCACGACACTTCTCTTTTACTTATAAAACATTTGTTCAAAAAATAAAAAATAAAAAAACTACACTAAGGTATTTATATTGTCTTACTTGTTCTATTTTAATGCCGCATAGATTAATGTTCATGTTTACGCACTCCCTTGTTAATGCCATCACTTTTGTTTTAGCTTTATTTATGCGCATGCTGTTATTTTCTAATTCCTGATTCCATATCAATAAATTATGTTGTAAGTCCGTTTCAGTACCTATCTGCTATTATGATTACGTCATCTGCGAAAGCGCACTCCGATATTCGTATCCCAGCAGGGAATGTGGTAGCCCCCAACACGATCTTACTGATGGTGGATTTAAATCTTCAAAAGCGAATTGCGGGTGAACGGGGCATCGGAAGTGGGTACCGTCAAAGGGAATGTGGTATCCTTCGACAAGATCTTTTATTCATGGTTGAGTCAAAAGTGGCTAATAGAATACTGATCTGCCACACAAAAATGCGCTGAAGTCCCTTCGATCTCACACGAGGACTTTGATAATTTTTTGGTCTTTGCATCACAGCTTCTTATTATGTCATCCACAAATATATTTAAAAGTATAGGGCTGAGTCCTCCTTCTTGTCTTATTCCTTTTGTTGTTGTAAATGCTTTTGATTTCATATTCTTCCATATAACATAATTCGTTGTATTTATGTACATATTCTTTATAACCCTGGTTAGTTTTGAGCACGGTGTATTCTATCTTATACCGTATACCGTGGTTTTGAGTTTACTGCCCTTTTATTTAGACTATCCCATATTCTATCCCTAGGCACTGAATCAAAAGCCTTCTCTAAGTCGATGAACCCCCATTATTCCCGTTGTTTTCGATTAATTGCTTAATTGCGAAGATATGATCTTGTCCGCTTCTACCTCTTCTAAAACCACATTGCGCTTCTGTAAAGGTTTCTTCTGTTGTCCATTTCAGTTTTTTGTTTATAATTTGTTCGTCGACTTTCATCACACTACTAATTAATGTTATTCCTTTATAGTTTTTACAGTTCTTCGTAGGTACCTCTTTTTTTATGTAGTGGAACTAATGATGCCAATCTCCCAGACCCTAGGTATGTTTTCCTCCTCCCACGCTTTATTGTAGATTGCCTGTAGTAATTCTGTTCCTGCTGCCCCCATGTATTTCAAACATTTCTCCTGTAATTTTGTCATTTCCAGGTGATTTATTATTTTTTAAGTTCTTTCAACGCTGCAGAATGGAATCAAAGAAAATCTTTTTTAAACACGTTTTTATTAGGTCCTATTGCGGCTATCGATTTCGACCTCATAAGGTCATCTTCAGGCCGAGCTATAATATATTGTTTAACGATACAATTACAATGTGGTGATGTCTTACCGTCAATACGTACGTTTAGTATACTTAAAAACATGTAAGTTTTATATTTATTTATTTATATTTATGTAACTGATCTCTCCAATTTTATTAATTAACCATATTTACAGCTTTCCTGATAACTAATACATACTACTCCGCTAATAATATTACATGCCTCCTCATTTCACCGTATTGACGGTAAGACATCACCACATTGTAATTGTATCGTTAAACAATATATTATAGCTCGGCCTGAAGATGACCTTATGAGGTCGAAATCGATAGCCGCAATAGGACCTAATAAAAACGTGTTTAAAAAAGATTTTCTTTGATTCCATTCTGCATCACACAACACGTTTAAAATCAATGAACGATGGAACAATACATCAACCGAATCTTTCAACGCTTCTACAACTTCCTGTATTGATATGGCATCTTCTTCTGCGCTAATTTTTTCTTCTTGATCTCTATCTCTTTCTCGAATTCTATTT